ATTTTTCTACAATTTCAAGAACTTGCCACAGCACACATTCTTGGAGTGACTGTCAAATGGATTCCTGGACACAGAGATATTGATGGCAATAAAGCTGCTGATATACTAACAAAAGAGGATGCCATGCTAAAAACGGACATAACAAACCTTCCTACAATCTCTTAGGTCAAGAGAGATCTCAAAAAAAGGGCAAGAAAGAATTTAATCAATGGTAGAAAGACCAATCAGAACCTAGGTATTAAGAAGTATACTCATATGCAGTAACTGGAAGGGACCTTATATCTTTTGAAAGGAGTACTTTATACAGACTTCTAGCGGCCAGATCTGGACATGGCGACTTTGCTAGATATCACGAACGTTTTAGGCATACAGACTCGAATGATCACTGCAGCTGCGGTGAGAAAAAAACACCACAATACATTTTCTTTTGTAAGAGGCTTAAAAAAAACCGACTGCTGCCCAGGTACTCGCCTAGGACAGCTTGTTTACAATACTTAGGGGAGAGGAGCACAGAATGGGCAAAATTCGTGGAGAAGAGCAAGTTCTTTTCAACAATCTGTCCCCAATAGATAGCTGTTCTTGAAGGACCAGATAGATGATCCTAAAGTCATACCGCCGCAACGGGGATAGGCCCGTGAGCGGGATTGACTGTACTTATTATCTTGAGACCTCTACACCCTGCGATGCAGAGGCTCTGGGAGGCGTGGTTTGCACTACTGAGGAGCAACCCCCCACGTTAAATACAAAACAAACAAACAAACAAACAAACAACCGGTCCGTCAGCCGGCGCCGACCCGCCTTGGGGTCTTCCGCATGAGCTGGTCGCTGCTGTGTCAGTGACCGCGACGATGGACCAGTCTATCCTGGCCATCGCGGCGTTGGCGAAGTTTATGGTGTTTTTATACAAGAAGTAGAAGAAGAAGAAGGAGCTAACTTGGTTCGATTCCTTTAGCAGGAACAGACGCACTGTGACGGCCTGTACAGACCTTCCCACATGACAAGCCGATACTTCCCAATAAGGGAAGGATCTGACCAGAGGATCCCCTTAAAGGGGCAACCTCCCGCTGTACCTATCTCTCTCTAACTTCCTTTCCTCTCTAGTCTTGATATTCTCGTCAATGGAGTAATAGCTGCTTGCTGCAGGCCATGTCCCAGCTCCCCAGTATGCTCGCCGTGACATCAATCGTAGAAGCATTCTCCAGAAGAACAGCAGAAATCAAAAGATAATTGGCGACACGATCAACAATTCTGTGGACGACCGACTACAGGCCCTACCTACATTCACTTCCTGGCCGACTACGAGTCAGATCTTGACTCTGACCCCGATGACACGCATGATCAACACGTCATAGATTTTGGAAGCGATAGCAGCGATGATACTGTGCAGTACCTCACAGTCACCTTACTCAGTGACCGAGCATTCCAATATTCAATTACTGCCACAGACAACTCCCAGGTTGGATTTGAGTCTGACAGCTTCATACTAGACAGATAGGCCAGTTCTACATTCCAGGGACTTATGCCTGATTCTGGCGCTGCTTCTGTTTGAACAGCCGGCAAGGGTCAGTTCCTAGCCCTATAACGGGAACTACCTTTAGTTTCACTCGATAAATCACGCGTTAAAGAAGCTACAGTTCGATTTGGTGAAAGAAAACCTCTAGATTCTCTCAGCACAATCTATGTTGACACCCCTATTAGAGACGTGACGTTCCACGTTGTTGACACCCAGACTCCCTTCCTCCTCTGTCTGAAAGACTTTGATAATCTTGGTGTAATATTTGACAATTGTGGAAATCCAGGGGTAAGAATGGGATGGATGATGGTCTGTGTCTTGACTATGGATCCATGGGGGAGATTCCCACCTAAATACAGGTGTGACAGCCCTTTGATGCCCTGCTGCCTGACAGCGAACAACAAACCTGCCACTGGTCACCATAATGGACCTTTCACCCCCTTTGGGCCCCTTTCATCCTTTTCACCTGGCGGACAGCTGCAGCCCATACCTGACAGCACCACAATGCTCACAATAATATTGTAAATAGGATGATCCGGCTACAAGATGGCAAGTCCATCCCCATCACCCGCAAATGGGGCCACCCCTGGTTCTTCCCCTCAGCAATGACAACCGCATCAACCGGTGTTTTCCTGACAGAAGCTGAATTACGACACGTTCATACCCGTTTTGGACATCCTTCTGTTAGCAAGCTTTACAAGCTTCTGGAGAAATCTGGCAATGAAGCTGATCGAGATGCCATTGCAATGATCAACAAGTTTTGCCATCATTGCCAGATCAAAGGCTCGTTACCACAGCGGTTCAAGTTTTCCATCAAGAAAGATGTTAATTTCAACTATAAAGTTGTTATTGACGTTATGTACTTGGACAGCAAGCCCGTCCTTCATTGTGTTGACGCTGCTACAGCGTTTCAAGCAGCCCAATTCCTCCCCAACCTGTCTACCAAAGAGACCTGGGAAGCACTGAAACGATGTTAGATTGATACCTATCTTGGCCCTCCAGATATCCTGACGCATGACGCTGGTAAACTGGGTGGACAAAAGTCTCCGCCCGACCCACCACAATCTCCTTCAGATCAAAACAACGCGTCAATCACCCTTCGACTTCACCACTCTCTCAACACTGTAATTGATAATGGATTTACGATCTTTGGGGACGAATTAAGCGGTAATCGCGTCGCTAATGGCGAATTCACTTCAGAAGCTCGCTCGGCAATCGTAGCAGCACGAATCAACGGCAGAACGCGTAGGGATGTTGCAACCGCATTTAAAACAAAGCGCCTGAAAACCATCTCCGATATTACCACTAACTTTGAGGCCACTTCTACACCGAAACCTGCCCAAAGGAGCGGTCGCCCACCCGTTTTGAATACTCGCGAACGCGCTCATGTGATCAAAAAGGTGAGAGAGCTCCCCAGGGCGACGTGGCAGAAGATTCGAAACGAAGCCTGCGTTTCGTGCTCTCCCAAGACTATCAAGAGGATATATCACGCACACGGCCTCCAGAAGTGGCGCGCAACAAAGCGAATCAAGCTCACAGATAAGGACGCTCAGAAAAGGCTCGCTTTTGCCAATTATAATAGCACACCAGAGCGCCTGGAGGAGTTGTTACGAGCTATGTTCTCAGACGAATGTACGGTCCAAAACTCATCTGATAATCCAGGCGATTGGGCCATCCGATTCTCTTCAGAGCGGTACCGTTATAATTTCGTGAACAAGACGGATCACGGCAAATCTCGTATTTCGATAATAGTGTGGTCTATGATCTGGCTACGCGGCGGAAAAGGAGGACTAGGCAAGTTGGTCTTCTGCCCACTCAATCCGGATGCTCCGCGCGGAGGAGTATCCGCAGAGTCATACAAATAGGTTCTTGAGGAAGGCCTGTTTCCGTTCTACGAGGCTGGAGATCCTTTTGTTCAAGATAACGTGAAAATTCACCTCACTGGCTGTGTTCCAGAGTGGATGGAGGAGCACGGCATCCACTGTATCGACTGGCCTCCTCGCAGCCCCGATATGAACCCAATCGAGCATGTTTGGCGACTTCTAAAGAAGAACATACATGAAATCGAGCCTGAATTTTCTGAATTGAAGGATAATATCCCCCATTATCGCTACACACACGAGTTAATTGAGCAGGCGTGGTCAGAGATCGATCCGGAGCAGGTTCGGGCCTTGATGGAGTCACTGGAGGACCGAATAGCTGCAGTGAGACGCACCGGTGGTTGGTATACACACTATTGACTTAGTTATTAAATATAATTTATTTGAGAATTCTATTACCAGAATTGGATGCGTTATGGTTCAATTGAGTTGGAGGGTATAGTAGATGGAAGGGGTAAAATTGGGGATCGGGCGGAGACTTTTGTCCACGCATTGTACCAACTTTGCAGCCACAGAATTCCGAGCTGAAGCCCGATTGCTTGGAATCACCTGTCATCAGATTTGTGTCGAAGCTCATTGGTCGATTGGCAAGGTTGAACGGTATCATACCCCTATTAGACGCTCTTATAAGATCATCTGAGCCGAATCATCCAGGATCTCTCAAGAAGCTGCCCTACAAATAGCAATAAAAGCCGTGAACGATACCGCCGGTCCTGATGGTCTTGTACCAACACTCTTGGTCTTTGGAGCCTATTCACGCGTTACAATGGATTTGCCCCCAACATTATCACAACTTCAGCGTGCTCAGGCCCAAGCTAAGGCAATGACTGAACTGTGTAAGCTTCGAGCCAAGCGCAATATTCAAAGTGCCCTGAATACAAGGAATGGCCCTGATACAACCCCAACACTGAGAAAAGTGTACATGGTATATATGGCTACTGCGACTATAACTAAAAAGAAGAACTTTGCTGGCTCCTTTGTCCAGCAAGATGAATATGGCATTTTCCTCTCGCACAAAGAGCGTGCTGACCATGCCCTCTCCCGCACTGAAGGCAAGATCACAGTCCCTGGAGCACCCTTTGAGCAATCTGATGTCCTTGAGATTGAGACTCTATTTGCTGATGAAGTGCTCGTCCCCATTCTCACCTCGTCTCACCAGCGACCGAATGTACTGGACGATACTATTCCGAAGCCTACCTTATGTTCAAGATGTCATGAAGCACTTTTGAACTCACAAAGGCCAGTCTAAGGCAAGCTGGCCGATGAGTACAGGGCGAGAAGCAGCCAATCTTGTGGCACTCTGATCTCCAAGAGTATCTACCCAGTGCATCTCCTTAATTGTCAGCCCATTCGCCGAAGTCGTTACAAGCCGTCCATAACGGATATCTTAGTTCTAGCATCGATGAAGAACGCAGTCAAATGCGATAAGTAATGTGAATTGCAAAATCCGGCGAATCATCGAATGTTTGAACGCACATTGCGCCCATCAGTATTCTAGTGGGTATGCCTGTTCGAGCGTCACTGCGACCCTTAAGCCCTGCTGCTCAGTGTTGGGAATCTACCGCAGCGTAGTTCTTCAAAGCGATCTCAACTTAAACCCTGACCGTCTAGCGTGATCTCCGTGCCACCTTGGGCTTTCCCCCGATGATGAAGAAGGACAGAACAGCAGTGATTCCAGATAGGACAGCAAAGACAAGGTTCATGTTCCCATAGCCGACCGAGTCCTTCAGCGCACCAGCGACGATGGGTCCAACCGTAAGCCCGGCGCAGAAGAAGAGCGAGTTGAATCCGTACAGCTGGGCGTATAGTCCATTTCCGCCAAAGAAACCAGGGTTGGCCTTGTCGTACTTCTGCACCACATCGCTGGCTTCCACTACACTGGGCGAACCGATGATTGCAAGTCCAATGCCGTTCAGGGCGAGCATGGCGCAGTAGAGTACGACGTTCTTGGAGCCAGTAAGTAGACCATCCGCTGGCAGGCGAAGAAGGACCAGCACCGGCACCATCAAACCAAACCCAATGACTGCGGCGGGCTTCGTGCCATACCGGTCCACAGCCCATCCGGCGACGGGTCCAAGAATGAGGTACGGTACGTCGAGAGCGATGAAGAGGAGACCGGCCTTGAGCGAAGTGAACTGGAACAGGCTCTGCGCCTCTGTCGGAATGGTAGCGTCGTACATAGCTAGCAAAGATGCCTGGACGAAAGCCAGGGTCAAGGCCATGACAAGTCGAGGATTATTGAAGCAGACCAGAATTGGCAAAGCCCGGACCAGCTTGTTCGGTTCTCCCGTGATCTTGTACGACTCTTCTTGCTTTCGAGGTAACAGAGCGTCTTCCTCGGTTAGATCCTGCTCGCTCTCATCATCCCTGGTGCCAAAATCGCGGGGGTTGGTCTGCCCGTTTTGACGGAGTGATTCGTCGTACTTGGCGGCAGTCTTCTTCTAGACGATGAGAAGTCGCATGATGAAGTCCAGCGCCAGAACACCCGCTCCTAATCCGAATACACCTACGCAGCCGGTCTTCTCGTAGAGTACACCACCGATGACGGGCGCCATCAGCTCTCCAATGGAGATGAAGGAGAATATCTGCGCGCCGTTAGGAGGGTGTTGGAACTGGAGGATGGTGGCTTCATACCGATCCGATCACCTTTCCCAGGTGCTCCGGACCGACCGTGTCGAGCACCATGGCAAGACCAATGGTCCAAACAACGGCCGCACTGACACCCTGAAGGACACGGGCGACCACCAGCACGGCGATGCTCCGACCCACAGCTAGCATGATGGTCGCAACCAGCAACGCCGCTAAGCCGCACAAGAACGGCGCCTGTCGCGAGTTCGTCCGGTCAGCGATCCATCCTGCGGGCACTGAAAAAACGACAGAGGCGCCGGCGTAAGCAGCAAGCAGGTTCGAGACGTAAGATTGGATTTCATCCTCGGGAGTCGCCAGGCGGTTCCGGAGCATGAATGGCAGGACGGGTACGACTAGGCCGTACAGGAACAGGTCCGTGAACAGACCGATAGCGACAGTGGAGATGATGAACAGCGTGTTCGAGCGCCATCGCAACCCCCAGGGGTGTTTATCGCTCGCCATCCTCTCGAGAGCAGTCTCCGAAACGATGGCGACGGTGAGCAGAGCGGAGGCCTGCCGTTTGTATGACCTTGAGGCCGTGCAGGAAGGATTGAACGGCCGCGGCAGATGTTTTCTGGATGTTTCTGCGGATCCATGACCTCATGCATAACTCATCGTCGTCAACAGCCACACCTATTCCAGCCTCATCAAATTTACGCGAGCAGCCTCATTTCTCATCAACTTTCGCGAAACCGCGATCTAAACCTCAATCACCTCGCTGTCTTGTTCTGGATCCATTTCAGCGGCTGGAGCTTGTCCAGATTACATATCACAACGAGCTTCGCGTTTGGGGCTAACCGCAATCTTTCCTATGGATGGTCCCTGAGTGACCGTTTGATCAGAAGGGCAGATGATTTCTCACTTAGTTGTTGGGCCCATCTGCGCCTTGAGGGGATCGTGTCAGCTCTGATGATAGCAGGAAGTCACGGGCCGACGGGGCGCCGGAGACATTAAGAAGCAACTACAGGTATCTAACGTAAAGTACGGCATCAAGTAGAGGCAAGGTTTCATATTAGTCATCGGGGGTAGTATCACCGTTGTGCCGGGAGCCATATTACTTTAACTTATGACGCACAGGAAGCTCAAATGTTATCCTTCACGTGGACGTCATGTGTCTTTACGGACGGGGACCAGCTTCAGGCAGCGACAACGATTGTCCATCGGCTTCACCCGTGGTATGCGCTTACAGTAGCCCGTAATTGGCATTGGTTCGTCGGGATAGGGGGCATTTGGAACCAATAGAACAGGGTCATCTTACTCTCCGGCTATGGGCTGATATTTACACGGTAGTTGCAGCAGCGGGCTCTCCTTTTAGCATCGTTCTTGGGATATCAGCCTCATCCGCTGCTCAACTTCCCTTGTACTTTTGGGAGGATGATCTCGTAGCTGCTTGGCGCATGAAATTCAGCCCCTGAGGACCGTCCGCTCAAGGACACAGCTTGTTGCCCGTTCGCAGCTGACGTGAAAAAGTCCAGCTAGGTGATTGGCTACGTCTAGCGACGGGCACAAATGCAGACAAGAGCTGTCTTGGCTAGATGGCCGCAGTCCTACTTTCGAAGGATGCTGACACGGCGGAGTTGAAGTGCAAGTCCGCGAGCTGCTGGGGTAGCAGGTAAGCGTCGCTCATCGTTGAAGCATGTTTACGGGTCGAGCTGAAGATTTGTCTATCACAAGCTGTGTCGTGATCTTGACCTGTGTATAAATATTGCGAAACATCCTAATGATAACCAACTTTCTCTCTGTCTACCATCCCTACTCTCGTATTTGAGTCTCATCTCCACAATCGCTATACTCAATTTCCAGTGACATCAATAACACAATCGCTCGCTCCAAACGACTAGCAATTTTGATCCATATTCGCAACTCTCGCTTGCCATTTCCAGCGGTTCGCCAATCATAACCTATCTTGTGCACAACAGATCACACATCGCAATGTCTTTCATCAGCAAGATCACCGTCGCTCTCCTTGGCCTGGCATCGGCCGTTGCCGCAGCCCCAGCAGGCAGCTGTCCAGCTACCCAACAGCCACCCTCCAAGCCGGCGTGCGTTCCCGGTACGAAAATCGCGATTTGGCAACCGGAGATGTGGACCATCTACCCGAGCAATCCCACCGCGCAAGACAGCCCAGTAACGGGCCTAAATCTGGTCCGTCACGCCGAAGCCTCCATCAACGAGGCACTCGCCGTCTTTACGGGCATCCCAAAGGAGGCCAAGACCTGTACGCTGGGCTGGGGTGCATCAGTCAAGGGGGAGAGGACGGAGACCTTCTTCGTCAAAGATAATGGGAACACCGAGTGGCTGCAGGTGCCTGGAAAGCCACCGGGCAAGGTCACCTGGAACTCCGTCCGGCCATACGTGCTGAACGGTGGCAAAAGCAGTGGCCTTGACCTCACTGGTGGGAGCGATACCGATGCCGCGGTTGCGGGCATCGGGTGCCAGTTGGACTGTGCCGAGACTATGTACCTCTATGGCATTATCACGGATGCCAGTGCTGGCAGTATCTTCTTGGACCAGGACTTTCAGAACGGACTGAACATGCAGGTTACCGGCTAGATCGGGATTTAGAGGGTTCCAGGCTCAACCCTGATTAGCATCACAGCATCTAGGTTGGGAATGAGGCGTTTGGTTGAATTTAGCGAGTAGTAAAATGATAATAATCTGTACAGAAATATCTTCATGCGGCCATTTCGCTAAAGAAGTGAGCCCGAGATATTATGACTATAGGGGCAAAGATATCACCTTGATTGAACCAAGCTGAATGTAGGGGCAGATGCTGGTGTGGGTTGAACAATGAGCCGCGGAACAACACAACGGTCCTTATTGTTTGCGCATTCACAGGTCGTTTTCTACCAGTATATGTGTGTTATAGTAACGGGCGTCCTCTAACTCACCTCCAGAGTCATACTCTGAGCCTCTCTTGTAACATCAAACAAGTACACACAATCGCCTTGACAGGATATAAAATCCTTCACAGTCAGCTGACCAGACACACACTTCACAGAGCGACTACTCCCTACGTCTCCCAACTTTTGCCGCCTTCACTTCTCTTACTGATAGCACGCATCAGCCCAGGTACCCAGCTACCTATAAGATGGCCGAGTGCAAAAGTCAGCATTGTCTGTTTGCCACCAACAGCGCGAGCAGAAGCCAAGGTGCGGCCGTTGCATGGAACGGCGACAAGGCCCTCGCGAGCGCCGGTAACATCATCTCAACGAACATGAATGCGAAGGAGCCGCACGACATCTGCGAGCTGATGGACTGGGATTTCATCGAGGAGGCCTTCCAGAAGACATGGGACAAGCATCTGTGCGTTGCCGACCATACCAAAATCCCAAAGACAAGTCTGATCAAGGCCGCATTCTCGGCCATCATGGACGGAGAGGCCAGCACAGACCCTAGAATTCCCTACGGCGCTCATCAGATGGCCATGTTCGCAGCCGAGATTACCAAGGGCCTGCTGCGACGGACGGGCCGTGAGTGGAGGGCTGAGGATATTAAGAAGGAGGCTCTTGATACGACGTTCGCGATCATGGTTGCGAAATGGGTTTTGCGGCTTAAAGAACGTTCAGGCTGTCAGTGACCTTGCATCGCGCGCATGATACGAGCGTGGTATGGGTGGGGATTAGTAGCACGGCGAGAATGAGGAATGCTTGCGAGTTCGCATTGGGGAAAAATATAACTAGGAACAACATGCTATAGCAGTATTCATGCCGTGTGCTTCGGTCTCCTGAAATGTGTAAAGGGCGCTGTAGCCACTTGTTTCGACCTCGTAGGCAATTTGATAGAATACGTGCCAAAACACTCAATGAAGTTACGAACTGCAACAATGGGATAGAAACTATCGCTAGTCTTGTTCCCTGTTATTGTACCTGGTGGACTGGTCCAGCGTATGTAGATTGCGGTTCATTTCTTGAGCTATGGCATATAGGACCAGGGCTCGACGTGGGTTTGATGGGCGGGGGCGGGGGCGGGAATATGACCACCACACGAGGAGAATCAAAGGGGTGAATATCTTGGTCAAAACGTCGACATGGGGACCATTATGATCGCGGAGAACACTGCCACCGTTTTCTCTTTTGCAATAAACCCCACCAAGACGAGTAGCCTCGTATCTGGATGCAAATACACTCTCTCACTCATGATAAAAATCAACGTCTTTGATATACAGCGCTTCGATCTTCCCCCAAGCCGATCTTCTACATACGACGTGTTACCCCTTTTCAAGACGGGGGCCCTCCTCCCAAGGCAGCCGTCAGGCTAACACCGGTATCCGCATCATAAACCAGCCTCTTCAGCAGCGCCCGGATCGCCTCGTCCGTCTCCAGCGCCTCGTTTGGCGCAAACGGCGCCGCGTCCTTGTTGCTCACCGCCGCTTCGGCCGTAGCCAGCATCTCCGCCAGCGAGGGCCGGTCCGCCGGCCTCTCGGCCAGACAGCGAGCCAAGAAGTCACGCAGGTCGTCGTCGAGCGTCGGGTAGCGCGCGCCGTTCCCCTGCGGCAGGATCTCGGTCGCCATGGTCTGGTACCCCTTGTACGTCGACACCGCGCGCGCGACGCCGACGACGACTACCTTGCGCGCGATCATGTTCAGCATCACCCTGCAGATGTCGAGCGCGTTCGTCTCGACGCCCAAGTCCTCCTTGGCCTTGCCGAAGTCGATAAATTTCAGCACGGGGACTAGGTGTGTTCGGGGAAGTCGCCCGTGTCGCCGAGCATGACTGTGGGCGTCGGCGTCGTCAGTATCACCGCGGGGATCTTGAGATTGGTGATGGGTGTCTTGGGGGGCTTACTGTTTCCCGCGTGTATATCCCCATGCTCCATCCGCCCAGGCGCGCTGCCATCTGTCGGCACAGTCTCCAACTGGGAAGCCGCGGTCAGGTCGCGATTCGGTGGGTACGCCATCGCAACCACAGCTCTAATCGCTGTCATCCATGGATCTCATCAGCCAACCCGGCTCCCATGCCCACTGGCCTCAACGGCATCACAACCATCTACCAGGCCACCAAGTACTCACAGCACAAAAAGAAAGCCCACAATATCCGATTCGGCAACAGCTGATCGAATTGATAAAGCCGCGTCCACAAGCGCGCCAAGTCCGCATTCTCCATGTACTCGACCACAAGAACAGGCCCCTTGAGGCCAATGAGAAACCCCTCGCGCTTGCCGCGCACACGGTTGACGAGCTGGCGAAATCTGCGCGCGCCCCGGGAGGGCGGCGCAGGGTCGTCGCGAGTCGCAATGACGCGGGCGATGGGGGCGGAACCGCTGAGTCTCTGTTATGGCCAGCGTAATGTCAGTCTAGAACACATTATGAGAAACGGACCCATCCATATTCATCGACGAGCAACATCAAGTAAGTAACAAGACATCACCAACGTACCCTCATCCATTTAATCTCCTCCCGCAAATCCCCCTCATTCTCGCCCCTCAGCGCCCTCTTAACCGCCAGCATGCGCCAACGTCCGCCGCCGACGCCCACGCCCACGCGCTCGCGCACGCTGAACGCGAGCCCGTACCCGCCGCGGCCGATCAGCTCCCCGTACCGGAAGCGGATGGACGTGAAGTGGTTTTTGATCTCGGCGACGCGTTCGTCGGTGATGACGGCGTTGTTGCCCTGGTTCAGCAGCTCGTTTATGCTGCTGAGGTTAAAGTCGAAGGTCGGCGCCGGTGCTGCTGGTGGTGCGGCCGGTGTTGCGGCCATGGCATGGTAGGGGCAGAGGGCAGGCAGCTACAGGCAGGTCGAGCTAGGTAGGTGGTTAGCTGAGGTAGCTGAGGTCACTATTGGATAGTCAGTCTGTTTGTTTGTTCGAGCGCAATGCAATTGAGTGATGAAGGCGGCATTGTTGGAAGCGTCTATTGTGGCTTTGTCGAACAAAGGGGGTTCAGCTGCCACTTGGCTGTCCATTTCCGGATACCACGAGTTGATGGCTTCGGGCTGCTAAGGTGGACAAAGATAAGGCAGGGCTGCACTTCAACGACCAAAAAAGCTCTCATTGGTGAAATAGAATACTCGTATCTCTAATTCATAACGCTGTTCCTGTGATACACGCCTCGCCTGTGGGACCCCTGTGCTTCATCCGCAATGCATGCATACATGATTGCAGCAATGATCAAAGCACTGACTGAGGGAAACCATCTTCTCAGCACCCTATCCTCATCCACACGCAGTGCATCCACATGAGAAAAAGCAGAAAAGACCAAGCTTCGTCTTTAGAGGACACGCGGCCCGCTCCCAGCTTCTAGCCTGTTCGTTGCTATGGTCGTCACTTTCATCTTCGCCTTCCCACTTCTCTGGTTCAAAGGATGTCTATCGCCTCGTGGCGGAACAGGCGACTCAGGAGGCGGCAGTGGTGCAGTGCCATTCTTCGGGAAGAGCGACCCCGATGTGTCTCCCGCAGCAGCGCTGGCTTTCTGGCCGGTTTTCCCAAGAGCCAGCAGCGCATAGTGGCCTCCTGCCACAGGACGGGCCTTGAACATTTGACCTCCGCCATAGCCACCAGTGTCGATAGTGTCGTGCAAGTCTGAGAAAGCAAGATCGGTGCTGGTTCCATTGAGCCAATGAGCAAGCGCGTTGACGAAGAGCCTGCGAGTGGTCTGCGAGCACGTCGCAGCCGTCCACATCTCCCAGTCGGACTTGGTATAGTAGTGGCGGCTGTCAAGGGGCACTCCAAACACTAGCGAAACATTTGGATACCATTCCGATTGCATGGTGTACACGCTTTCGTTGACGAGACCCATGTTCAGTAACTTGTCAAAGTAGATGTTGTAAAGTAGTCCCCAGCTCGATTGCCCCTCATATGCCAGGGTAGTATGTGTGCCGGCAGCGTCGATAGCGAAGCCTTCCCATTCCTGGTAGTACGCCCTGGCTGTACCTGAAAATTTTATAGCATCATTATCGTCGCCATGGGTGGTTGCGATGGCTGCCATGGCCTGCAAACCGACTATTCCCTTGATGGCGAGGTTGGTCTGGTTCGCCAACGGGCCAGCGAAGTCATCGGTGCTCACTTGACTCTCCGGAATTCTCGTGGAGGCGATCAGGTACTGTGCAAACTGCTTGAGCAACTTGTAGTGAGAATTCAGCCATGTCTCATCCCCTGTAAATTTGTAGTATGCGTAACTCATCAGTATGGCATTTGCACTCTCCTCCAGTGGCATGTACTCGTCGTTCCCTTCAACATGACCGGTCGCATTTGGGAAATGTGATCCAAGGTCATGGATACTGTAGTCATTTGGATAGAAATCGTGTTCCTGGAACTCGTACAGCGGCTGCAACGCGTATTTGAGCAACTCCGGGTTTGCGTAAAGAAAAAACGGCGATGCTGGATACAACACGTCTACAGTATTGACGTTTCCATTGCTGGAAATCTCTTTCTGAAATAGTAAGGGATCAATGTCATCGGTTGTCGAGGTGGATGTAGTGTCGGCGGGCACTGCGTAGACGTAGGCGCCCATGATCTGCCGCGCCGACAATGCCACGATGGCGTAATACGATTCCGCCTCTGACACGAAAGGCACCGCGACACCGTCTCCAGTGATCGGGTCCACATATCCATAACCAGAGCTAGCGTTGAAAACAAAAGGCTGGCCGTACTGGTCTGTGCCGTTGGTAAGAAGCATGGGGGCACTTGGTATGCCGTTGCTGTAAACCGGTGGTTCCTTTCCTTCGTAAAAAGCGTTCACGTCTGCTTTGAGCTGGGTTTCGAACTCGTTGGCGATGTCTTGCACCGCGGCAAAGTCATCCCAATGCCAGTGGATCATCGAATACATATCTCCGTAGCATTTCTCCCACCACGGCTGCAGGTTCGATACGCCTTGTTCATGGAGATATCGGACCTCGGGGTTTTGGATCGAGCCGACAGTGTATCTCACCGAAGCCTGCTTGACGACGCCAAGGTCATGTGCAAAGGCAAACACCGGAGTTTGGCTGCTAAAGCCTTCGAACCCGGATTCGACGTTGTCGTTGAGGGTGTGGTTGTTGACGAAGGCTGACCGTACCGTTGTCGTGAACCCGCTTTGGAAGGAGAACTTATCTGCGCCATGAGGACTGGTGTTGTAGGTGAAATTGCCCCATTTTGGAAAGTCCTCCAACTCTCCAAAGTTGTAGTGGATTTTGCGCTGCAATTGCCAGGTGACGAGATCAGGAAAGTTAGTAGCATCGCCTGTTCCATCAACCAGCATTGCGCCATTTCTCAGACCCGAGTCGACATCAGCAATATCGCCAAATCCTGTCCAGGCGGTGTCCACGTCAGAATAGAAATGTATGCCGTGTGGCTGGTCATCGTTGGATTGGACACTCGTCGTCAGATAACTGAGGGGGACCGCGCTTCGACAATTGTCTTTTGGGGTCACTGGTGAGAAGAAGCTAGCGAGTACGGTGACCGGTCCAGCGAGGAATGTGAAGTTTGAATACTGGGAGTCGAAGGTGACATCTTGTGGTACAGCGGACTTGAAGTCTTCAAGCGCAGGCAAATCGTTAATGGCGTTACCCATATATTCGTACGCTATGCCATCAACCACAACAATCCCCTCCCATCCGACCCTAGCGCCGGTCCAGAATCTCGGAGTCTGACTGTTGAGGGTTGCTGTATTGTTCGTGGAAGACCAAACACTGGTGTATGGGCTTCTAACGGCCAGAGGAACAGCCGGAGGTCTGACGGGCGAGTAGTTTGGAATGATGTGGCCATTGATGTCCGTCTGGCTGCTGAAGGGGTTCTGCGCGTTGACGATGGTCAAGGTGCAAGCAATGACGAGGAACAGCCGCGCCAGTGGTGATTTGGATACGTGTGTATGCATGGCTTCTTCCACTCCGCCGAATGTTAGCTATATTCGACGACTTCGCGCTCACAGTAGTAGGGATCTTCGGGGCCCGTCTCGTCGGGTAAGGATGTGTCTCGACGAATAACGCTGTTACCGGAAACTGTACTTTCGCGACATTGTGGCTCTTGAGAAGAAGGCAACCAAAGGTCAAATACTCAAGAAGCCCGGTGGGTGCCAGCAGTGGGAGACAGCCCAAGTGAAAGATCCACGACGCCTACCTCTTTCACTCTCAACCACGCTACACAAGCCGCCCCTCGAGTCGTGACTCCTTCGTGACCCCGCTGGGCCGAGAACTGCTCTGGAGTGACGCCGCATGAGCCGGCAAGGTAACCGGGCTGGACGTGGACAGAAGACTTGGCAATGGAAGGAGCACCTATCTGCGTGTTATCTCAGGCAAGTACCCCTAAACAGATCACATGGTCCAGCTGATGACCTATGTAAATCATTATTGCGATTGCTCCAGGTTGCCAGTGACAGTCGAAATTCGAAGGGGTTTGTTGCATGTACAGCAGACAGCAACTAACGTTATCGACCCACGCATGTTCGATTCATCAACGTGCCAATGCATGTCATTGGAACCCCGCGTCTGATTTCGCCCTTTCCGACGATCGCCGTCCGGCAGCCGTTGTGAATAGGAGGGACCGACGAAACGCATATATATCCCTTTGCCGACGCCCGTCCTAGAGTGCGTGGCCACAGTCCGGGTTACAGCTAATACTCAGTGTCTTTGAGCCGGCAGGATACCATCGTTGGGTGGCCGTCGAGAGACAAATGATGCGATGTTCCTCCGTGTATATCAGCAACCCTGGTTGGTTGAATCCGATGACTGCAGTGGCACCTAGGTAAGCTTCGTGTCTGCGTTGTCACCAACTCACACGTTAATGCAGTTACGAGAAGTAACACGGGGACTCGTGGTCACATGGGCCAACTCGGTGCGCCTGGCCCGCCTTGTTGGGGGGGGAATGTTGTCAGCCGACGCTGAGTACCGCGGCCTTGTCACGCCGAGGTCTTGCACACTAAATGGTGCTTGGGGTGACAGGAGCATAAAAACTATACCAGCCATGCGGTGAGCATCAGCGAACTGGTCACCATGAAGGTTCTGAAGCATACTCACATAACAGGGTGGAACCTCAAGCTTCGCAAGGTCGCCGGGGCCATGTCGAGACCATACCCGAGTATGTTGTTTCTACCCATACCGTCACAGATTGCGACGATAAGGTGGTACCTTACCAGACTTCGGATACGAGCCCTCTTGAAGCCGTTGCAAAGGCAACGACGTAGCGCCAGGCTGGTGGATAGGGATGTCGACAGTGAATGAAGCGAGGTTGGCGCCTCTTTCTTCACAATGCCTTGTCATTTCCTCCGTTTTCTTCTCCAAGTAACTCAGGAGGTTCATGTGCCAAGGCGAAGTTGCTTTCCGCGGGGAAGGCTCTCAGCAGCGGGCACCTTGGTTCTGGTGAGCAGAAGCAATGGCTTCACCGGTGTCCTGTTCGCGCCCTTGTTGCCTCAAATGAGTGCTGTACCACCGCTGCAGATACCCTAGTAAATCACGCGGTGAAGAGTGTGGGATTTTTGGGCCAGGTGAGAAACACCGGCAGAATAGGTGGGTGGGTTGTTTGTCGTCATGATAGCCACGGCCACTATCACACCCGAGTACACTGTGGCAGAGGACTTGATTGGCAATGCGACGACGGCTGCACGGGAATCTCGGGTGGGTTGTTCGGGCTGCCCTGGGTGAAACACAAGAACCAAACTGTCCTCGGACGTTGATTAAATGTCAGCCAGATAGATCTGGGCCGCTCCATCACAGGATTGGGGGAGCAAACATATCGCGATATGTATGCAAGTGATTGTGGGGATGTACTCGATGTCCCAGTCAGGTGGGAGACCTGTAGTGCAGGCTTCTGTCAACAGCGGAAGCCGGATGAGTTCAATATTCTTGTCGCACCCACGCCATTCGAAGTGCGAGCAGACCTCAGGCCCGACGGTGTAGCGGCCCCCTCGTCAGGCGACGTGGCACAGCTCGTCGTACTCACCACGTGCGGTGCAGCTGACGATGACCTAGCAGTTTCCGCGAGGTCAACACGAACGCCGTGTTCGTGTTATTGGTGATAGGTTCAGCGTGGACAGGTTCCATAGCCAGTGTCGCAAGGACCAGTCCGGGGGATGACAGAAGCACGCTGTCGCCACAAGTCATAGCGTTGCTCAAGGTGGGCGCGGGGGAAGTGGTGTTGCTTGTGGGCAAAGTCGGTATCTCTTCACCGGGTTTGGTCGTAACGAGCGCGACCGACTGCCCTTGGAACCATGTACCACCAGCAACATCCGCCGCCAGAAGCAGACCGTTTCACAAAGGTGAACAACCAGCCACGTGGGGTGATGTACTATGGTTCCAGGGTGGACAGCCAGCGACGCCTCTTCGCCCACCACGATGCTGTTGAATGCGATGGAACAAAGACACTCAACTCGAGGCTTTCGGCAGGGACACAACACAACAATCGCTTGACCGACGATGCGGCGAGAAAGGTGGCCCGAACATTGTACGCATATACCATCCCCAATAACGACAAGTCGCTCCAAGTTGCTCCAAGCAGAGTCTGACGGCGCTGAGCGTGAGGAGGCCAGCAGGCCTGATCAGGCTCGAAGACATGGATGTATCCACTGAAGCTCGGTGTTACGCCCAGACCACCTCGGCATTTTGATAGTCTCGGTGTTCGGTATTAAGAACGCCTGCACGGGGATAGGAGACACCAAAAGCTCGGGTTCGGCATTCCACCCAGCGCTTTCTCTTCCTCAGACGATGGACGACCTTTACTTTCTCGGGGGCTCACCATTTCCTTCGCTCCTCGATTGGGTCTCCAATTTACTCCTAGTCACTTTCCCCTACTCCGAACTCCATCTCGTTGACAATGGCCGAAGAACCCAAGTCCTTTGCTCGCAAACGCCGACGTCCGGCCAAGAGCTGCGAGCCATGTCGCTCTCGTGAGTACCATCCCTACCCCAGGAGTCGACACCGCAAACTTGAGACCTCGGTGAGGTACCCGGGACTTCTTTTCTCTCTCTCGTGTTCTGGCCTCTCTCTTACCTACACCGACTGATCGCATCTGCCAGGCAAAGTAAAGTGCGACCAAGGCCTCCCCTGTATCCCATGCAAACGTTCAAGAGCAGCGTTTTCATGCTCATACAAGGGTGGCCACCAGGCGTCACACTCGAAGTCATCCCTATCACATCATACCTCGCTGGCCAGCCCTGCAGCTTCCATCATTCCCAAGGTTGATCTGGTTCGTGACATTTCCGAGGATTTGCTGGCCGTCCATAACGAAGGCCAGCCTGGCTCTCAAGACCCTGGGTCACCATTGCGAAGCCCAGAGGAATGTTCCAGAGATCTTAGAGCTCGAATCAGGTCCCTAGAGAACATTGCGCGCCCCGAGGGAAGCAGCAATGATCAAGGCAGCCCCGGTCAAGCGATACGGGACCTCGAGGAGAGAGTCTCAAGGGTTGAGCAACAACTATCCGTGTCGAAGCGTGACCAGGCGAGGATCAGCCATACCGGACTACAGGTCACATTGCCTCGTCCACATCTTCGGGCTGAAAAGGAGAAGACTAGGCTTTTCGGTCAAACTCATTGGGTTCACTCGCTCGAACAGGTAATTTGATCTGAACCAAACATTTATTCCAATTCGATCACTGATCAAATACAGTTCCACCTGCTCGCCAGAATGCAGGCGAAGACATCTGCTGCGTTCGACGGCCAACAGAACGGAATTTCTTCAAGCATCAAGGAGGGAGCTAGTGCTCGACAATTGGCTCAAAACCGTGGCACTGGGAGACTGCAAGAGCTTATGCCTGGTCTGCCTGACACCATCCCTCCGAGAAGCGTCTGTGACGAGGCGGTCAATGCCTACCTGCACACATTTGAGCCCATGTTCCGTATCTTACATATCCCGTCATTTCTGCACGAGTACGATGAGCATTGGTCTCACTCCGACAGTCCTCAGTCAATTTTCCTCATGAAACTTCTCATGGTTCTCACAATCGGAGCAATCTTCCTTCCGGACCGAACCATCTCCAATCAAATACGCCGTGCCGCTCGAGAGTGGTCCTACGTCGTCCAGTGGTGGCTCGTTGGACCTACTGAGCGTGAAGCAATGTGCCTCGACGGCGTACAGGTCTTCTGCCTTCTCATACTGGCACGTCAGACGACTTCTTTAGGGGGGTCGTCATCGATTGCTACTGAAGCTCTTCTCAAACTGTGCTTTACCATAGGCCTCCATCTCGAGCCCAGGACAATTGGTTCCAGGACAGTCTTTCAGTCAGAGATGCGCCGTCGTCTCTGGATAACAGTCCTCGAACTGACGACCATTACGTCTATGAACTCAACGCTTCCACTTCTTATCTCCTTAGATGACTATCAATGCGAACAGCCGTCAAACACATCGGACACTGGCCTGAAGGAAGGTGATCCATATGCTGCCCTCGAGGTTTCGGAGCTGCAGAACTTGGACTGTTCACTGCAGCTTCTCCTGGCCAAGTCGCTCAGACTCCGAATGCAGATCACTCGTGAGTTGAATACCTTCCGTCGAGAGTTCTCCTACCAAAAGGCACTGGACTACGGCAATGCTTTGAAGGCACAATGTCGCGAAATTGCGGAATTCTTCCAGGCAAGAAGCTGCGATAATGACGACTGGCATCCGGCGCTCGGCTTTCATCACAAGTTCTTCGACTCGTACTTGAGGCGGATCATCCTAGTCCTTCACCGACCATTTGCCATGAAGGCTCGAAATGACCCTCAATTCTTCTTCGCCAGGAAGGCTTGTCTTGAATCGTGTACCATCATTTCCTCTCATGCCAAAGGGATGAATTTCCCAAGTGGAGAGGTTGATGACTTCTCATACTTGTGTATGAGTGGCACTGGGCTGTTCAAAGGCTTCTTAGGACAGGATATCCTCTGTGCCCTCGCTTTTGAGGTCACCGTGCTACTGGAAGAAGAAGGAAGCGGAGAAAGAATGACTTTGTCTACCTCGGCTACTTACGATCCACTCATATCGCTTTCACGAGCCAGCAGAGAACCATTGATGAAGACTCTGGATCATATTCGGGAGCAGTGGCGGCAAATCATCTGCTTGGGACGCCCGAGTCTCAAACAATACCTGTTCTTATCAACCATTCTTAGCCAAATCAGGGCGACAGAGGCGGGCCAAGACCCCAAAGAAGCCATCATCCAGACTGTGAAGACTACTCTTGCAGAGTGCCTTGCAATGCTTCAGGAGTCGGGGGTCTACACTAATACAGCATCTTCGTCATCACTAGCTGGTTGGACAGATGGCACGAGCCCTTTTGATGTGGACATGTCAGGCCTTTTTGGCTTCGATTTACATTCACTTGTAAGTTTCTCATATTATTCACCGTCATTAGTGACTTTGACTTACCAATTACATAGGATCCTACTTTGACTCTGGACATCCCGGACTGGCTTGACGACCCCAACATGGCTCCCAGCATGGCGACATGACATGCGTGGACAGCGTACCATAGTCCTACACACAGCATGCGACGATTTATTATATCATCAATCTTTTCGACCGCCAGGGAAGAGCCACACAACAAAATGCTGAGCCCCTGTGCTATACCCTGAGCCTAACAGAAGAAAACTCCATAAATCATCCCAATCTACCGAAAGATTAACCATGGCGTCCACAGGCTCGGGTCTATGCGTCACAAGCCGAGCGGCATGCGCACACAGCACGTTACAGCGGCAGTTAATATCCTCACGGTGTCTTTAACTCTAAAGGGTACCGAAGGCGCGATCGTGTCGGGTGCGCACCACGTGTCTCCACCCGGCTTCAGCACCGGGAGATCGGATGAGGGCATTCACAGCAATATTCGACTAGCAAAGAAGGAGACAAACAATGGAAGATTACCGATTCAATCAGACGCCATGCAGAACAACAAAGAGCGGTATGGAACCCAAGCCGCGAATTCGCATCAAGCTCGTCAGCTCTCAGACAAAGACAGAAGGAAACATCAACCAGAAGAAAGTCTCGAAAGCACATTCCGACACTGCGACCTCTACAATCGCACGATGGCCTCTGACAGGCCTTTCTGAAACTGATGCCCTACAGGACATCCTCTCATCTCGAAGGACTCAGCCGCGATCTGGTACAAGAGGGCAACCCGAGCCACAGGACCGCAACTCCCAAAACCCGCACCTGTCCCTCAAGAACCAGCCTTCCTCAACCCCTGGCGAATCTCACGATCCTCCCACTGCTCACCCGACGATAGGATGTCTACACCCATCAACCCGCCGCCCTCGCGGCCCCCGACAGCTCGCCCTGTCTCCACGCGACCTCCCACAGCTCGTCCCGTCTCCACGCGACCACCCACAGCCTTCGCGCCAGCCCCCACGCCGATGACCACCCCAGCGCCTCTGCCTTTGCCTCCGCCTCGCCAGATACTGGGCAAGACGCAGCTCGAAAACGCGCTCGAGGAATACATGCACCCACTTTCGGGACAGCGACCCGAGGGTATAATGCAGTACCTGGCCAACCTCTTCGGCCCCCCTCCCGCACCACGATCAGCAGGTATGTGAAATCCCCTCCCCATACGCCAGCCAACCCAACCCAACCCAACCTACCCATCTGTCCGTCCGTCGACCCACAATAGGGGGGCCAGCCAGTACTGGTACTGACTTGACTCCGCCCCCAACAGCATTCGTCCAGTACATGGACCGCAAGATGGCGCTCTGGCGGCCCTTCGTGCGCTTCGTGGCCGAGCGCCAGATGCAGGACGCGTCCGAGGTACCCAAGCTGGTCGCTATCATCGACCTGCTGGTTTTTCACGGCGTGGTGGACGCGAAGTTCGTGACGCAGTGTTTGTTGGAGGCGTATCGTAGGTCTTCCCCTTTCCCCCTTTCCCTCTCTCCCCCCATTATCTCCCTCACTCTCTCTCCCTCACTCTCTCTCCCCTCTTCGTCTTCTTCGTCTTCTTCGTCTTCTTCGTCTTCTTCGTCTTCTTCGTCTTCTTCGTCTTCTTCGTCTTCTTCGTCTTCTTCGTCTTCTTCGTCTTCTTCGTCTTCTCCATCTTCATCTTCCCATAAAACCACGACACGACTCAAGCTCAAAACTGACAAAAGGCCCGCTCGCCTCCCGTGCGTGTAGACATCTACATAGAGCGCCACGACAGAATCTGCGTCAACCGCCTCTACGGCTTCGGCCTCATCCTGCAGAGCCATCCGCGCGGACTGATGCACCAGGTCGAGTTCCCGGGTCTGATGGGTGAGCCGATGGGAATACGGGTTGTGCCTGTTGCCATGTGAAGGGTGGGAAGAGAGGGATATCAGGGTGAGACCCGAACTGCTGGGGTGTCTGTGCGTGGGAGGAATTTGGGGTTGTGCGATGTGGTTGTGATTGAATTGATGCCGAGTCTCTCGAGGGTGACTTTCTGTGGCAGTGCTGGCTTGTGTTGGGTATGTGCGTGGTGTATGATGGAGAGTCCCTCCCGACTGCCATCTAGGAGCCATGGGGTGTCCAGGGTAGAGCGAGCAAGGCGCAAGGCGCAATGGTCAAGGTCAAGGTCAAAGACCAGAACACGGAGACGATCAACATGCATGAACCTCACCAACGAGCCTATGAAACACAGACAAGGCAAGGCAAGACTGCGTCTGACTGGTATCATTGATCATAAAACAGTGCGATACCACTAGTCTAGTCGACTGTATCATCGCCATCCAACCTCGCCTTCTGCAACGCGTCATGCAATCGCGCATGGTGTCTGACATCCTTCTCGTGGTACGGATTGTACAGCATATAACAGTCCCTGCACTCCGTGAACCCCTGGTCGTTGAGCGACAGACTCAGCGTAGTCTGCACCGTGGCCGCCTTGGGGACCTCCGGTGTTTCCTTCCCGCGCTTCCCAACAGCCTCTGGTCGCTTAGTCCTTCTGCCATCGACGACGCGATCCAAAGAATTGGGACTCGTCTCCGCCATTATTATTATTATTCCCCCGTCACTACTAGATGGTGAGACTTCTCCGTCCGTTAGTTCTTTTGCCCTCTCTTCCGACTCCTCACTGTCTCCGTTTTCGTCGTCGGGTTCTTCGATGTCTCGAGACACTACCCGTGTCGTGAGCCTGCGCGCCTTCTTCCTCCTGACATTGAGCTTCGGCGGGGATGATGGGGGAGTTATCGTGTTGTCGAGTTCGTGCTCCGCTGCCTCGGACGATGGCTCAGAGGGCAATGTGCTACTTGAAGTCGGAGGCGCGACTTTCTTGAAATAGGCGAAAAGCGTTCCTTTCTGCGCCGTTTGGGGAGGCAGGGCTGGGGGCGGAGGTTTTTTGGCGTTGGTGGTACGTTTCGTTCCAGCCGCAGTTGTATCCGCGATGCGCCGTCTCTTGGCCTCAGGCTCGGGGGCGTCGGTGGAGGAGGCGCGTTTGCTATATGTTCGCAGTGGCCTGAGACGCTTGTTAATCGGAGTATATTTCGCGGAGAGGTTCGAAGATGGAACGTACGCCCGGTCGACCTTCTTTGTGGGCCTGTTTGGCATTAGCAACGATTGAGGAAAGTGGCTGGGACGATGGACTGACCTTGGCTTCCCTTTCAACTCTGACATTCTCGTTTCTATCTTTCGTCCAAGGCAACAGTCCAAAGGGGTATTATACAGTGTTCCAAGGATATCGAATTCAAAAGTGGGTGGCGGCCGTTGCTACATATAGTCGGCCTCGATGTTCCGTAGTCTCGACCACGAGCGTCGCGTAGGTTCGCGTTGCACTGTCATGAAAGATGACACAGTTCCTATTGAGCAATTAAGAAACAAGGCTTGACACGAAACATTACCAATGGAAATGGACAAGCTTATCAGCTCGCTCCGGTCTGCGCTGCGCGCAGCCCAGAGAGTGGGGGCAACGCATCCCATTAAAACACATCCACCTGGGCTGTACTTAAAAACAGGTAGCATTACCACCTAAAAGCAAGTATTATTTATTAAACGTTGCTCCGCTGCTGGCTTGGAAGTGGTTACATGATAGCGGCTTCGCTTAAAAAAGAGTTAGTCTAACAGTATTACTTGTATTTAAAAATAGGTAGTATTATTATTTCAAAATAAGTACTACTTATAACGCTGCTTTATAACGAGCTAAGCGACGCCGCTTTCAAAAAGAGTAACTTTACTAGCTTTAAAAGAAATTATCTACTTAAATAATATTTAAAAACGGGTAGTATTACCACTTTAAAACAGGTATTATTTATTCAAACTCGCCTTTACTAGCCCTAAAAAGGGTTACATAATAGCCGCTTTAAGCAGCTATATTATAGTCGTATAATCATAACAGCGTGCACGGATTAAAATAATACACTTTAAATTAATTATACTGTTGGATCCATGCGATTCCAGACTGCAAACCATCTATACTAGGACCCATATGTATGATTAGATAAGATAAGATAGTGGATTGAGAGGGCACTTGGCCAGACCTTCGAGTCCAGCTAGATTCCTCTCAATCCAACCATCAGCAACATCATGACCTTGACCCCATACTCGAGTATTATGATTGATCGTTCAAGCCTGTTCCAACATATACCGCTAATAGCGTGAATAAAAAATCTAATAATTTAAACCGTTAAATAAATCGGTTTTTATATAATAATCTTACATGAATATCGATCACGTGCACTTATAAGTTATTTAGTTATATAAAAAAGTCGAGTTAAACAAGGCGAAACGAAAAGGTGTAATTAGTTATAGCAGTACATTTATTAGAGAAGACTACGATAGAGACTAGCAGGCAGAAGTATGGATGTGCAAAGTGGGGAAGGGCAGAATATGTTGACATGCTAATGACATGGAAGAAACTCGGGCAATCGACGCGTAAAGTGCAGAACATCAGACGCGTCTGGACCACCTGCAATAAGGTGGGGCTGAACACTACCTCAATGTGGTAGCCCGGAGCTGTGCCGGATGGTGGGGCGACCCGGCAGCCCGGCCAGCCCTGCCAGTGACGAAAGGAGGTTGAGCAATGTCAGCCCGGAGAACTGAAAGAAGAAATAGTGACGGGTTTCTTCATATTATTGAGCTCCTACTTAGGTAGCCATCATGTTGATGCTGGTCCCTTGATCCTCTTGCGAAGATTCGTATCCAGTCCCGCGTCATCTGGTTTGAGCAGTTGCGGCCGTTCCTCCAGACTCTCATTCTCGACATCCTCCCCGACCACCCAAGTCTTGACGATGTCCTTGACTTCGGCCATCTTCTCTTGTTTCTTCGAACCTTCTCCCATCCGCCATGTCCAGGCTGAGTAGACCGCAACTTCGGCGATGGCGACTACAATAGCGCCGCCCAGGCTAAGAAAGAGCCGTGCCGAAACAGGCCACCACTGGGCTAATTTCCAGAGTGCGGCTGCACAGCCGAAAATACTGACCAGAAAGTTGATGATGAGTGTGATTTGTTTCTGCACGTCGCCAAATTCAATATCGTCGTCGCCCAAATCGGAAGCTTTCGACGGCTTGTTGACTTCGGCAAAGGAATGCGCCATCGGAGCCCTTGGGAACCTCTCGGCGAACGACTCTCGCGGGTGCGCTTTCTGCAGCATGCGTTGGTAGGATCTTTCTTCTTCGTCGCGTCGCAGCCGGGCCATCAGAGCTTTGTACTCGTTGGTCTAGGAGTCGCAAGTTAGCCAACCTTCAAGTTCAGATCAGCAGTCAAGAAGCGGACCAAACGAACAGGTTCAGGCTTCTGCGGCGGTGGAGGGACATAGATGGACGCGCCACCCAGCAGACCCTCCAGTGTGATCTCATCGTGTCCTGTACTCTTGAAGTGCTCCCATGTATCGATGATCTGTCCATGACTTATGGGCTTGCCCAGCGCAGGGTCATCCAGAGACGGCTCCTTGGTCGCAGTCGAGTCGGATTTGTTTGGTTGAAAATTGGAATCACTCCGGTTCTCCAAAAGCTTGAGCGCCTCCACTATGGAAGCTGTCATCGTGAGGAGCACCATGGTTTGATACGGTGTTGCGGCGCATTGGTGTCGTAGGAAATCCTAGACCTGTCAGATCACCAAGGACTGCAGGCAGATGCAGGGCCACCTCCATGAATCCACTCGGAGGTCTTGGAGCTGAGCGCGGGCCACATATCCAGTCAGCACCTGCAGAACGCATGTGGACCAGAGCTCGACGCCACAGATGTCGGTGTTGTGCACATCAAGTGCCGAGGCTTCGCCACAAATACCGCCACGACGGTTCAAAGCTGCGACGAAAGCGCGCCAGGCTTTGGCTGGTGAATTTTTTGTTCGGGTCGTAGCTAATAGTCAGCGTCACTCGAAATATCCCAATACTCCTGTCAAGTCCCAGGGTCCGAGTCGCCACAACCCCCAATGAACCGATCGCCTTCGACGAGTCTCCAATAGCTCAATTGGGTTCTTGGCCCAGCTCCAAGACCAATCCCGGCCATGCAGCTCATAACAGGAGCTTCTGTGCTCCTAAAGGCGCGGGCAGGTGGTCGACCCTCAGTCTTTTCCCCCTGTTCAAATTGCAGAAGGGCGGCATCTCTCGACGTGAGATTACGCGTCACAAGATCATCCTACCACAGCACCCCCAGACGACATTCAGCATGGGGAGCTGCCGTTTCGGTGGCCTCCAATATGGTCACCAATGCCGTTACTCGAGCGAAAGGCGACATGCCAACCATCGACCCTCTCCGAATAGTCGCCAAAGAAATGAAGTTCTTGACGGGGAATATCAGGCAGCTACTAGGCTCCGGACACCCTTCCCTTGACCGGGCTGCGAAATATTACACACAGGCGGAGGGAAAGCATGTGCGACCACTGATAGTACTCCTAATGTCTCGCGCGACATCACTCTGCCCTAAGAACGACTCTGCCCTCACCGATGCGAACGACACCGTGAACGCCTCGATATCACCTCTCAACATTCTAGCCGACGTCAATCCTTCATCTCCTCTTGCCGACTTCTCGTCCCAGCCTGAATCTACCGAAAGCGATATCCTCCCTTCTCAACGACGGTTAGCCGAGATCACGGAACTTATTCATACCGCATCACTGCTTCACGACGATGTGGTAGATCACTCAATCTCGCGACGAGGATCCCCGTCTGCGAACTTCGAATTCGGCAACAAGATGGCTGTCTTGGCAGGAGACTTCATGCTGGGGAGGGCCTCGGTCGCTCTGGCGCGGTTGCGCGATCCTCAAGTAACCGAGCTGCTCGCTACTGTCATTGCAAACCTGGTCGAGGGCGAGTTCATGCAGTTGAAGAATACAGCTCGCGACGAGCGAAATCCAAAATACTCGGACGAGATTTTCGACTATTACCTGAAAAAGACATACTTGAAGACGGCCAGCTTGATTTCGAAGTCATGCAGAGCTGCAGCGTTACTTGGGAGAGCCGATGCAGCCACGGTTGAGTCCTCCTACATCTACGGCAAGAATTTAGGGCTTGCATTTCAGTTGGTAGATGACATGCTAGATTATACAAGATCAGAAAAGGATCTTGGAAAGCCGGCTGGAGCTGATTTGGAGCTGGGTCTCGCGACGGCACCACTACTATTTGCATGGAAGATGAATCCGGAGCTGGGCTCCTTGGTAGGGAGGAAATTCGAACGGGAGGGAGACGTACAGAGGGTGAGATTATCATCCGATCCAATGTCTATGACCAGATGACTGACCAGTCACAGGCACGAGAGCTTGTGCTCAAAAGCGATGGGGTCGAACAGACGAGGGCGCTTGCTGCGGACTACTCCCAGCAGGCCATCACAGCAATCAGCACATTCCCCGACAGCGAGGCGAAAGACGGCCTAATAGAGATGGCCATGAAGACTCTCAAACGGCAAAAGTAATCAGGCGCATTAGACGTTGCAGTGTAACACCATACGAGCATATCAGGATTGGATCGAGTCTGGAACGTGCCATTGTATATATCAGTGTTGGGGGCCACAATACCGGGACGCATTGTTGTATCATTGTACCACCATGTACCAAAATCCGGCGCAGCATATAGAGCAGCCAGACCACCAACTCAGCAATTCGAGTCTCCGAAGCGAGAGATCGACCTCCTCATTACACATTACAGATATCCTCTTGCGTGAAAAGAATCAGGTTAGAGCCTCTCGAAGCTCAACCCTCCAGTAAAAATCACGCTGCTCCAAAACAGTGATCTCCCTCGACTTATTAGAAGCCCTGGCAATACAAGGACAGGAGGGGGTTCTGACATTGCATTAGTCGAAGGTAAGTCTTACAGGTAGGAGCAAAGGTTGAAGAACTCACCAGCGCCGTCACCTGGCAGCACAGTTTCACGCCAGGGCAGGCATGCAAGTTGTCGTCGCCTTGAAGAATGTCAGCCTGGACACCACGAAATAGTTATAGTCCGAACCACCGCCATCTCCTCCCATATCATCTCATCTCATCCCATCTCACCGTGTGCCACCCCAGAGACCCAGCTCTAGCCACCATCCATCCCCAATCCTCCATGTGTGATCCGCAACAAACAGAAAAACTAGTATAGATAACAAGCACATGAAACCGAACTGGACTTACAACCAACCCCATTCACATCATTCGGGTTCAGCGCGTACCCGTACACAGAAGCCAGGAACACCACGGGCGGCTGGTCGCCCGCCAGGCTGCCGCGGCAGCACTGCAGCGTGCCGCCGTTGATGGCCGCGCACTCGGGCGACGGGTGCGGCGTCCAGAGGATCGTGGGCGGAGGGGCGTTGCCCAGGCTGCCGAGGAGGGTTTGGACGGGGTTGAGGGGGGTGGTGAGGGAGGAGGCGGTTGTTTGAGTGTATGTGTTGGACGGGGTGGAGGGGAGTGCGAGGGAGGAGGGGAGCAGGCTGGCGCTCGCGGTCGTGATGCAGGCTGTGCTGAGGAGGACGAGGGTGAGGGTGATGCACTGCATCGCGGTTGAGGATGTTGCTGTTGGTGGTGGTGGTGTTTGTGTGAGGTCAGGTCCGGGCTGTGGTGAGGTGAGGTGAGGTCTCCTGTATGCCGGTTGTGACCGCGGAGGAAGTGTCGGCGATGGGCTGGCCTGGATCGTTCTACTAACGGCGCTGGTTCTGCTGCGTGAAAGTAGCACCCCGTTGAGATGACGCTACTGGTGCGCTGCTTGCTTGCTGGGTCTGCGGAGCGGTTTTTTGGATCCCGCGCAAGGAAGAAAGACAGGAAGAAGTGAAAATGAGAATCTCGAGCCGAGTCGGTACAGTCCTTGATGGGATCGCCAGGTTTGATGACTTGAGGCTCCTTCGCAGGATCTTATAGAATTTAGCAGATTCTCTTTTTACGTGTCTATGGCATCGCAGTGTCACCTGGCGCGCTGTGGTGCAATGTTGTCATGCTCCGGCCGAATTAGACGGGAGAGTTCACTATGTCTCTTGCTTGTATCTCTCCGCATATTAAGATGTTCGCGAAAACCTCGTTCTCTGTATGACACAGAGTGTATCTTCGGCGCCATGAGACTGACCACATTCTACGGGAGCTACTTGGTTCCCTTCACCTCGGCCGGTAGGACACCAGTACGTACGATAGCCCCGTCATGGCGGTTGAGGTAACGACCAAGCTACCTATGTGAACTTATTTGGCTCCCAACTAGGGGTGGAAAAACACGGTGTTATATCCAAAAACACAATGCAACTCAACACACGCATATAACACGTGTTGTAGCGTGTTGTGTCTTTGGGGCCGGAATAACCTCCGGAACAGGTTCTGAACGGTAAATTCGGCTTCCAGCCAATTATATGTAGGTCAGCCATCGGCTACCGACAATTTCATCCGACCGCCGCCAATTTCTAAGCTAAATCTAAATAGTTCGTGGTACCCCTGAGTACCATCTATTACGTCACTACCAGAAAGCACACGTATGCTATGGAAAAACACAATACAACACAATACAACATAGGAATTATGTTATATTGTGTTTCTCAGACTCCATCCCTACTCCCAATTTCCCAAGTCGGTCAGATATTAAAGACTAATCTGGGTTCTACCAGACGCCAGGACTCAAGGCTAATCCTAGCTCGTCAAAGTTTATCATACTACTCTCAACAGCCCACCGATGTGCGTACAACGTCAGACAGGCTCGACGGTGCCTGGAAGATCAAGGCCCTTCCAGCCGATGGCGCTGGCGACCTGACAAATCTCCGAGTCCATCGGTTGACGGTGCCTGCTCAGCTCATACACTATTGGTGGCGTCTGACGGGCTTGAGTCATGTAGGTATTGCACTAATTCATTTTCCTGACGTGCCACCAAGCTTGATTCCTCACGAACTCCTTGTTACGCATCAACGGCCAGCAGTCAAGCCTCGTGTATCTTTGGTAAGACGCAACCCTGCTGCCCTGTCCGGATTCGGTTCCTCTGAAGTGAGACTGGCGCACTCTCCCCGGGTGGGCAGTTTTGGTTGGAGAAGTGGAAGGTTTTATTTGTGGACGACCCGGTGGGCCGGATCGACGATCATCGCGACCTATTTGGTAGCTACGGCAAGCTGATTGGGCTCAGGGGTCGGCAATCAAAGGCTGAACCTTGTCTAATCCCGGCGTGGGTCTTGACTATCGATGAGACCCCCTGTGTGCATCATCCTCACCATGTGACGACTCACGAGAAGTACCGCAAGACTCAAGAATATTGACTAACATCAACTAGGCAAAAGCAGTCGAATGGTGATATGTAATAAAAGCGCCGTTGAGGAAGGCCCAGGTCACCGGTATCGTCTCCGGTAGTCACATACCAAGCCCACATAGCGCTCGTATCTAGATCCTTTTATATGCAGGAGCAGCAAGGGCGCAATAGAAGTGTTGGATGGACCGCTCGATTCGTATATTCTGCTTACCTCTTTTGTACGCATGTGTCGCGGAGGGTCCACATTAAGCAGATAGTGCAGCCGTTCGCTAGTCAAGCCGCTTGGGAACTTCTCGTGCGTATGACATCTTCAGTGCCGTGCTGCTATATAATTGATCTAGATTCAATACCAACAGGTAACTTATGAACAGATTTTGCTTCTTCGTAATACGTATAGTACCACCTTGGCATCCTGGCTCAGATACCGACCAGGGCCGCAATTATACACATACTCCCATACCATCACTCCAAGCCTCAGTGGCCTCGATATTGCTGAAGGTGGATGTCACAATTCGGCCTTACGATTCGGCAACGCATACATCCGGCGCCTCCCCGAGACTCTTGAGATCCTTGACCACGCAGCTTACCGATTCGCTTCCGGTCACCATTGTCAAGCGAGGTCGGCGATTGAAGGCCAGGACACTGTTGCTATATTGGCAAGCCTTCAACGGGAAAGACTGCATGAACGCCATATTCGGTTTGCCATTCCTAGAAAAGCAAGCGAGTCTCAGCTATTCGCGTCCCATGATTTCTTCCAGCGCAGTCGTTGTCAAGCCTCAAGCCTGGAAACCATCCCTGGCCTCGAAGGGCTTCGAGAACGGAGAACTTACCCATCCATATCAGTAAAGGGCTACTGATTTCTGCGTTACAGTCATTTGTCTCTGCGCATTGACGACTCTGGCGTGCATGGTGCGGCGGACGTTTCTTCGATACACGTCTATAAAGAGCGGCATCGATCTTGGCTTTTCCCTAATGGCGAACATATTGGAGTAAAGACACAGATGTCAAGGAGCATATGAGCTCCTAGTTCATGCTTAAATCTCGAAAGCTACCACGATCAGCCGTGCTGGAATTTTTGCAGTCATGGCTGCCCTGCAGTGGACGGCATTAAGTGCTGCTCCAACAGTCCTACTAGCTCTGGCCATTATCATGCCAATTATCATGGTGGTCAACCTTACCCGCCGCCTCTTCTCCAACGCATCATTGCCTAACTCCCTCCCGTGGGTTGGAACGGGACATTACACCGGCATACGCGGTCGAGCAAAAGCGAACCTCTCCAGTGTCTTGAACTTGAGAGGACTACTAGACGAGGGTTATACAAAGGTTCGGCGAATTACAATTTCCTCGCTAGCTGCGCACGATTACTGACCGTTTCCGCCAGTATTCCAAAAATGGCCAGACCTATGTACTACCGTATTTCATCAACGGTCCTCAGGTCATACTCCCCATGTCTCAGATCGGATGGCTTCTGGAACAACCAGACGACGTCCTGAGCCAGGAACAGGTCAACCGCCAGTTCCTGCAGGCGGACTACACGTTCCTCCACGCCAACCTGGTCAACGACCCAGTCCATCCAGAAATAATCCACCATCAACTGACCAAGAAGATCAACTCCTTCGCCGACGACATCGCCGATGAGATGCGAGCGAGCCTCGAAGACAACTGGGGCACCGACACAGAAGCATGGCGTGAGGTGGACGTCTACGACACCATGCGCGACGTCACCACCCGCCTCTCGACCCGCGTCTTCATGGGACTACCGCTATGCCGCAACCGGCGGTTCCTGACAGCGTGCAGCTCGTTCATCCGCCAGGTCGTCCTGGCCGCAGCGGCAATTAGCCTCTTCCCCGAGGTCCTCAAGCCGTAAGTGAAAAGTCGCACAGCATGACGCCTGAGACGGTGCCCTTTCGAGGTGGCACGACGCTTACATCCTAGACATGCAGGGTAGTCGCACCGGTGTTCACGCTGTACGACTACATCCAGTACCGACGGTGCAGTACGTACCTCATGCCGATTATCCGCGAGCGACTAGACCGGCTGAGAGACACAGACAAGCCGACGTTGGGGGAGTCTAAGTCGCCTGTATGTCTCATCCGTAGCCGAAAGAAAGGCGCTTGTTTGTCTGTCTGCTGACTTCAGCCAGAACGACTACGTGCAATGGGCCATCGACCACGCCCTCGCAAAACCCGTCGTCAACCCCATGGAGCTGGACCCTCGCGTCATCGCCTGCCGCTTCTCTGTGCTGTCTTTTGCCGCGATCCAGTCTTCTGTCATCACGCTGACGAATACGCTCTTTGATCTCGCCGCCTCGCCTATGTGCACTGCCACGCTGTCCCAACTGCACGACGAAGTGGCTCGCGAGATCGGAGCAGCATCGACATCGAATACAACCACCACAACATCAACCACCACTACAACCCCGTCCTCCTCAACATGGTCCAAACCCACTCTATCCCGCCTAACGCACACCGACTCAGCACTACGCGAGAGTCTCCGCCTCAATGGCTTCATCGAGCGCGGCATCATGAAGATGGTCGTCGCGCCGGGCGGCGTCACGCTCCCGGACGGCTCGCACATCCCGCGCGGCACCAAGGTTGGCGTCTCCGGGTACTGCGTGCACCACGATGATGACGTGTACACGGATGCGCTGCGGTACGATGCTTTTCGCTTCGCACGGGATAGTACTGGTGGCGGTGGTGGTGGTGGTGGTAAGAAACCGCCGTGGGGGCTGGTGAATACTAGTGAGACGTTTATGGGGTTTAGTCATGGGCTTCATGCTTGGTAGGTTTTCTCCTTCCCTTGTTTCTCTCCCCCCTTTCTGTTTGTCCGAGATAGATGTGAGGAGAGGGCCTCTGGTGAGGTGCACAGTGCTGACTTGAGACCTGTCTAGTCCTGGACGCTTCTTCGCGGCAAACCAGCTCAAAACTGCGCTGGGCCACATTGCGCTGCTGTATGAGATCGAGCCCATACCGGAGCGCCCGGTCAATAAGTGGTTCTTTGGACATATTGCGCCGCCTCTTGGCGAGAAGCTGAGGATCAGGCGGAGGAAGAGCTGAGTTACACTTGTTGGATGTTATTGTAGGGAGCACCTCCACGGTTTCCTGTGTAATGTTTTCTTGCGAATTTCTGTGGAAGTATCCTGTTCAATTTGTGCTGGTGTTTCCTTAACTTACCTCTCTTCGATGCGAGCATAGATACCTACTCAATGTTATTTACGATCACATTTGTTCAGGGGTCCAGTCCGCATCGTCAGCCGTGTGAAAGATCAACCGCTTATTCACCCTCCAGGACATGGCTTGCCTCTTTTGATTAACCAGTTACCTTCGAAGAGGGAAGGGCATTATCACCGAGCTGGGCTACTCTACTGCTGACATCCGACCCTTGGATGTACACCGGGCACTTGATCTTCTTCAAGTTACTGTCTTGTCCTTCCAGTATGCGTTCTGAGTCGACGATATCCGCTACATCTCATGGAAGTCCTCGAGGCCCGAGTTAGCCGGGCCGTGAACGATGAAATTGGCGTTCAGATAGAGGTTGCTCATGAAGAACCAGCCGCCACGGCGGAACTACTCCCGGTGAGTGTCCGCCATGCCCTCCCAGGGCTCAATGGTCTTTAGAAGACTACATGAACTGCGACTAAGAAGCATGCATTGAACTACCAGATCAGGCTACTTCAGCTCCCCGGCACATGATGCTTCATTGCTCTCCCTCTTGAGCTTTGTGGCATACATGCTGTATCACCTTTAGTAGAAAGTGAAGGAATCTACCAGAGCCCGGCTGCATCAAGTAGCAAACAGTCGTTTCTCAGCCGCAGTACTTCAAAGGTATTTCTGCGCCAGGCTGCATGGAAGGGGTCCATAGCGTCACGCCGTGCCTTCCAATTCTTTATGTGGTAGGGTCTTGTCTGCACCTGCAAGTGAGCCAGTGACTCAGTCCTGCCTTTCAGGTACCAAGTTCTCTAACGCGGCTTTCAGTTTTTCGTTGACGGACTTCATTCCCACAAGGCGCTCATCAATGCAGTCTCGGGCAGCGGTTTGTAGTAGCAAACGATCTTACGAAGTGGGCTTGGGCAACATGCCACCCGAATTGTCTGAAGCGTTTCTTATTCCCTTTGAGGGCTATCGCCTGGGAAAATCCATCAAGCCAGAGATGGAAGAGCCCACAGAGCATGCTGGTCAGGCCCGAACACAGCTATGCCGTTGGGAAGCCGTGCACATAAGTAGAGTTGAGCCCCCTCTCGTGTTTTCTATTCTACGAGCTCCGGTAGTCTGCTCATTCTCAAACCAACGCCAGCGCCAGTGCTGATAGCAATGGACGAGCAAGCTACAGAGAAGCCTTCGGGCGCCATCTCGCCAAAGACCATGCCCGACCACGTAGAGATCCCTACCAAACTGACAACGACTTCCAGTTTGGAAGAGCTCCAGACGGATGAGCAACGGAGAATCCTCGATACGATCACTCAAGTTCGAAAGTGTGGCCTGGAAAGTATCATCTCCCTTCCCCAGATCGTCGTCTGCGGAGACCAGTCGGCAGGCAAGAGCTCTGTTCTGGAGGCGCTGACAGAAATCCCCTTTCCCCGCAACGACAACCTGTGCACACGCTTTGCCACCGAGATCAGCCTGCGGCATGAATCTCGCGACAACTTCACTATATGTGTGATCCCTGACAATGCTCGACCTGAAGAGGAGCAGAAAAAGATAAAGGCGTTCTCACAGTCGATCACCGACTTTAGCGAGTTGCCAGCTGTGATGGAAGATGCTATGAAGGTCATGGGGATTACTGACTCCGAGCAGAGCTCTGGCGGTGCTTTCTCGAGGGACACACTCAGCATCGAGATGTGTGGTCCCAAATGCCCCCACCTGACCCTGGTCGACATCCCAGGATTGATCCAGACTTCCACGAAAGGAGTCTCCGACGCCGATGTTGCGCTGGTTGCCGAGATTACCGACCATTACATTTCCCAGCCCCGGACAATCTGCCTGGCAGTAGTGTCAGCGACACACGACGCAGCGAATCAGCCGATCCTCCAACGCGCCCGAACGTTCGACAAGCATGGAGAGCGTACTTTAGGTGTGATAACCAAGCCCGATAGGTTAGCGGCAGGATCGGGAGCGGAGACCAGCTTCCTAGGACTTGCCCGCAACGAAGATGTCTTTTTCAAGCTCGGATGGCATGTCGTCAAGAATCGGCAGTTCGAAGAGCGTAGCTTCTCACTCGAGGAGCGCAACTTTTCCGAGATGACGTTCTTCCGCACGTCCGACTTCAAGCGGCTGCCGAAGGAAACGGTAGGCATTGATGCCTTGCGTGTGAGACTTAGCCACCTTCTATTTGAGCACGTGAAGAACGAACTTCCACGCCTCAAGGACGATCTCGAGCGCGCGTTGGAGGCTGCAATGAACGACATGAAGATCCTAGGCGATGCAAGGTCGACTGTGGCCGATTGCCGTGCCTATTTGGTACAGCTCAGTATGGACTGCCATGAGATTTGCAAGGCCGCCCTGAACGGGAACTACGAACACGATTATTTCAAGGCCGGAAGTGGTGAGCCATTCTCTCTGGACTCCGGAAGCACCATTGCTCGATTTCGAGCCGTCGTGCAATACATGAACAAGAGGTTTGCAGATCATCTTCGAACCGAAGGGCACAAGTACCAGATCAACCTCGCCGGGTCAAACGAAGATGAAGCTCGAGCAGAAGATGCTCCTACAGCTGCACCAAAGGCGCTCTCGAAGAAAGGAGCCATGGAGTGGGTTAAAAAGATGCTCCTACGATCTAGAGGCACCGAATTGCTAGGAAACTTCAACCCTCATCTCATTGGGGAACTGTTTTGGGAGCAATCAGAAGGCTGGGGGAATTTGGCCAACGATCACATAGAACAAGTCAGCCAAATTTGCGACAAGTTTCTAGCCCAGCTGTTGCAGCAGAAGGCACCACAGGACGTCAAAGATCGGCTCTGGTAGGAAATGTTCATCCATTTATTTGTGAGATCACCAAGAGACTGATGACTCATGTCATAGGTCCTCTACCATGCTGGATGCGCTGAAAGAACGCCGCAAGGCCGCCATGGGCGAGCTGGAGAATCTTGTCAGGGACAAGAAGGATTTTCCTATCAACTATAACCATTACTACACAGAGAATCTTCATAAGCGGCACCGGGAAAGAATGAAGGCCAGAGTGCTACGTCTTCTGCCGGGTGGTACACCACATACCTCATATGAGAAGTGCAGCAGGGGAGAGCATTTCTCTCGGTACGACGTTGAGGTCGACCGAATTGTCTCTGCGTGCAGCCAAAGCACAATGCCCGATATGGAAGATCTCAGCTGCGAGGAGGCACTGGATTGCCTCCTGTCGATCTACAAGGTTAGAAGAGTCCCACCTCCTCTTTACCCGGACTTTGTTCTCTAACCTATCTCATTGCAGGTGCAGCAGAAGACATTCGTCGCGAACGTCGTAACCCAGGTCATTGAGAGACATATCCTCAGAGACCTTGACAAGGTCTTCTCGCCCATGGTCGTTACTCGGATGAATGACAGTGAAGTCGAGGCGATTACTTCTGAGCCCCCAGCCACCAAACGCCAGAGGGTTTTCCTCACTGACCGCATGAAGAAGCTTGAAGACGGCCGTGATATCTTCCGTGGAGTCTTGGGCTCCGCTCCCGCAGCGTCATGATCTACTTCGCTACTTTGACTCTGCCAACAACCCCTGAAAGGCATGTAGTGTGCGTTCCCGTTACGTACCATGAGGGTCAAGCATGTCAGGGGTATCGTCGTTGCGCCCATGTGGAAGCTTGTGCAGTTCATATCAGCAGAGGTTGGCAAGGCGATATCTTCTAGATTGCCATATGCGCAGGTTACCCTACTTCGTCAGATTTCACTTGGTTGAAGGTTGTACGTCGGGACGTCGCCACTTGGATGCTAGGTAGTTGGGGAATTGATGACACGATGGGTTTGGTTACACTCAGCCCTCACAAGTCTCGGTACGCGCATGTTACCAAGACTCTAGATTACCAGTGGGATAGTTAGCAATACTGGAATCATCGTACAGGAATAAGCAGCTCTGATCTAAAGAGTCACATTCGAGGCTTATTCCAGCGTGCTTATCCCATTTATAATAAACGCATCTTTCGCTTGGTGAATGAGGGGCGTATGGAGACTTATGAGGGCTCAGTGTATCCGCAATTCTGGTTAACCCGATTATCATCGTTTCGTTCGTAAGCAATTCGATCTGAAGCCTCCTGTGCCACCGAGCAGTTTCATACCTTGCATAAGCAGTCGAGTGAATTACAAGCATAATCATATTGACCTGTTGAGTTACGCCAGGGGCACTCAAGCGGTACAATCCCAAATGTCCAACCTTACCAATACGTATTGTTCGCTCAACGATGTGCCGTCGTTTCAAACCGTTGACCGAACCCCCGAGCTCAGGGGGTGTTGTCTCGCGAGAAGAAACTAAGAAGATAACATTTCCCTAGGGATAGGGCTCATACTCGACCTAGCTCGATAACAATATTAAACATAGGCCGATTACACCAGATGCTAAACGTCATTCACCATTGGCACAACAGGCATCCAGGGATTCGCAGGCGCACGACTCCTACGCAACGATAAGCTCCTTTTAAAACCCGCTAGCCGTGGTGCAGCTATCGTAACATATAGGGGTGGGTTTTACAGTCCGCCAATATACGGAACGGTACTTGACGCATACGTGGAGATGTTGCCCCTGAGTCGGGGGTGTGTGGTTCCGCCTTTAGCAAAGGATGCAGCTGTTTCGAGCAGCCTACTGCGTGGGCTAACTGCCAGAGTTTCAGGTCTGGCGCTTCGCCGGAAATCCACTCCTTGCCTCTGGATTATACGATCCGGATCATTGATGCGAACAAACACTCAATCCCACTACATCACTCCTCTGACCAACAGTCGCCACTGTTGGGCTCGCACGGGGCATGTGTTGACCAGCTAACCTATTATACACAAAGCTTGTACTTGTCAACCTAAGGTAGGCGATGATGAGGGTCTCGGTCATGGACAGAACGTTTCAGTCGATCTAGATTGACCTCTCATATTATTACAAAGGGCACCCAATATCGTTGTAGTTTAATCAAGGATCAGCGTTAGCTAGATCCTGCTTGTACCTGGCCTTCGCTCTCCGGGAGCTCTCAGCATAGTCGACATGCGGATACGGATATCCCAGTTTCTCGAATTCCGCCTTGGACAACTTCGCATGGGGCTCGAAGATGGCATCACCCTTGACACTCTCAAGCTCCGGCACCCACTTGCGGATGTAGTCGCCGTCCTTGTCGCATTTCTTGCCCTGCGAGACGGGGTTGAAGACGGTGTACGAAGGCTCCCAGCCCTGCGTGTTGTTGCTCAGATCCCAGTCGACGAGATGTTCGGCGAAGTAGCGCTCGCCCTTGCGGTAGTCAATCAGCAGGTTCGCGCGGAGGTACGACGACGTGTTCATCCGCAGGCGGTTGCGCATGTAGGCCTCGTGGTTGATCTGGCGCATCCCGGCGTCGACGAACGGCACGCCGGTCCGGCCTTCGCACCACTTCTTCCAGCCCTCCTCGTCGTCTTCCCACTCGACGAAGTCGAACTGCAGGTTCTGCGGCAGGTTCACCGACGTGTGCGGCGTGATGGCCAGCACCTGGCGGTAGAACTCGCGGAACACAATCTCGCGGACCCAACTGTCGACGCCTCTGTCACCTTCGTCGAAATGCTTGCCCTGGTTGAACTTCTTCGTCTCGGGTAGAACCTCCCGTACGCTGACGATGCCGGAGGAGAAGTACGGAGATAACCTGCTCGTGGCGTCGTATGCGGGCTCGGAGCGATGTGCACTGTACGTGGCGACTTTGTCGTGCAAAAAGTGTTTCAGACGGCCCATCCCTGCCTCATTGCCTGCAGGCCAGAGACTTCGTATACGTTCCCGCTCTTCCTTGCTCGGAAACTGCTTGCTTTCGGGCAGCTCGGGGATCTCGGTGTCGAACAGCTTATGGAACTGCTTTGACACGCTCTTATCATTACCCTCAGGTGGCGGCACCGTCTCAAGCAAGCTCGAGTCGTCCTTCGTGACGGAGAGCCACATCTTGTGGTACGGAGTGAAAAGCTTGTGAGGGCCCCCGGAGCCCGTTCTCAGGGCACCGGGGACGACCACGGTCTGATCATGCAGAACGTCGAGCGAGAGGTCCTTCTCCCCCTGCACCTTCTTCGCGAGGTCTATGTCACGTCGCAGCTCGGCCACTTCGTACTCCATGTCGGCGTAGATGTGGGAAACGTCGTTCTGCTTCACGAACTCCAGGACCTTGTCACTCTTCGTGCCTCTGTCCGGCGCAGTTACTATCGCGAGCGGGATCTGCTTGCTGTGTAGTTGCGTTTGCAGAATCCGGAGGCTCTCCAGGGAAGTCGGATCGAGCTGGACTTGTACCGTGCCACTCCATGTCCTTGGGACTGTACATATACATGGTGAGAAGGCCTCCGCTGCCCTCCTTTGCTTTCTGCGAGGCAGCATGCAGACCCTTGTTGTCCTCTTGTCTGAGGTCCTTCGATCGGAACCAATGCAGGACATTGCGAGGCTTCACGTCCTTGCGTGTCTTTTCTAGAATGTCATGAAGCTGATTGAAAGGCGTGTCGGAGTCGATCTGTTTCGCGCGTTTCGTGGATGGATGCTTGAGCGCGTTCTCGACTTGCATATAGTCTTCGTGAGTTTTGCTGTCGGCGCGGGCATGCTTCTTGCTTGATTCTGCCGCCATGAGTCTCGTATAGTCGCAGAAAGTCCGGCGTATAAGAGGTAAGGTGTTTCTCGATACCATGTATGCAGACTCCTGAACGACCAGTGGCATGATATAATGTGAGAGACTCTACAGGTGAAAGACGAGACACATAGCCTACCTCTGGAAGCGTGCAAGCAGCACGCGCAGACGCGTTCCTATGGACGATGACATCGTCCATGCCATGTTGCTGTTTCTGGCGTATTGAGATGCATCGATCGCGCTAGCATCTTGACCGTCTGACGCGGCGGCAAGGCGGAGATTTGTGGTCAGCCATCGCGTCATTGACTCATTGGCCGATTCGCGCCAGGCACGCTCATGAGTCATGTGAGGATGAGATGAGATCCTGCTTGATCCTCCTCTCCTTCTTTCCCTCTCTCCACACACTTCTGGTCAACAGCGAAGCTCTCATGCCTTCCCAATGATCTCCATCGCCGCTTCATTCGGGTCAGCGCTACTCTTGTATCCCATACTATGCTCCACGAGCTCCCAAGTCAACAGGAAGCTCACGGTGGTCTGCAAGCCAACTTTGACTTTTATCGGCAGCTCGAGCGACAACTTCAGCGTCGTAATCGCCGATGCCATCTGCGAGTAGCCTCTTCTTGCTGGGATGTGCCTACAATTGGGCAAGGCATGATGTGACGTCTGCGAAGCAATGACTGAGTCCTTGACCATCTACGCCGTCCACATCGGTGGAGTTTTGCGCACTTTGCGAGCACTTACTACTTCTCATGGTCGATTTCTTGGCCACGGTGGATGTAACAGAGACACATTGCGGATGACGAGGTCACCGCGAAGCGCATGGTAAATAACGACAATACCAGGGCAGTCGAAGCAACACTTCGGAGCTCTGTTCTATCACCATTTGTGCAGGAAGGGAGGGACTGCAGCTATCCAATCGACCTGGAATGGTGGGCCGGCTCCTGCGTTCATTTAAAAGGAGGCTGGACCGGCGTGCAGATTGTGTGCTGATGCTTGGCGGTGGAAGAGCGCCGTCGAGTGGCTGCCGGACGACGAAGCGAACGAGATGTGGAAAATAGCATACTGGCATCCAATCGAGCGGGATAATTGAAAAGGCAGGGTCGCGTTGCTAGGCGATGCTGCCCATTCTATGGTGCCTTGTGAGTGAGTATCGTTTCGCGCTTGACTTCTGTAAATGTGTTGCTACACTGACCCGCCATAAGTTGTTGAATACACGGATGTTGATTGATTCTATTGATTGTGTTCTTGTTCTGCGTGCAGAGATTGATCATCTGTCTTCTTGGTGGGTCAGATGCCCTGTGCGTCTCTGCCCCACTGGAGATCTTCCGGTGTCTATCTCCGGCTCCCATTCAACATAAGTCTCCGAGCATCCCTGCATTTACACCAAAATGCCCTACATTTACGCTTTTATAACTAAAGACCTGAGGTTTTTTAAAATGAGATATTATAAGAAACTAATATTTAAAAAATGCTGAAGTTTTCGTAACTAATTTCTAAATATCTATTTTCTTAGCGACTAAAAAGTAAGATATATATATATATAAGTAGAGTTTAAAATTAAAAACCTTAAATATTAATAAAGTTATAAAAAATGTTTAAAAATTTATCTAAGTTATAATAAAGTTATATAACATTAAATAACATGTAATATACGTACAAGTCGAAAAATCTTATTTGATATTTAAATTTTTATTTTTTTTAGATATCTTAAAATGTTATTTTTATCGAAAATTTCACCTTTAATAAAGTAATATTTACGACCTTTATCTTTAAGATATCAAAGTTTCTAAATAAGACATTTTAATATTCCAGTAATTTTAACTATAAGTGCTATAAGTATCTAAGTTGTATCTATTTTACTTGTCGGGAATCCTGTATCGGTGCGGAATAAGGGTAGATTCCCTAGTTGCTTGCTTGTTTTGGCTATGGGTCAGAGGGCCTGATTTGGTACTAAATACACACTCAAACCACAAAGCAGGGCCTATCCTTAGAGCATCTAACAAAGCTTCTTCATCCAGCTGCTTCCATTGACCCCTTTGACCACTAAAGCCACCACAATTCTCACATTACTCGGTTTATTACGATAGCGTAAAGTTGGGGTGTTTTGGTGTAAAACAGGGATGCTCGGAGACTTATGGCCGGGGAGTGTGGTTTTATCATCTCCTTGATTTTTCAAAGCAATTATGTAACGACCGTCTCAGTCCGTAGTAGATTGGAGACGGTGTTATGGGGGTTTGGCTTGAAGAACATACGCAGACATTGCTCAATCTACGTCAATCAGTCATCAGTCCTATGGTGAAGCTTGATTTGTAACTAGCAAACACACGTCGAAAGGGGCAAGCCGAGACCGTAGCCCCTTAATGCCAAGAAATCAGATTATAGACTCTAAAACTTACCGAAGCAACAGGAAGGAAGGTTGTTATAGAAGTTTGCTTCAAAAGTCTGTAATCCGCTCATGTTTTTTGCTTAATTCATGAAGTCAGTCGCAAACTTATATAAATAAGAGGAGGGCGAGCATTAACTCAGAACTACGTGGCCAAGGCGGCAAGCAGCAGTACATGCCATGCATACATCTGCGCCAACGAGACGGTGATTCTTCAAGCCGCGAAGTCGTGCAGACGCGTCCAGGCTTGTCGACTTACACCCAGGTTCCCTCGTCCATCTGTCTCTTTTCCCAGCCCGGATATTCACGGCGATCAGGCCCTCACACCCTGATGACCCGCCTCCGGAATGCAGGGTCTGTCCGTACTAAACGGTCAGGCCTTACTAGAGCATCACATAAGCACCTAAGTGCGATGGGCAGCATTGCTAAAAGCCGTAGCCCCCCAAAACGTACCGCAGCGGTGAGGCCCGTAAAGGCAATAACCATATCCGAGGGCCGTAGCACGGGCGCCGTCAAAGGCGGGTGTGGGACGACCCACCCACGGCAGCGCTACCGAGCCAGATCGCGCCAGATTTCCAGGGTCCTCTCGCGCCGGCGGCATCGAGGGCTGGATCCTCGCGACCGAGACCTGGTCACTGGACCGTCGTTGCTGGTAGCGCGCTGCTCGGTGACCCGTATGCCCGTGTAGCTGCCAGGTTTCGCCCGCAGCATCGAGCAAGATCTAGCGAAGGTCCCCAAGCCGCAGCCGACCCCGGTGCGACGAGTCGAAAACTTGTGCGGGAGATCTGCTTGACATAGCTCACGCGAGTCAAAAACTTGCGCGGGAGATCTGCGCGACATCCCTCATGCGAGTCAGTTGGTCTGCGATGATGTGGGCCTTCCCGATCTGATAGCGACTGGCGAGACTCGGCTCCGGCTTACAAGTGGGTTGAGTGACATGTAGAATCTCTCGTGTTGACCTCTGCCTGCGAGGCTAGATAATGTTAGTACGATGCTGCCTGGCTGTAGAATATGTGACCGGTAAGTAGGTGTTGTTGCAGAGTCTCGCATGCGCATCATCCTGGCTGCCTGGACCATGGGAGTGGTAGTTGGTGGTGAGACGTCGTTATGGCGTTGCCTCTAGGATGCGAGCTGCTTTGCGAACTGGACGTGGCGTTCCCTTTCTCGCACCATGAAGATGGTCGACCCTAAGATAACGTTTCATCGCCAGAAGCAAACCGATAGGAATACTGATAGATAACCAGGCGCTCTCACATGAGCAATAGTTGGCATTTGCCGGGAAGATGTGGGCACTAGGTCGGCTATAGGCCAGACATTGCGGACGGTTTGCGGACCAGAGGACCCTCGGCCAGGTAGTCTATATAGTATTTCGATGCGACGATTCCATGGAGAAGCTGCCACCCACACAAGGTAGGATCCGCAGCGGCAACTCTGATAAGACCTTGAGCCATTCGTACCTATGCCGTTGCCTCAACATGATCCCATCGGGCGCATGAGCGAAAAAATGCTTGAACCCAAACCAAATTGGGTATATTGCGCGAGCAGGAATACTGCTTGCGGCAAGGGCTGGGGACTCGTTTCAATCTGGGAATAGATCTAGTTGGGCCCAACCTTCAACTTGCAGTGGTTTCGCACCACTGCTAGATCGCGTCCAATAGTCTGTGCGCGGCGGCTGGGTTTGTTGGCGCGTCCTTCCCACCGGTAGGTTTCGGGCTCCCTGGGGCTCCCGCCGTCATCCTTTGCCTAGATTGTTCGCCTAGTCGTCAAAGCAGGCATGGAAACGATGATAGCTAGAGAGTAGCCGAATGGGGCGGTCAAGCTGCGTTTCGACGAGGGATCCCATAGGTACATTCCAACGCTCGGAGGCGTGAACTCTATTCCAGCGGTGAGGCCAACGAACATCCAAGTTGGGATTCCTATGTGAAGAGCTGACACGACACGCAGAACCGCATGTGGGTAGAAAGCCTGGCCATTGCGCGTGCGATGCGTCGTCGATATCGCAGTTGGAGCACCGGCCGGGCCAAGAGCATGGCATCTCCGGTCGGCCGAGATCTTCTCTCGAGATCGACTACCCTCCCGTAGTCCACCTTTCTGTGGAACCCGATGTCACCGTGTTCGTCGTCACGAGGTGCTCCAGTCTGGACTCTTGCTGCCATTCAGGTCTGCGATGCTCCTGAGGGGTGTCTCAGCACAGATGATACTGTCATGGATAGCCACACTCGCCACAAGTCGCGTCGAATGAAGATGTGAAAGGGTGTCAGTGCAGCCAAGCTTGCGCGGCTGGAAACCTCAATAACACGGGTTGTCATTGGCTCTTGTGATATGCGACTCGTTGGTGGGCTGCCTCGTGTGGTGTTGTGAGGGTCGTCGAGGACTCGAGGTGTGTGTGGCCTCAAGGTGATGGCGGGATGATCCGCGCCAAAGTACCCCGAAGTACATACCCCTTACGAGCCTGCCGGCCGGCTGAGCCACCGCTGTCGCTAGCCCTGTGGCTGCCCTATGTGCGAGTGATGTGTGGATCTCGGTGGCGTGATATATCCGGGCGGGAGCTGCAGCAGAGGTTGATAACTCCTATTATTATTAGACCCGGCCGATACAGAGCCACTCGACCAAAATTGTTCGACCGACACCTTGATAGCGAGCAGTATGCAACATCAAAATGGAATCCAGCTCATCGATGTCTGCCAGTGTGGCATCGCAAAGTGTACTGGGTAGGTCTGAAACTGCGAGAAGTAGATTATGCACTCTTACTGCGTACCACGTCCCCTCCGGGATGCCAGGTTGTTCGTACCTACATGTAGGCGTGCCTATGGCACAGGCAAGTTTGGCGAGCAGGTCCGCGCTCACTGTGGTTTGGTGGTGGTCGCAGCCTGGACGAGGCCGTACGCAGTCAGTCCCTCTCGGAGATCATCATATGACTGGGGGACAGGCGAGAGAGGCTAGTTCGAGATGTGGCAGTTGTGGTCCTGCATCGTTATCATGAGCGTCCATAAGTTTATGTTCGTCGGTAAGTTTCATGAACCTCGACGATGAACCTCGACGGAGAATGTAACGCGCTTCTCTGGTGCCGTGAGCAGTGTGCACCATGGGATGGATGCCAAGGGCGGCATCTCGGAGAAATCGGCCAGGGTGGTCAATCAAATTGGATACAGCGATACAGACCCCAGGATCGAGAGGCATTCCTTTCGTGGCAAGCCGGAGACCACCCCTCCTTGAGCCTGCATTGATGCTACGTTATTTTAAGACCTGCATTCGTTGAAGTTCGTGTGGGCGATACGTCTTCGAGGTGACTGGGTGGGCGGAACCCTGCACAGAGGCAGAGTGGGTCGATATATTTCGATGTGCCCCTAACCTTGATCATGATGCCATCCCGTCGCCGCCATACGAACCGGGAGTCTACCCGATAACGCCCTCCTTTTACGCTGTTACGTGGCGCAGAGCCTGCGTCAATGACAAACCGAGGTGGCTTATCACCTTCGCTGTCTAGCCACACATTGACGTTCTTGCATCCGAAACCCCTTCATGAGGAGGGATGCGTAAGATGCAGTGAACGCGCTCTGGTGAAGTTGTCGCTGTGGGATGATGGCGCTAGGTAGGTACCTAGATGGAGTAAAGGGGGGGCAGCCGACTGCCCGACTGACTGCCGCGCCAATGCTTTGACCCTGAGGAATTGATAAAGTCGTGGGGGTACACGTCCACGTCCTGCAGCGTTTCCTCTGAGATGTGTCTCCTTCTCGACCCATGCTCTGGCTTGTGAAGTTGTGAACTCCATGGGAATTCTGCCGAAGGCGACGTTCCAACTACCGCCGGGTAGAGAACGGTGGTATGTGATGCGGATGTCTAGTTCCACTGGTACCCGGGCACCCGGTCTCAGGGCCACCCTGTGATTCCAGTCGGGCTGTCCGTGAGATGTAGTAAGTAACGCTCTGATGATGCTGTGATGGACGTCAATTTCATGAATCATGGTGAGCTTCTGTAGATAGACGGATGCTACCGAGTTGAGGGGCGCCGCCGGGGTTCAAATGCGACTTGGCTCCCGCGGTCCACTACCTGTACTTTGATATAATCTTCGAAATGGTTTGTGATATGTTAAAGATGCTTCAGCCTCCAGACAAGGACGTCCCGGGCCGAATGGTATTGCACCAAGATCGAGCGCCAATTGAGCCAATGCTCACTGACCGGCGACGATCTGAATGGCGAATATGTGTCATAGGCGCTGGTAACACAGCCGCGGCACCAGGACCGGAGAGACATTGAGGCGTTCGTCAACTTGAGCTTGAGCAGGCACCTGCAGCCCCTGGGTTAATGGTGGTGATTCCCCATGGCGTCGCCTCTGTCGAATGGCAGGTGCAGAAAGAAGGAGGAAATGGAATGCATCTGCGGTGCATTGGCCAGGATCGGGGACGGTATTCCGCCAGCCCCGACCAAATCAGCACTTGACCGCTCTCCCAACCCGCTGTCTCTCCCCTGCCCTCCTCCCCCAACCTTCACCGATGGCGTCGTCTACGTGCGGTGGTACACAACACATTCACGCACGACCTCAATATATCTCGGGACATCTCCCGTTCAAACTCTGCAGGACGCCAAGTCAACGTGTGATCTCATCTGGACGACAGCGCCGACCCTCTCGCCCCTGGAAACATTCCAGATGAGAGTGCACGCGTAAGGTTTGGTCATCAGGCCGGTAGGTATGCGACGCAACCTTTATGGAAGACGAGGTTCACTTCATGGGAAGTGACCATCGAGGTTCACCGGCTGGAGATAGCTGCCCATCTCGTAAAGTGTGGCTGCGTGGCTGAGCGATCGGGCCGGTGGCTGTCATCAGCTCATCTCTGCTCTTTCCAAATTTTCAGTGCTCTTCCCTCTCCCCCCTCCCCATGTTGCGGATCGCATTCTCGCTCCACACTCCGCATAATTGTATTGCAACAAATAACGACAGTTACGACAATGGCAACAAAACTACCTGCTCTCGACCATCAGGGTGTGCGTTACGAAGTAGGACCCTGCCTCGGACTGTCATCGTGGGGCTAGGTCTCGACGGTTTCCTTCGGGCTCGGTCCGCTGGTACATGCAGAATTCAATGTTGCCCTTCCAAGTGGCTGGGGGCCTGGATTTGGTCTAAAGTCCGTCTTTGTTTCTCCTTGTTCGAAGATTCGCATCCCTCGCTGGCAGCTGCAGTCGAATAGGGGAGCGGAGGGGAGATGGTTGTGCACAGTCACTGGTGATCCCCTGCTTCTGCCCGCCGGCAGCATAAAATTCTACGAGAGCCGTGATGAGCTCGGGGTCACCTATTTGGGAATATGTGATATCTGATATACACCCCAGCAGGCTGCAGCACAACTCCCTCTACCTCAGTGCACCTGCATGAGCGTTGACTTCACGTTTGACGACTCTCTTGTCAATCCTCACACATGAGATAGAGTATTGCATCACAGAGTCTGTCTGTCTGGGTCCTCTCCCTCTCCCTCTTCCTCACAGGCCAAGCTCCTCTCGACAGACAAACACCCTCCCCGTCCTGACCACTGGACTCACTGCATACACCGGCATGCATTCACCTGTAATGTATTACCCAATGTATCGCCATGTACCGTGTGGCCTCTTCCAGGGTCCCGCTAATGCGGCATGGAGTACGCTAGGACCACACGAGTGGTGGAGAGCTCTACATAGTTCAGGGTAGCCTGCGATAGTCGCCATGGGTCTGAGAGGCGCCAAGTTCCCAACCCCATCCCTCTCCATCCATCCCACCTGCATCTCTGTCTGTCCGCCTGTCCGTCTGTCAGTCCGCCTGTCTGTCCGTCTGTCCGTCCATCACCAGCCAGCCAGCCAGCCTGGACAGACGGGTGATGAGCCGGGCGAGTCGGCTGCCCGTATCTCTCGCGCGCCTCCTGCTGTCTCGTCTCATCTGGCCTCGTCTCTTGTTCTCTACCTACAGTGGCTACGTATAGCATGGGCTGGCGAGCAGAGCTGTACTCGTGGAGGGCAGCTGTTGGAGGGGATGGTGATAGGCAAGATGCCCACTGCCCGCCCGCTCACACATGCCAGTCAGATCACATCTACCCGCAAGCTTAGTGGCTTTCACGGTCACCACTGCAAATCACCTTCGACGAGATACGACTTCTAGTATTCGTATCCGAGGGGACGCTGTCTGCTGCATGCGTACCCGGCTAGCTGGTGAACAATACATGCCCCCTCCTCGCCAACGTGCTTGCTCTACGGGTGGAGAAGGACGACTTCTGGATCCCTCACGCCATCGGCCCTTCGCCGTCTTCCCATCCCACCCATCCATACCTACGTACGTCGTAGCCATATGTAGGCTGGTAGGTACTTGCACATCCACTCGATGTGCATCTCTCACCCACAATATCGCTCTCTCTTTCCGCTAGCGGCCCCAAGTGTCAGGTCGACGGAACAAATAAGACCTACACTCCACCTCCGCTGCCCGGATCCCGACCCCTCCATCTGTTTCCTCTTTTCTCTACATAGGTGGCACCCTTCACTGCAGCTTGATCGAAACTCGACTTCGATCATCCTCCCGTCTGCCCTTGCCGCCGATCCAAGGTCACGCCTTGCAGCCTGCAATTTATTGGTGGCTGCCAGCAACCACCCCGTTCGAAGATCGCCGCAGTACTGTACCCGAGTCTAGGAGATGGACCGATAATCACAGCCCAGCGTGTGTGTGTCTGTGATATATAGCCTGGAATACGCCACTCGGGTCACTATATTAGGTCGTCCACGGAAGACTTGCCCCAGAAGGAGGGCTTCACAAGTTCAGGTTGTACGGTGGGAATGGACCTGCCGTCTTTACGCCATGAACTGCGCGTTGGCCATTGTCTCGGAGGACGGAGACCTGTCATGGTCGGACAGCCACAGTATGGCCTCTGAGGGAAGCTCGTCTATCGCCATGCCCACCTCTCCCATGTGGGCACGTCCCAGAACGACAACTCGAATAGACACCGGCCAACTATCCCCCATCAGCACAGAACTCGAAATCCGTGCAGTTGATGGTGTATCTGGCTCCTCCGTGCCGACCATGGTCCATTCCGCCACTTCCTCTTGTACAGATGCCTGGAGTGCCACTTTGTATGACATGGACCAAAGGGACGATGATGACCACGACGTGGATTGGGAGAGGGAGTCCGATGATGTGCTAACCGTGCCCAAGTTGGAGCCTGTGGAGGACGATGACTTCCATATGGACGATCTCAAAGAAGCCCCTCGTACACCCGTTCCGGAGCCAAAGACAGCCCCACCGGCGCCGATCAAGATCAAGAGACCCCGTGGGAGACCACGGAAACATCCACTCACCACTCAGGTAGCAGCCAACAAGGTCGCCAAGGGACGGTCCAAGACTGGGTGTATCACTTGCCGGAAGAGAAAGAAGAAGTGTGATGAAGCTAAGCCACGCTGTGAGTCGAAAGAACCCCTTCGGTGTCGGCCTTCACTCTAACATCTCGCAGGTCTGAATTGTGAGAAAAATGCTGTTGTCTGCGAGGGATACCATGAAAAGACCATCTGGAAAAGTGGACGCGAGAGAGCAGAAGGTTCAATGGGCCCAGTCCACCGATCATCGACTGCTTGCTAACCTTTATAGTAGAGCAACACACGAAGCATAGTCTTCCGCACATCACCCTCCAGCCAATATTCCAAGGCGTCGAAACGCCCGAAGACATGACCTTCCTGAATCATTACATCAGCCACTTGAGTGGTGTTCTTACTGTCGAAGGCCAACACAAGAATGCCTTCAAGGACATGCTGTTACAGATGGCGGTGGAGCATCGCGGCCTCATGCATTCCATCTTGTCATTAGCCAGCAGGCACATCGACTACGATACTCCTTATGGCGTCAAGATCCTCACTCATAACGCCAAGATCAATCGCGCTTCTCTGGTGGCTAGGTCACAGTACCACCATAAATCGGCCATGGAGAAACTGTGCGAGCCTCTGGGGGGTGACAACGAATCGGGACACATGGTCAACCTGTCTCCTCGCTATGGGCAGATGGTTTGTCTTCTCCTTCAGACTCTTGCAGAAGGCAACTCCAGCGGGGAGCACCGAGTGCATCTCCAGGCATACAAGAACCTGATCCACCAGTCGCCCCCTCCAGACTCTGCATTTCTCATATTTATAACCGAATTCTTCCAGTACCGCGTCTTTGCGGACGAACTCATACGTTACCCTAACATACGAACCCCACGATTGGCGACCGAGGATTGGGAGCCGTGGGTGGCCATCGAGCCTGCACGTTTGATCGGCATCGGCGACGGCTTGTTCCACTACCTGGCACAGATTACGACGATTCGGAACACGATCAGAGCCAACGTAGCTGCCGAGGTCGACCCTGTCGTCGACTATACTTCCCTATATCGAGCCGCCGAGATCGATGCTACCATCCGAGATTGGACTCCGCATTGGCCTCCGGGAGACAGCCGCGACCGTGTCGGTCTTCTGTACAAGCAGATGATGTGGGTGTATCTGTTTAGAACAATCTATCCACCATCATCGTCATCATCACCGCCTCCCCGAACGAGCAGCTCGACGGAGAGCATCTTGCCTCTTTCCCCAACATCGCAACCTCACTCAGTGCACAGTCCCGCTCGTTCAGAACGGCCAACGAGTAGTCACGCTTCGCCTCGAGCCGAATCTCCCACTCCAACCCGGTACCCTCCCCATCACGACAATCGAATAAATCTGGCGGTGGACGAGTCACTGGCGATTCTAGATTCGTTCAAACCAAGCGATCCGGTCCAGACCCTGCTCCTCATGCCCAGCCTGGTCATCGGCTGCGCATGTTTCGCCCCTGCCCAGCGAGAACGCGTCAGGGCAGCCGTTCGCACGGTCCACGGGTACACTGGTATGCGCAACTGCAACCGCGCCGCCGAGGTTCTCGAGGAGGTCTGGCGGCTCATGGATCGCGGCGAATGGGCCCGCGTGTGGGACTGGCAGGGCGTCGCGAGGAGCATGGGTCTCGACTTCTCATGCGCCTAGAATCGTGGACTGGCACTCCTCATCACCATTCTACCACATCAACATCATCGCACCGCCTGGCAGTTTTTGGGTTCGTTTGCCAGAGCGATGCTTTTGTCACGTATTTACGACGCCACGGCGACACGTGCACATTCTGAACCAAGCATTCATTTCACTTTGCATTTTTTGTCTTCTCGACACTCATAACTGTTACGACTGTCGCTCGACCTCGTTATACCCCCAACTTACTTCGTCTCGTTACTTTATTTGGTACACTACATATGTCTTTAATCACTTGGGCGAGAGCGACGTCGCTTTCAATGATCGAATGGGTTTACGTCGAACACGACCGGATGGTTTAGACTGAGAAGACGATGTTGATGACGACGACGGAGGAGACGCACTGATGGACGTCATGAAGCGAGTGGAAATTTGACTTCCTCAGTTCATCAAGGTGCTCTGAATCAAGTGCGCAATGGGAACGGGATGCTCCCAGGACGGTTCCGGAGTGCTTTTAGGCGCGCGGTGGGTTGGCTATCTGTTGGGTGGACACAGCGTTGATCTTTTGACGGGCAGGGGGATGGTTTTTTTACTCCTCCCCTCTTGCCTGCTCGTTGGTGGCCCTCTGCTTTCAATCATCGATACGGTCTGCATAATCAAGCTAGTCGGTTTTTTGTTTTCTTCTAGTATTGTCATGGAGCATTAACCAGAATATGCGTACATAGGTACATACTAGGTACGTTTTACTATGTATCTCATTGGAGGCCAACATGGCGAAGATCTCGCTGGCCGGCGCTGCGGTGGCAACCTGAATATACATTCCTATGGCTGGGTATTTCCTGGCCTAGCACATGGTTATGAAATCGTTGTTCTATTGACTGATGTGCGTGACCGAGCAACCCCTTCCCTACCGTATGCAATGTATATGATGGAGTACATACTGTGAACTGTGATGTGCATTATCTTGGAGAAAGGCGCACCGTATTTGCTGCGTCGGCAGGTACATCGCGCCTCCTCGGGTATCTGCTACCTGAACTACTTTGCCTGCGCACCTGGCAGTATAGGTATGAAAGTAAAGGGAAAGAGCAAGCACGATGCTCGTGGCACATGACTACCCGCAGCTTCCCAACTTTTCACTTCCCCTCAAGGCAGCCGATTCGACTCTTCCACCCTGTTTTTTTTGCCCACATCTTGCAGCTCTTTCTCTTCCTCTTCTCCTCTTCTCCTCTTCACCGCCACCACGGAAGTGAGACGTATCTGGGACACTGCCCTGGTGCTCTACTTGTCGCTTGGCAGTGAAGACAATGTGCCCAGCCCTTTCTTCTCTGCAATCAACTCCGGAATTGTTATCTGATACACTACACAACTGCCTGTTCTCATCGTCTCGCTAGCCGACGAACGTAACCTCCTCAATCCTTCACCCACCTGCAGCCACCTCGAGAACGATTGTTTGAGACACTGGCACACGGCTTCTCGCCAGACAATCGAGACCAGATAGCACTTCACCCAGAAAGGACGACCATCCAGTTGGCTGGCTGCTTTTTCAGTCTGCCAGGAGCAACGTGGGCCAATCTTCACTTTCACCTGTCGACAACATCTGCCGAGTCAGCAAGACACTCTGTGACAATCGGAAACACACCATGCCTCCGGAACCCTCTTCTTCCGTGTCCAGCTCGTCGCGAGCGACCACGCGTGCTGACAGACCGGACGCGGAGTTCCACTACTTCCCCAGACTCCCTGTAAGTGCCCAACTCCAGAAGCCGTTCCCATCGTGCGCCTTGTCCTTTGCCCTTGCAGACTAGTCCATGACTTCGAGTCTTCCATTGCACAGTGTTATTACAACCAACTGCGTCGGCCCGAGTGCTGTACTGTATAGTACATACTGACGCTCGGTGACATAGGTTGAGCTGCAGCTCATGATTTGGGGTTTCTATCGAGGGTCGAAAGCTATCCGCCACTCCTTCTCCATAAAGAACGGCCAACGGGTCTACGCGGCATTTGATGAGGAGAAGGGAAAGATTGTTAGCATCCGTGCGAAGCGAGGCGATTCCAGCATTGTTCCAGGAGTGCAGAATATTCGGTTGACTGGTAAAGTCTGCTTCGAGACGAGAGATTGGGCCATAAAAACGCTGTGGAAGCCGGCTTCGTGGGTTGAACACGAGAGACGCGACACTTCTGCGGCTGGCGTGCTTGCAGACTTTGAGCACGATGTGTTCTATTCCGACCTTATCAGTTTCATCAGGCGATCTCGTAACCCGCCTGGCTGGTTTCGCTTCGTGCGTAACCCTATCAGCCAAAGCAATCTCACAAAACTGAAGGGCGACCGCTGGGTCCTCAAGGTGGAGAAGTTGGCGCTGCCTCTGTGGTGCCATGGACCTTCGCCGGATCAAGCCGATGAGTTTGATATGAAGGTTCTCACGCGCATGACGTCATTGAAAACTGTCATGTTTGTCTTTGGGGGTTGTGAATTGACTACGATCGGGGGAGGGCACGGATTTGAGCTGTTCAGGGCAGCCCGAAGCGGATGCTCGCCGCTCAACAACAAGGTCTATAACGCAGTTATTGAAGCGCTTGGTGCTCGGGCGAAAGATATCGATTTACAGTATGTTGTAGATCGGGCCGACCCACCGGGCCAGATACAACAGCCCCGAGCGTGGCGCTGAGCACTGTGTCGAGCGAAAGGGGTAAGCGGCTGATCTGCACTTCAAGCGCAGGAAACACTGCTGCTAACAGCTGTGATGAGGTCAGGCCAAATGTATCACTGTTGCTTTGCTCTGAAATGCTTCACATCTATCTCTGTGTAGCTTGGCGAGGTATGTAGGATATAACTTCATCAACAGACTTCGGAAGTTAAATTCCTCTATGTTTACTATTTTCTCCAAGTGAATACGACAATCTATGGTCATCAAACATCTAGCGGAGCGATGTCGGTATAGCGAACTTTTACACACGGTATCTGCAAAGCTTAAGGATGAGAGACTTGCATAACGATCCCATGAAACACAAGGACAGCTGGAGCTTGAGGATGGAATAGGATATAGCTTTCGACTCCTTTGAGTACGGAGGTCCGAGTCAGCCTCTGTAATCCCCTCACATACGGCGTATGGGGGTCGAGCCCCCTGGGAACAGAAGTCAGAATGGCCAGTAAGCACATGATCAGCGACTCACGGCCAGTATCAGGTTGTTGGTTGTGGGGGTCCGCCAAGGGAAACCTAGATACCCTGAGTAGCTGGATAAGTGTGATCCCGGTCGACGACACCCAGCGCATATCTGAGTGTCACCATGTACTACTATTACACCCCTTGCTGGTGCTTAACACAGTAAGCAGGACACGAACACACCACCTCGGGCCGCGTCCAGGCGAAAGTGTCGAGCAGGTCGAAGTCGAAGTCGACCTGGCCCGAGAAGTCCCAGTCGAAGGTAGGAGCGGCGGCGGCGGCCGGCGGCGTCGACGTTGATATCGAGGCGGGGTGGTGGGGCCCGGGGGGCGCGCTGCTCAGCGCCTGGTCCAGCACGTGCTGGATGATGGTCTTGGCGTCGCCGCAGAGATTGCCGTTTGGCGCCGTCGGCTTGATCCAGTCGAGGAAGCCGACTAGGAGGCTGAGTTTTTGGATTATGGCTGAGCGGGTTATGGTGGGGGTGGTGGCGGTAGGTGAGTTGGATGAGTTGGATGGGCGGCGGCGGTATAGTGGCGTTGGTTGTAGGAGCTCTTGGCAGAGGATGCCGCCGCCGGGGACGGCGTAGGCCATTACCTTGGGGTTGGCTGTTAGCTGTGGTGGACAAATGAACTGCTACCTTAGTGGGATGGTGGATGGTGGACGGTGGATGGTGGATGGTTAGAGGGATGGATGTACTGTAGAAGATGTGGAGGACCAGACAATGCAATGTCATGGGGCGGGCGGACTTACCAACCACTCGCAATCGGCTCGCGCATCGATGAGACGGTCCTGGTGCGTCCAGAATGGGAGCGTAAAGGTCACCAGCTCGTAGCTGACGGCCAGAATATCGCTCTGCGTGTGTCCGTGACGCAGCAGCAGTCGCTCGACGAAAAACAGGTTCTGTAGGTGCTCCAGGCGCAGCAGCGTGCGCGAGCCCAGATCGCCGACCACGACGGCTGGGTCCTCGAGGTCGCCGGCGTGGTAGTGCAGGAAGTCGGGGAAGGCCTCGAACGTCTGGATCTCCCGGTCGCGGATCTCGCTGGGAACGGGGGGAAGGTGTTGTTAGTACTTAGTACTGATGGGGTGGAAAGGGGGCAGGGTGGGTGATCTCCCCAACTTGGTGGCCTACAGAAGCGTCTCGATGGACGTGGCTTGGGCATGTCCGAGTGCGAGCTCGAAGATCTCCTCGCGGATCACTGCTAGCACTGCGACAGTTTGTGTTAGTAAGTTCCCTAGAGGAGACGAGAGAGTTTCGGGAGGAAGCAGTGTATCTGAAACCCCACGTAGGCTACACTGGACGACTAGCACTCTTCAGTAGTAAAAGTGGGCATGGAAGAACCCCCAGAGAGCTGCTTACTGGACCGCGCACGAATCGGACTGCCGGAGTAGAGGACCCCATCCGTATTCCAGCCGTTCGCATCCAGTTTCTCCCTAGCTCTGGAGAGCGTATCCGGGTCGGAGAACAGGTCGTCGTTCCTGAAGTCCAAAAACCGCGGCGTGGATGCGAAGCGCCGACTCATCAAAGGGGGTCTGCCCGTGAAGGACACGAACACCATGTCGACTGTGTATATGTTCCAGTACAGCCGTCTCTTGAACTCGGACGTCGTGGTCGGACGGTACGGCCCCGTGTCTCCAAGCGCGTGGTAGCCGAGGAAGGTGAGCAGGGCTACGCTGTCTGCGTGATAAGTCCACGCTTTGAGACCTGGGACAGGGCACGTCAGCAACATGTGACCTCGTCTTCCAGGACATTCCTGGAGGGTGAGGTGGGGAATATGGAATAGAAAATGGGTGTGCCAGGACAGCCACAAGACTTACTCGCGTCGCCGGCGAACATCGACTCGTACACCGAGCGCCTGAGAAGCATGTTTAGGAGTAAAGAATTAGCTGCAGAGAAGTCTCGGCACAGCTCAATGCACAAGCCGAGACACTCCCTCGTGACAGGGGTGGGGGAGCAGCCGTACTCGTCCTGCGTGTAGCTCTTCCGTATCGCCATGGTCTTGGCATTGAAGTCCCAAAGGCAGAAGATCAGGCCCAGGGTTTCCCAGCGGATATTCTTCCCCGTGAACTGGTCCAGCCAGCGGTCCGGCATGGCCTCGTCGTCGGAGAAGGGCTTGGCCGTGTTGTCGCACAGGATGGGCAGAAGCTCCTCCAGGTCGGCGTCGTTGCGGTCCGACTCGAAGTAGTGGCCGAAGTGGTCGTAGAACAAGTCGGTCACCTTCCTGGTGAGATAATAGATCCAGGACTCGTACGGACGGCCGCGGAGGACGTGGCGGCCGCGGAAGAACAGCCGGCCGTTCATCTCGTCCGGCACGTTGCTGCGTCTACGTCAGCATCCTGTCTTGAAACCCGGATGGAAGGTCTGTAGATGAAGAAGGAAGGGCGACTCCAAAGCTTGTTCCCGAAACCAAGGTTCAGGGTTTCGTGGTGGGACGTTTTTATACGTACCGTAGCACCGTGAGACACATGTCGCGCGTCTTGGGCGAGAGCTTCCGCGGTCGGTCTGTGACGGAGGCTTCACGGCTCGTGCTCCCCGGGGACGTCAGTGATTGGGTCGCGCCGGACCCTTGCAGGCGCGACAGGCTGTCCTGGGTCTCTTCGTAGACGGTGGTGTAGCTGGTGAAGCCGAGGTAGCCATGTTTTACGGATGTCATGCTTAACGCATGCTCGTCCGCGTTTGCATCGGGCACCTTCCCGGCGGGCCTCCCATTGGAACCGCGCTGGACTGACGAGCGGGTTGGCACCGGGGACGGCAGTAAGTCCCTTGGGATGGCTGCCGTTGACACTGGGGAGGGGAGTGTATCTCTTGATATCGCTGCCGCTGCCGCTGCTGCTGGCGTCTGTGCCGACGAGACGACGTAGACGCAGTCGTCTCCTTGTCTCCGCTTCACGCACCGGTTGCAGGTGGGCTGACTATGGTCGCAGGCCACCTTGCGCTTCCGGCACGGCTTGATTTGACCGTTAACGTCTGCCTACATGATGCGGTGAAGGCGAGCCGAGAGCACACTCACCTCGCACGCCTGAGGGCGGCCGTTCGGCCTACGAAGCACTGGCGTTTCCGGTGACGAGGTCATGGCAGGCCGCTCGATGGGGACTTGGCATGTCAGAAACGGCGTAGCTATTGATCCATTTGATCCATCGTTCGCTGGCAGCCTGGAGCCGCAACGCAAGCCGTGGTGAAGTCGGCATGGTTTGTGAAGGTCTCGGCTTAGGGGTTTATGATGGGGCCATGACTCGGCTTCGGCTTCGGCTTCGGCTTGCGGGCAGTGGCATCCTTAGCACATCTTTGTCATCCCTGGCACCCCGCAAAAGGATGATAGATCATACACTCCAATTTGCTGGGAATCGGGGAACGAACTTGGATCATTTGACCCACCTGCGTTGCTCACGGTCTGGTGATGGTAAGGAAAGCGAGGGGGCGACGCAGGTTCACCACGTGGGCCGGGAACTCTGCAGGTGCCCCGGATTCCTTCCAGGATTGGATTAGTCGAGCCTCATCGTCAATACCTGGTCATTCCGAAGCCGAGAGGATGCAATTCTTCCTGCAGGCCGCGCCTCTCCCTATGACTCTTCGCCGATGTGGGCTGACAGGCATATGTAAGATTTTGAGTCAGAACTGTATGCCGGGGCACACTTGGATGGTACATGTTTGTATGGAATGTATAAAGTGGTGGCCTTCGCCAGTCCTAGGTGAGCGATAGAGGAATACCATCAGTCTATGATCTATCAGACAGCTCACACAGAATCAACGCAAAGGCAACCAAATACACTCTTCCATACAGTGATACAATTCGAACTTTCCGCCCAGATCGGCTATTCCATGCACTGATACCCTTCAAACTTTTCGTCCACCTGAACACCCCTATTCCACCATGTCCAACTCCCTGAACACCGCAGCAGTCTCCTCCCGCCTACAACAGGAGCCGTCAACACAGCAGCCACTGCCAGGAATCTCTCCCACCCGCCCACGATCCGCATCAGCAGCATCGGAAAGGACTCTCGTTGGTGAAGGTGTCGACGTCGGTTCAAAGTCCGACAAGGACGTGGAGACCGACGCCGCGGAGACAGAGTCGACCTCTTCGTCCACCATCATGTGCAAGACGAAGGCAATGCTCAAGTCGAAGCTGAACTCGAAGAGCTCGAAGCCCAAGCTGGTGCCGAACCCATCGGATCGGTACATGTATCCCACCACGGCTTATTCGTGGCGGGCGTTGTATGGTGAGTGATTATGGCACTACCTTGACCGTACATGCAGGTATTATTGGATCTGCGTAGCTGACCCAATAACCACAGAAATGAAGCCTTGAACCGTGGACATTGCACACGGCTAGTGATTCGAAGCGGACGAATTCGGCGTCGCAAATTGGGACACCATTGGGACGTGGGCGGGGGGTTGGCTTACATCTGTTATTGGATGCAAGGAGTTATCAACAAAAGTTCTCAATCGAGATTGATATGAGCTGGCGCAAGGGGATTCGGGGACTGGGCATTGAACACCGTGCTTGACGTCGACTATGGACGGCAGATAGGAGGAATATAATCATCGATTGAATGATAATGAACTGCTATTAATTATAAAGTATTCATAATTCTCCACCTACTCCGTGCTCCTCATTGCCAAGGCGCACAACGTGGCTTCCCCCCCTGTTCCACCTCCAAGAACAGGTACTTCGACTTCATTTACAAAGAAACGAGAACGACTTGGTCGAATAGTGCTGGGCAAAACAGAACTGTTTGACTGTCCCCTGGTCGTACGCCATGTTGATATCCTTGCAATTGTCGTCCGAATAGACGAAGAACTCGGTGCTGTCGCCGAGATCTTCGGTGTAGAACGCTCCCGCGGTTCCGTTCGTCTTGTAGCAGTCGCAACCGTCGCCGTTGAACTGCGTGCAATTTTGGCTGTTGGCGACGGTGCAGTCGTCTGAGAAGTCGTCGTGAGTTGCACAGAAGGTGACATTCCACGCCGAGGCACTGCATGTGTGGATAAGGGGCAGCAGGAAGGCTGCGAGGAGGGAAACGTGTCGCTTCATGGTCGTGGGGAGGGGCTAGTTGTGTTGTCGACGTTGAAGTGCGGTGAGCCGACGTTGGGACAGAGCTGGTGTTTCGTGTTGAAATGAACTCGATCGCCAAGGCCAAGTAAGCTTCTGTGCCTTATACTTGGCTATTTCTCGGCAATTCCTCAGCTCCAGGAATAGTCACGATGCCTAAAGGAAGAAGTGACGTATAATTGGGGTGCTGCCGGGCATCCTTCGATCTACACGCTCCTGCCGCTCCCTAAGGCGAATCGCGCCAGAATTTCGCGCTGTTGCCTCCTCGTCTCGGGAGAGCTGCTTCGACTGAATGAAAATAAATGAAGTTAACACGAGGCTGTTCCTCTACTCGGATTATTGGGGGTTCCTGGTTTTGCGATTGGTTCGGCAGTCGTGTGACGCTGCAGACAGCCGCATCGCCAACAATTCGCGAAACTCAGTGACCCCGCAACCATGGGTGGTCAAATAGATCCCATGGGAGTCTCCTACCTCGTCTTGTTCACGGTGTCTGTTTAAGAGTCAGTTATCCATATCTTGAGATAGGAAGCCTCTCATCGTCGTCCCTTACCTAAGCATAATCGGCCACGCTGCCCAGACGCACCCGTTTTGCACTGAGCCCATCGAGACCAAAGAGAAGAAGGGGCACGGAGTTGGGGGGTTATACAGGGCTCCTGATGAATACCAGAAGAGATGCCTCCTGACAACCTGTCCAAGAAGGCAGACAGCTTGGATGCAATGCCTAGCATAGCAGGTAAAGGCTCGTCGGTCACGAATAGCACACGAGACGAGTCCCTGACGGCTATCATGTAGAACAACCTCCCGATATGGTGGAGATCCGCCCGGCCGGTTCCATGGGCAACGGCCTGTTTGCAACCCAAGACATACCCCGAGGCACGAGAATCATAGCCGAAGCCTATATTGTCTCCATACCCAGTAGCTTTGGCTTTGGAAAATATCATGACTGCCTGACTTCTGCGCTGTACGACAACACCTGTCGAAAGCCGAGTTGACGAATCTCGACCAACTTTATTGCAACACCTCCCATATCACGGAAGAGAATCGTTCAAGGACGCGTCAGTGGTACAGAGATCAGGGTATAACCGACATGAACGGGAATACCTTGAAAGGCAAGAGGCTCCAGTATATCGCGAAGGCCACTCTCAAGCGGTACGCGCTTTTTCTCTCCAACAGGGTGATGATGGGAGGCGACGGCCAATATGGCGGCGGTGTGTTCTCACTGTATAGCCGTATCAACCATTCGTGCATCCCGAACGTCCACAACACGTATAATCCAGATGATAGACCAGTTCTGGGTGCATTGATGATTGATTGTTGTTCTATCTAGATCTATCTCTCTGGCCGACCAGAATTGTTGAATGGGAGCCGGAAATAGACACCGGAAGATCTCCAGTGGGGCAGAGACGCACAAGGCATCTGACCCACCAAGAAGACAGATGATCAATCTCTGTACGCTGAAGAACAACAACAGAATACACTGGTCAACCTGAATAGTCTGAACTCGCTTGCATCCGTGTATTCAACAAGAATCGTCTGCCAGATAATCTGTCTGTGTGGCTGAGGCACAGCCACAGATAGACGTGGTCTGTCACCAGACTTATAACGTCTCACTGTACATTCGATCTGTAACATCCCGGCTGGGGAGCAGATACATGTTAGCTATGGTAGCAGCGCATATCGCACCCGTGAGCAGCGAGATCAAGAGTTAGATCAATGGGGGTTCGTGTGCAGCTGCCTGGCATGCACTGACCCAGCGATCGAACCCGTCAGGCAGCGCATATTCGATCTGGACCAAGAGCTGGCGGCCTGGGAAGCGCACGGTAGAAAAGGGAGGCGATTTGCTGGACTCTCGATGCCAGCCAGCCTAAACGAGGCCCTGCGATCTGCTGAAGAGCTGGCGGAGCTCTTGAAGAAGCAGGGTCTGGAGGAGATGGAGCTCTGCAAAACGTATGTCTCTACTCGTCGTTCGAGAGGTTCGTACTCACTGCTCTTCAACCTATTGACTGACAGGTCTAGATATCGGGATTGCTCCAATTATTGCCATCAGTTGGGGGATGTTGACGCGGCGATACACTATGCGCAGAAGGAGCTTGACATTGAGCGTTGCATCATGGGGATGGAGGCACAGCACTTGCGTGATGGCATGCATGGCGCTGAGTACTAGCTTCAGCACCTTCAGCAGATGGGTGAAAGCCGGGAGGGGAACGTGGAATAATCAATGACGGGCTCCAGGGAAGATTGTAAGATGCGTTCGAATGGAAGCCAGCCGAAATGTAAGCGACACGGCTTGGATGGGGCGGGCATCTGTCATCAATAGACATCTGTCGTCAACAGAGAGGATTGCCTTGTTCGGTGTGAGCGAGCATGCATCAAAATGGCTCGATGTGCGACGAAATAATGTCTGTTCTGTCTTGCGTTAGAGCGACTCTCAATGTTGGCATGCGGTTTCCACAGTCACCCTGTCAGCTTGTCAGCTCGTGAATGTTATGATTGGAAGGATCTTGGTTGGATCAATTGCTTCGCAATGCGGCACCTTATGGCCGACGAAGACAGCTTCCAAGTTTGACCAATATATTTGAGGCCGGAGAGGCTGTAACCTAGAGAATTTTGTCGACGCCAAGGGGGAAGGTCCTCCATCACGTTGCTTGCTGACTCATGCGATCAAAAGGCCTTCAGCGCCAGAAGATCAAACGGCCGGGAGCCAAAGCAAATTCGCGCGGCCGAAGAACCCGCAGCTATTACTCGATATTTATCACTGAACCGGCCCTCCATCTTACTTGGTGCTTCCGAATCAGGCGGTAATGTGAAGTTATTTTGAGCTTGTGGCTGGCGTGACGTGAGCATTACTCGAGCGATTGCTCGATAGCATCGAGAAATGTATTCTCGATAAGAATTGCAGATCTGCGGTCTAACTACCAGATGGCGCTGATGGTACCGACACACAGTGCCCGTTCCGCTAGGAATTTGTCGGGCCGGTCGTGGTCGGGTTCGAATGTTTACCTACCTAGGTATGCCAATGAAACTTAACGCATTTATGCAAGGCGCGTACTTGCGTCGGGTATGTCGAAGAGAGTCGGTTGAGTCTTCGTATATAGTTAAGATTCGGTGATTAGTTCATTGTCTAGGTGTTATTTACTACATGTATCATATTGTGTTGATGGTTTTTGTATAAGTCGGCGAGCTCCGACAGAACTCTACCGTGTCAAACGTACTATGACTAACATGTAGACTCAAGCCTGCTATTAATACACTAGCGAATCAGAACTTGCCGATAACACCAACAAACCTCCCTGGATTCAGGGTCCTCTCACACATGCAGGCCGACAGCGGCGACAGTATCCCCGTAGCCGTTCGTTGGCACCGCCTTGTACAGTACATACCACATGGTCCGTGTAGACACCAAATGGGCCCAGTCCACTATTAAGAGACCAATCATTCAATGTCAGTAAATAATCGGCCGAAGATGGAGGGTTTTAATTGGTCAGAGAAGTGGCTACAGGGCATTAGATACCATCACAGATAATCCTTCAAGTACAGTACCGGATTTCAGGGGGGTCGGTGCCAACGAACGCTTAAGGGGATACACCTGCGAACTTCCTTATCAAGATATCTCAACCTCCCTTGCCTACCGTGGACGACCCCCTTTCAGGACGCATCCCGAACTCCCCTACCATGAGGGCGGGAGCGCCGGAGGGGCATGCTCCATCCCGTCTTCTCGCGATAATGCACCCCACAAGATGTGATCGTGCGACACCGACATTCCCCGTGGGCCGTATCGAGCCAGAGTGATGCGAAAGCGTGCCCGGGTAGTCTGGCGATTGATCCGAGGTCGAGACTCTGATTACTCGATTGTTCTCCCTTGCCCTTGGGGATGCCATGCCCGCCATGGTTTCTATACTCTGATTCACTCCATTCATGTTCTTTATCTCATCCATACCCGCTTATCTTCCGCCTGCCAACCTATCGTGAAGTATCAGCGAGCGGCTGCTTCCTCGAGGTCTCACCTTCATTCCACCCTTTTTCTCTACTTCAGCTGCTGTCGTATCTATACCTACCTGTGCCTAGGAACCTTGCCTACCCACTTCCTGCAGGTAGTCTCTGGTGTTGTTCTGCGAACCCGACTTGCCTTCCACTCCCCTATCGCCTACCCCCACCATCCAGAGACCTTGACACGATAAGCCGATCACCCATCGTAACCCTCGTCGGTTCCTGGCTGTCTGACAAGCCCAATTCGCCAGCCACCAGGCTTTCAGGAGTGTGACTGCTCTTATAATCCTTCAGAATGACCTCGTCGACTTCTTCCGCTCCCGGACCATTGACCGTTCTCGTGTCGACGAGAGCGGTGCTCACTCTGCCAGATGACAGCCTCGTGCTCACTCCAGCTACCATATCAGTCTCGCCCACTACCGGCAAGATAGTCGCCATTGTCCCTACAGTCCTTCCCAAAACCTCGTTTCCGTCGACCGCGACGTACATCAACTATGGCTCCAAGCTCCTGATCCCAGGCTTGGTCGACGCGCACGTTCACCTCAACGAGCCGGGCCGAACGGAATGGGAAGGCTTCAACACCGGTACGCGGGCAGCCGCCTCGGGTGGCGTAACGACAGTCATTGATATGCCGCTGAATGCGATCCCACCCACAACCACGCTGGCGGGCTTCAAGGAGAAGTTGGTCGCCAGTCAGGGCCAATGCTGGGTCGACGTTGGATTCTATGGTGGCGTGATCCCTGGAAACGCGGAGGAGCTGCTTCCTCTAGTCGAGGCGGGGGTGCGAGGCTTCAAGGGTTTCCTGATCGAGTCGGGGGTAAGTCGAGTCACAAGCGCAGTCAGTTGCGCGTAGCGTCCTAACGAGGAAACAGGTCGATGAGTTCCCCGCCATCTCCTCGGACGACATCGCGCTCGCCATGACGAAGTTGAATGGCACACCGACCACCTTCATGTTCCACGCCGAGATGATCCCGCCCATTACTGATTCCGTTGGCGACGCCGTCCAAACATCCGCACCGCCCTTGGCGCCTCACGGAGACCTCAAGGCCTACCAGACTTTCCTCGAATCGCGGCCGCCGGCCTTTGAAACCTACGCCATTGACCAGATCATCTCGCTCGCCCACCTCGCGCCGAGTTTACACCTACACATTGTGCATCTGTCGGCAACGCAGGCTATACCGATTCTCAAGGCCGCGCGGGAGAACGGCGTCGACATCACGGCCGAGACCTGCTTCCACTACCTCGGTCTGGCAGCCGAGGGCGTGGAGGATGGAGACTGCCGATACAAGTGCTGCCCCCCGATCCGGGAACAGCTGAACCAGGATGGGCTGTGGGAAGAGCTTCAGGCGCCGGACTCATGCATCAAGACTGTCGTGTCGGACCACTCGCCCTGCACACCCGAGCTCAAGCTGCTCCCCCAACACCTCCAGCCCGCAGTGGCAGCGCCCAATATGCATCACTCCGACTCGGGAATCGACATGACCGCGGACAAACTGCTCGAAGCGAAGCAGGCGGCGGAGTCGCAGGGCGACTTCTTTGCTGCGTGGGGCGGCATCTCGTCGGTTGGCCTCGGGCTGCCCATCCTGCACACGGCGTCGAAGAAGCGCATCGCGGCCGGAGGCGCGTCCGCAGCGCCCAGCATCGTCGACATGGTGCGGCTGTGCTGTGCAGCGACGGCGAAGCAGGTCGGCCTGTCGCACCGCAAGGGCGCGCTTCGGGTCGGCATGGACGCCGACGTGTGCGTGTTCGACGAGGCCGAAGAATGGACGCTGAGGTCGGCGGGCATGCACTGGAAGAACCGCTGCTCGCCGTGGGACGGGCACCAGTTCAGCGGGCGCGTCAAGGAGACGTGGCTGCGTGGCCGCAAGGTCTACGAGCACGGCGGGAGTAATGGTGGGTTCGTGAGCGAGGGGCCGCTGGGCGAGGCTATTGTCGAGAGGAGGATGGCGTGATGAGGGATGGATGGATCTCACCAGATCACCTCATTGCGCTGTCACTCGTGGACGTGGTTGGAGTTTGGGGCACGTCATACAGGCTGGCTTGACAGGGTTGGAGCTACCAGCTACATGTAGCCAACCTCGACTCCTCGGGCCTTGGAGAAAGCGCCCACGATGCATGATCTATTGACTGATGAGTGATTGACTGATAGAGTGATACTCCATAGATTTGGTTTCAGATAGCATATTCATGGCCTGCGGAAGTTTTTTCCTTTCCTTTTCATCTAAAGCAATAGACTGCTTGTTTCACAAAGGGATGAGTTTCTAAGTGATACTATTGCCCCTCATCGCGTGTTAAGATTCCATGGTCTGGCTGCTGATGCTTGACTCGATAGAGCCTTCATCGCACTCAAGCAGTCCATATCGCAGCCGAGGCAAATTGACGCTTTGTACGGCGAAGCGAGGTGCTGGGTAATCGCGGCAAATCGACCAAACAACCCATGACAGCAGCCTGCACGTCAAGAACCCGGGTACCAATACCGTACCAAGCCTTGGGCAGCGCAAGCGAGGCTCCGGATCGGTTCGCTGCCGAGAAGAAATGGATGTCTATCATTCATTGCCTGGAGGCTGGCTCGTTGCCGTTGATCTCTGCCAACCGTTGCGATTGGGGGCTTTCCTCCGCATAACTAGCCGGCGTCTCCAATTCCAAGCCCGTGGAACGGGCAGGTGTCACGGTGTCAACGCCCACGCTAGAATTCTAGATTCGGTATCCAACTCGCATCACGCACCATCCTAGCGAACGTGACCGGGCTGGTGGTGGTTTGATGGGCGCCAGGTTCCAACGATGGTTGCGATGATTATCCTCGGGTCCGTTGACCCCTGCATCGTTACAATGCAGTCGCACCGAATTGCCAATGAAAGATCGCTTAGCAGCCGAGGAACCTGGACCTCGCATCTTTTGGCGACCCCTCTGTCGATCCTCAACGTCGTCTCTCAGTATATCAACACACTTGTCTCACGACAATATGACCGAATGACTGTTATTCGAGAGTCAGACAGATCGCCCAGGAAGGCGGGCAAGGCACGCTCCCGCAGAACATCGCCACAAACCAGTCCACTGAATGATGATGCCTCGACAACGCAGTTGATGGTATCATCTAAGGCCGGAAGGTTGCTGCGCGAAAAGTAGTGAATGACTGACGTTTCTTTCGTCATTGGCCGCACCGACCTCGACTGATTATGGGAAACCCGGATGCCAGTTCTGGCGCCTCTCAGGGCGATGCAGAGAATAGTGTGCAGAGCGACGCGCACAATGGCGCAAAGCCGGCCATGGCCATGCTCGACGCCAACAAGATCGATCCCACCAGCTCCGTCTCTACGTCGATGGAGTTGGGCCGTGCCGAACGTAGCAAACAGCCCCCGGCGTCAGCCGCTCATCAACTATCCCTCGACGACGTCGAATCGGTGGATGTGCAGATCCGGAACCTCTCGGTGACTGTCGATACCTCGCCGTCCATCTTCGAACCGGCAACATATCCAGACTTGTTCCGAACCAAATTCGGCGGCGGTCAGGCCGGCCCTGTGAGCAAAGTGCTTCTCCATTCCGTCAATGCGTCACTTCAACCAGGAAGCTTGACCGCGATCCTTGGAGGCAGCGGCTCCGGCAAGACGACCCTGCTGAACACCATCGCGGAACGCGTGTGCAGCACAAGGCTTGCCCAAACTGGGACCACGATGTTCAACGGCTCCGAAGGTGCTCATTCGGTGAGACATGCTTATGTCATGCAACAGGATGTGCTTCTGCCGACGCTGACGGTGCGGGAGACACTGAGATACTCGGCCAACCTGAGACTACCTCCACCGACCACCAAAGCAGAGAGGATGCGGATCGTCGAAGAGGTCATTCTCGAACTAGGCCTGAAAGACTGCGCCGACACCCGGATAGGCAACAGTCAACACCGCGGGTGCAGCGGCGGAGAGAAGCGCAGGACCAGCATCGGAGTTCAGCTCCTGGCGAACCCTTCCGTTCTCTTCTTGGACGAGCCCACAACGGGGTTAGACGCGACCAGCGCCCACCAACTAGTCGAGACTCTGAAATCACTCGCAAACAAAGGGCGCACGGTTATCACGACTATCCACCAGCCGCGGTCCGAGATATGGGGGCTGTTCGACAACCTCCTCATGCTCTCCAGGGGAAGCCCTGTCTACTCGGGACCTATGCAGCAGTGCGTGCCGTGGTTCACGGGCATGGGGTTCGAGCTGCCGCCGTTTGTCAACCCGGCCGAGTTCTTGATTGACCACGCTGCCGTCGACAACCGCACGCCTGAGCTCGAGGCGGAATCCACCGCCCGCGTCGAACGGCTGCAAGGCGCCTGGCGTGAGGAGTCGCAAAGACTATTTGCGCCCTCTTCATCCGAGAAGGCCGTGGCAGAGACGAGCAATCACAAGCGTGCGAGGAGAGAACAACATCACGCCAACTTCTTCCGCCAGCTGAGAGTCTTGACTGACAGGACGATCAAGGTTACCTACCGCGACCCCATGGGCATGTCCGGGTCCATCATGGAAGCAGTTATCATGGCAATCATCACGGGCTACGTCTTCTACGACCTGCCCCGAGACCAGGGCGGGATAAAATCACGGCAGGGCTCACTGTACATCTCGGTCGCTCTACAAGGCTATCTATTTCTGACATTCGAGATCTACCGCATGACGATGGACATACAGATCTTCGACCGGGAGAACAGCGAGGGCTGCGTGACGGCTCTCCCGTTCATATTCTCGCGCCGAATCGCGCGGTTCCTCACCGAGGACGTGCCCGTGCCCTTTCTGTTCAGCATCATCTTCTATTTCATGGCCGGCTTCGACCGCGACGCCGGCCAGTTCTTCACCTTCTTCTCTGTTATCTTACTTAATCATTACGTTGGCGTTACGCTGGCCGTGACCTCTGTTTCGGCTGTGCGACACTTTGCTGGCGCCAGCTTGATCGCTAATCTCGCATATACGTTGCAGAGCATGGCTTGCGGCTACTTCATCCAGAGCAACACTATCCCGATCTACGTGCGATGGACCAAGTATATCACGTACACTGTAAGTATATTTGAAGGTCCGTGGAATGCCTGCTGACTTTCCCCAAGTACTATGCTTTCGGCGCACTTTGCGGAAACGAGTTCGAGGGCAGCTTCTACGACTGCCCCTTGGAAGGAGGCGAGTCGAACCCAGCCTGCCTCCAGTACACGGGCCAGTACATCATGGACAATCTCGGGTTCCCGCGAAACTGGGTGACGAGGCCCATCATTGCGATGTTCGGCTTTGTCATCCTCTTCCTCATAACGTCCTGGGTCGGTCTGGCGTTCTTGCAAGTCGAGATGACCATCGCCCGGACGCGGGCATCGGAACCGGATCTGTCGGCTGGAAAGGAGAAAATGACTGCTAGATCGGTACAGGAAGTTCGGGCCATCGACGTGGGCCTGGACAGATTCGCCCTGGATCTTGACAAGAGGTCCATGCTTGGGAAGAGGCTGCCCACCAAGACCATCCTGAACCCCGTCACGGCCACGTTCGAAGCCGGGACGCTGAATATCATCATGGGCCCCTCGGGCTCGGGCAAGACCAGTCTGCTCAACGCAATGGCCCGGCGCCTCAAGAGCACATTGGGCACCAAGTATCGACCGTCCGGTCGACTAACGTTCAACGACGCTGTCCCGTCGACGTCGGTCATTCGGTCCGTGGTATCCTATGTCTGCCAGGACGACGACGCTTTGCTTCCTTCTCTGACGGTGCGGGAAACCCTTCGTTTCGCTGCGGGCCTTCGCCTCCCGTCCTGGATGAGCAAGCAGGAGAAGTACCAACATGCCGAGGAGGTCCTCCTGAAGATGGGTCTCAAAGACTGCGCCGACAACCTGGTCGGCAGTGATCTGGTGAAGGGCATTTCAGGCGGCGAGAAACGCCGCGTCAGTATCGCTGTCCAGATCCTCACGGACCCACGAGTCCTGCTTCTCGACGAGCCGACGAGCGGGCTGGATGCTTTCACGGCGGGCAGCATACTGGAGGTGCTCCGGGGTCTGGCCAACGAAGGCCGCACGCTGATCCTGACCATTCATCAGGCCAGATCTGACCTGTTTAGGCACTTTGGCAATGTGCTGCTTCTTGCGAGAGGGGGATCCCCGGCGTATGCGGGTCCGGCGAAAGACATGCTTGGCTATTTCGATGCGCTGGGGTATCAGTGTCCGCGACACACTAATCCGGCTGACTATGCGCTTGACCTCATTACTATCGACCTCCAGGAGGAGAAGAGGGAGGAGCAGAGCCGGGTGAAGGTCAGGGGTCTTATTGACGCGTGGGCCAAGGTGGCAGAGCAAAGAGTGTCGGTGGCACAGCGGTCCGTCGCGAGGCCTGTCATCGACGAGGAAACTAAGGTGTCCAATGCAGAAGTCAAGTCAGCAAAAACATCAGAACCCTTTGCCCAGACAGACGATGCGGTCCTGCGGAAGCTGCCCTCGGCCGTAGCACCACGGCGATCCTTCAACAAGACCACGCTGGCGACGCCAGCAGAGCTGGGCGCGCTGGTGCACAAGCGCGCCTCCTTCGCCACGGCATTCCCGCTCCTGCTGCACCGCGCCATCATCAACTTCCGCCGCCAGCCACCGCTCCTCCTGGCGCGCACAATGCAGGTAGTCGGGCTCGCCGTGATCCTGGCCCTCTTCTTCGCGCCACTGCACCACGACTACGCCAGCATCCAGAACCGCGTGGGGTTCATCCAGGAGGCGGGCGCCTTCTACTTCGTCGGCATGCTGCAGAACGTGGCCGTGTACCCGGCCGAGCGCGATGTCTTCTATCGCGAGGACGACGACGCCGTCTACGGCGTCGAGGCCTTCCTGGCGACGTACACGGTGCTCGAGGTGCCCTTCGAGGTCCTGAGCTGTGTTGTATTTGGCGTGCTGGCCGATTTCGCCGTCGGCCTGCCGCGCACGGCCGAGCTGTACTTCGTGCTGGTGTTCTGCTGCTTTGCCATCGTGTCGTGCGGCGAGAGTTTAGGTATCATGTTCAACACGCTCTTCGGGCACACGGGCTTCGCCGTCAACTTCATCTCGATTCTGTTGAGTGTCGGGCAGGTCATCGCGGGGTTGATGAGCATCGATATGCCGGCCTTGTTCAGGGCTTTCAATTACCTCTCCCCGCTCAAGTACGCCACGGCGGCGCTGGCGGCGTATAGTCTTAGGGATATTGAGTTCACGTGCGATGAGGGCCAGAGGCTGCCGGATGGGCGGTGTGGTATTGAGACGGGCGAGCAGGTGCTAAGGTTGTATAAGCTGGATGTGGACCCGTTCCCGAATCTGGTCGCGCTGGCGGGCGTGGTGGTGGTTTATCGCCTGTTGGCTTGGTTCTTGCTGAGGCTGGTGCGGACGAGGTGGAGGGGCGTGGTTGAGAGCAGGCGGAGGGGAAAGGACGTGGAGATAGTTGGGTGATGATATTTGGTCGTGGAGGTAATGACACTATCTGTTCGTGATCTTCATGGTCTTACTACAAGTGAATCCTTCATGTCCTTGAGAAACTTCGCGATGGTTCGATGGGGCCATGTCGATGCTCCGAACTACGTACCATAAGTACGTAGTAGGCCGCGATAAGGCTGACGATCTTGGTCAAACCGCATGATTATTTCTAAACACCTATTCGGTGATAACGCTTCCAATTCCACTTCGCTCATTGGAAGTGCGCAAGACTGATACCCATTTGGGGAACGAGTCCCTACCACCCGACATGCGATACTCCATGCGGACACGTCAAAAGGCTTCTGGGCCGGCTCCAGCCTCCTGTCGACAGACTGACTGACTGACTTCCGAGCGGCAGTCATCAAGCCAACTTGAAGTTTCGCATTCCAGGGGCTGGAGGCCGGCTGCCCGATGTACTAAACTCCGAAGCTGACGTCAGGCCGAGGGGCAGCTCCCCCTGACAGCGGGGTAGCTCCCGTCTTCACCCAAAACGACTGGATGTCAGGCTTCCCGGAGTCTCGCAGTGCCAATCGCATTCAGTAGGCGACCCGAGGTGGGTCTTATCGGAGTGGCGGGGATCGCGGGGATACTCATTGGGAACATGAAGCCTTCTCGAATCTCGAAGACCGATTACCAACGCGAACTGTATCAGAGTTCCGTCATAGTCTTGGGATATAAGAGAGCTGATCGACGCTGGTATTTGAGGGGTCATCATTTACACTCACATCACCTACAATACCTACAATCATCACACCAAACAGCACTCGAATCTCACTGAGCATTCAAACTTCAGCTCACCATCCACCTAAGAAAATCAAACACGTCAACCCACACCACACACACAATGGCCCCCAAAGTCATCGTCGTCCTGACCTCCTACGGCCACATCGAAGCCTCCAACAAGCCTACGGGCTGGTACCTGCCCGAGCTAGCGCACCCCTACGACGTGCTCAGCAGCAAGGGCGTCGAGATCGTAGTCGCCTCGCCCGCCGGCGGCGCCGCGCCTCTCGACCCAGCCTCAGTCGAAGCCTTCAAATCCGACGCCTCTTCAACAGCCTTCCTCGAGTCCAAGAAGGCTGTGTGGGAGAATACGCAGAAAATCTCATCATTCCACGGCAAATCAGGCGACTACGCCGCGCTGTTCTACCCCGGCGGCCACGGGCCGATGTTCGACCTGCCGAGGGACGCGGATTCAATCGCGCTGATCAAGGAGTTCGTCGCGGCGGGGAAACCCGTCGCGGCTGTGTGCCATGGCCCGGCTGCGTTCACGGGCGTCACGCTTGATTCGGGGAAGCACCTGCTTGCTGGGAAGGAGGTCACGGGGTTCACGAACGTGGAGGAGGACCAGGCGAAAATGAGCGAGTTCATGCCGTTCATGCTGGAAGATAGGATGAAGGCGGTGGGCGGGGATTTCAAGAAGGCGGCTGAGCCGTGGGCTGAGTTCGTGCTGGTGCAGGATGGGGGCAAGTTCATCACGGGGCAGAACCCGGCGAGTGCAAAGGCGGTTGGGGAGGCTATTGCTAAGTCCATTGGGGTGTGAGAAGGGTTGGAGAGTGGCTGAAGACTGTGGAGGTGTGATCATTTGATTTAGCAGGCCTTGTTATGGAATCGGGATGAATTTGCTTACTTTAAGTACTTGGTATATACCAGAAAAACAATTGACCGGGCGTTTGATCTTTACACTCCGTTGACACCCTTTTGCACTTGCGATGGGCTACGTTCCATGGATTCGAGCCATTTGGGCGGCAATCTGTGCTATCAAAGTCATATCCGCTAGCCTCCAGATCTGCTACCCAGAAGCGTCTCAATGTTGGGTATGCCCAACATACAAGTCATGGCCGCAGAGGTGTCTCCTTTGGACGAGTTAGTGGCAGTAATCATAGGAAACTGTCCAAGAAGTCGTCCATACAGGAGGCTTTGGGGGCTGGTGGTAGCTGATGTGGATGTCCCCAAGGACCAACGGCTATGCATAGTGCCTCGTCATAATCTTCGTCATTGCGGAAGGAGTAGCATGATGTTATTGAGAGGCCACGCAGGGCTGTGGCAACTGGGTAAGGAAACTCTCTTGGACAATACCGCACAGGCTATGGTAAAGGCCTAGCGTATCCCTTATTGTGGCCGCTGGTAAAGAGCAGCAGTGGTAGGCAACTCTTCGCTTGCCTCTGGGCCCATGTGTAAGCTTAAACCATGAACAATACCGCTCACACTTCATATGCTCAGGAGCGCTTGCAGTTGTAGAGAGAGATCCATCGTGTAATTCTGCACCCGAGGTGTAATCATCTGCTTCTCATGCCCGTGAGCTCGTCAACCGAAGGCATCCACTCACTACGGGCGTCGCAATTTCAGTGTTGGTACCGCCACCCTGAAAGGCAAAGTCGCCTACTAGTTCAAGCTTCGGCAGCCTGGTTGACGTCTCTGCGCCGGGTTCCGGCCTGATCATCACCTGGACAGCACCCTGGGCAGCACCATTGAGCCAGCCCCGTGCCCATGGCACATATCAATGTTACTGACGCTGTGCCTAAACACGGTGTCCGGCATCTCCATGGCCTCTCCTCACATCGCCGGTCTCGGTGCCAGCGTTCAACAGCGACCCTATTGCTTAGAGAGGATGTGAGGGTTTGATTGGAGATAGGGGCTAGATTGGGGTTGTGGAGGACTCCCAGATGGCGCGCTCAAGGCACATATTACCTCGATAGCCCTGCTCAGTTCAATAGACAAGTGCCCCAGACATCCAAGTAGTAGCGGTTGATAAGTGAAGTTCATTTGCAACGCGACGTCGCCCATACCTAGGGGTGTCGACCTCCAGCCGCGAATACATGCGTAACTTCGCGACCGCGGTATCGCTCAGCCCTGGTGTAACTTGACGGAAGCCTTGAACCCGCCGTGACTGGGAGTAGCAGTGATCAACATATCCCTAGCCCGCTTGCGTCTCAGTACGTACGGGGCCGGAAGGCTTGAAGCACATGGACCACCACTGAAGCGCTCCTAGTTGCTGCCTGCGACCGGGAAGAAAGCGAATGGAGCATCATCAGGACTGGCTGGCACTGAAGCAGAGAAAATGCCATTGGATCCGATCGGTGACTAGAAGGCCGCCCGGAGATTCATTCCATCTTCGGAACGGGTTGGACGGAACAGTTGGTGCCGGCTCACTTCACCCGCCCCAAATACGGAGCGGTTATGTGGAGATGCCGCATCGGGGCCGGGTGGAATGTTGAACGACAGATTTGCGCCGTGGTCTGGACCGTTCAGCAGCAAGTTCTACATAGCGGGGTATCCTGAGGAAAGCGACTGGGGTTTGGAATGAGAATGCCAGCAGGGCGAGGAGGAGAGCAAAGAGCTGGTGCTCTCACTCTTCCGTACTGGTAGGGTCTTCATCATAAATGCGCCACTCGAGGGGATACTCGGGGTCGGTGAGCGACAAACGCACGTGGTGAACTCCCCTTTTGCTTTTTCTTCTGTTTCGCAGCCGAGTTCCGGATGATGCGTGGAGGCCGGGAGGGTGTTGCTTATTCGAGTGTGACGTGTCTCGTTGGTGGTGATACGGCGATGCCGAGTTCCGCGACACCCCTGTGAGGGAATAGGCAAGGCAGGTCGGTTGTGGATGTGTAAATAGATGCCAGTCCCCAACGGCGGCTAAAAGATGCCGTAGCTGTCTTGAACGTCTCCTAGCATCAACAAGTTTCTAGCTTCGGCACAATGCCAGGTCTGCGGAAATAACAGCTGGGAATTATTACCACCACTAAGGTAGGTATTTTCTAGTTTCACCTGGGCCAAGAACAAGCGCCGGCGTCCACTGTCGCGGAATACGGCACATCACGTTGACGGTTGAGGTCGCTGGAGATTAACGTCCAATACTGTACGTGAGTCAAACCTTATTTGGCCTTGGCCCAGCCAGGCTACGTACTGTCACAAGTTATTACAACTCGACTCCTCGAGGTCAGCATACCTGCTGTGCTGTTTCTATCTAGCAGAACATACTGTACAGAAGAGATGAAGAGAAGTCGCCCCAGACTCGCTTTCGTGGTGAATGAAAACGGCCTGTACATCGAGATTCAAGCTGTCAACCATCGATGCCGGAACCCGCGAGGACACTAGGGACATGAGACACATCACAATGATGAATGAAGGTTCTTGGGTCTTCTGCTTCAGTTGACTACAGTATTTGACTATCGTTCGGAAGCGGCAAGCCACGTGCATGCATGCCGTTACTCCGCCAGTGCTAGGTGGTGTCAGGGGGGCCCTTCGATGTTTTGCGAAGAGACGTAGCGAGCGTGTTGCTTACTAATAAATTGTTACAAAAAGTTGTTACATCAGGTTGAGTCTCTTGGCACGGTTGAGTTGCATACACAAGTCATAACACACATCAGAGTTACATCGATTGTTTTCAATCATAGTTTGTGACCCTGTATGTCCAGTCCTACAGTAGAGTAGTAGAGACACAGTATGCCGTTCCATCAACACTGTCGATACGGTATTGTGCCCGTGCCGTTGCCGACTCCCCGTTCAGCCCGTCTGCCCGTCCGTTTCCTGCACGTGAAGAGCGCTAGGCCCAACTTCCGCAAGTGGTGGATCCCCATTTACCCCCATCCGTCCATGGATGCCAAGGATGGTCCATGTCAAACAACCAGCTTGCCGGTTTGCCGGATCAGCAGCTGAAATTCTGCCCTGATAATAGAGTGACGATCTTCTTCGTCTCCTTCGTCTCTGCGAAACGTCAACGCCAACGCCAACGCCAGTGCCAATGCCAATGCCAATGCCAGCCTGGGCACCGCCGCACCCGTTGCGTTGATGACCACGATTAAGCGCCCTCCTGCTCCGTCGACGCGACCGATCGCATCATGCGACTCTGGCCGCGCGATACTTCCGCCCGCGACGACATCCAGCTCACCACCACCGGCGAGGGCCAGCGCCAGCGCTGCAGCAATGCGCCGCCACGTACCACCGGCACCGCTGCCGCCGAGGATGCCTGCCTGGGCGTCCTGCCGCTCGAGCTGCAGTACCTCATTATCGCGCAACTCGACCTCGCCAGTCTGGTCAACCTGCGCCAGACCAGCCGCCTGTACCGTCACGTGATTACCGCCGATGTCATCCGCAAGCGCTTCACCAGGGACGGCCGGCCCGCCGCCGTGCTCAGGAGCTGCTGCACCGAGTGCCTGTCCATGCCGGGGCTAGATCGTCTGATCTTGGATGCGACGCTCGATGCCACGGCCTGGCGCTCCGTCTGCTTCCGCTGCTGGCGCGAGCGCCTGGGTCGTGACTACCGCCTCAACCCCTGGCCGCAGGTCGAGATCGCCAATGGCGACATGGGCTACATATGCCAATTCTGCAACTGGCCCATCCAGAGCCGGACCGCCGACAGTGGCACCGAGCGCCTGCACGCGCCGTGCAAGGCCAAACGGCTCACCGTCTTGATCACGTGGATGATCATGGCGTTTCTGCAATTCGGGCTTGGCATATTGGCTGCCGTCCTGGCGTGGACTAGATATAAGGAGCAGCCCAAGATATTGATACCCGCAAGCGTACGGGCCCCCAAGTCGTGTTTGAGCTCGTGTCCGGTTCCTAATGTTGCTTGTCTAGATCGACTTTGGCCTGGCGTTCTTTGCAGTCGGCGTCTTCTTGGTCCGCATCAGCACCACGACGGAGAAGACTTACGCGAGGGCGCTCGCCGGCGAACTCGTCATCTGCATCGTCCGCCTCCCGCCCACCGTCTACTCGGCGCGCGAGACCGTCATCACCCGCCTGCAGGTCGGCCTACTGCCCAAGTTCGGGTTTGGCGTGTTCCTGATCAACCTGTAGGTCTCCTTTCGTCCAATGACATCACCAAACCTCCATCATGGGCATGCTCCTGACACAGCGACAGCATTTTCCGCTTCCTCGATTTCATGGGCCACGCCCTGCTGAACGGCGGTTACGACCCGCGCAGTGTGTTCTTGAAGGGCCTCCCGTCGCAGAAGAAGCTGCTGTACATGTTTTGTACGTTCATGGTGTGGTTTGCATATATCCCGTTCTGAGGGCGGCGTAAGTATATGAGAAGGCATGCTCATTTCGGCGCATCATACTCGCATTGTTGGCATATCGGCTGGGTATATTGCTGGACAGTGTTCTATGCGTGCAGGCATTTGGATGGCGTCTGATGAGTTTGAGCGTTGTACATAAAACATGAATCACTATTTGAATATCTCGACTCTCCCTTTGCGTGGTTACCACGATGGCGTGTCGTGCTCGTGGCTTTCGATTCGTATACGGTGTGCATTATTATACTTGTTCACATCCACTGTAGGGTCATTAGTACTGCCTTTAACAAACAGAGTGTCTAGCCCCATATTAACTTTCTGTACACATACATACAAAGTTGAGCTAGCACGCTGTGCCTTTGTGGTAGCGGAACCAGAACGGAGATCTATCACAAGTCTTGGTTGGGATGATCTGTATTCTGGTTGGTGCTTTGTTAAGTTCGGATGGGAAGGGATCCCATCCGAGAAGTATCTAAATACCTAAATTACAGTGGGTTGGTACCTGTCACCTGGGGCAGACATCCCAGGTAACCTTATCGTAGAACGCCCTGGATGACAGGAGATCCGATAAGGTACTGGTGGCTGGATCCAGTGGCTGGGATCCACAATAGCTTAAAATTATATAGTGTATATATATAAAAGTAATGTAAGGCTAGACACTTTGTTTATTAAAGGCAATAGTTCATTAAAAAAGGCGGGTGCACATTTTAATAGATGCTTAGCAACCGTGAGAAACGCCGGCGATAAAAGTGAGGGCAGGCGTGACGCCACGTATATACTTACCCATTCTTGTTGATACTTCTACAACAACCCACTACTGCGCTCCTTCCTCCCCGCGATATCAGCGCCTTACTTCCAGACGCGAGCGATGACCGAGGGGATGACTCCGATGCGCTGCACCTTGATCTGGTGGCCGCGGCACGACCTTGACGCATACCGTTTATGTATCTTACAGCCACTCCGGCAAGAGGGTCTTAAGTACATATGTGCCCACCTACCTAGGTACCTACCCAAAGTATTGTTTGGAATGGTAAACCTTATATGCGCCTCGCAGTCCTCCAATGTTTTCCTTAAAACTGGCTCATGGCTACACTCTATTCGTCTTCTCGCTCAACTTTGACGGCAATATGGCATCAGCGAAACCTTCGTTTTCATCCGATGAGTCACGAAAGCCCTATATAAGGACGGTTCTTCGCACGGGAATCTCGCCAAGATCTTCTCTACGGACCACACACAACTCTTCTCAACGTCACCCAGAACATACACCACATTTCCGACAGAGATCAATCACCTTGACTCTCGCGGCCCCTCCTCTCCGGCAACACCGTCCTTCAAGATGGATTCCAATAGCGAACAGGCGCACGAAGTGCAAGATGCACTCAAGGCAAGTCAAACATCATTCATGACTACAGTATGGTGGCATTGGCACTGACTGTACCTAGACCGCCGCATGCAAGCCTGGCCTTTCGGGCCGCGAATCACGTTTATTGTTGCACCGACTTAGCCGCGCTCGCTACCACCTGTCGTGCCATCAGACCTTGTGCCGACGAGGCGCTTCTGAAGTGCGCACTGCGCCGTTGCCCACAGCTACTGTTCTGGGCTTGCGAGCTGGGTCACTATGACCAGGTCGAGAGGTCACTTAAAGTCGGCGCAGACCCGAACATGCCGTTCCGCTCACGCGATCCGAGACACCAAATTCTGGGCCGGAAGATGAAGTTGTCGAAATTACGCTCTATGTACCGCCTCAACTTCCATCCGCAAGGTCCTCTTACAGGCCAGGATTAATTGTGGCACCCTCTACACTGCGCGGCGATGTCAGGCAACAAGGACATAGCCCATCTACTGCTCGGTTATGGTGCGGACATCGACGCTGTTTCGCGAGGGTTCTGCGCCTGCAAGTCTTCTGCAGGTGTTGTAACTGAGCCGGATCGGCATGAGCTGGTAAATCGAACACCGCTTCACACTGCTTGTGCAGCCGCAAAGAGTCAACCGCGAGCCTTCTCGCAGCTGGGGCTTCACCCATCGAAGGTCCACGCCAATCGTGCGCTGCTATTTACACAGCCGCAGCCAACGGGCTTTTGAATATCGTGGGAGCCCTGATGCAGGGTAAACAACAGGTCGACATCAATGTCCAAGATTCGGGCGGGCTAACCCCGTTGTGCCATGCCCTCCTGTCGTTGCGCAGCAGCAGCGACATATCGTGGCTTCTTGAGAATGGAGCTGACGTGAACATCGACCTACGCAATGGCTGGACCATTTTGCACCTGGCTTGCCATTTTGGCCGGGCTGATACAGCAGCAGCGTTCATTGACGTCGGGCCCGATGTGAACATCCTTCCGAACAGCCCCTTTTCTTTAAAGAAGCGTCCGCTTGAACTATGCTGCTGTTCAACGGAGGACAGTATCGCTCTAGACACGCTTTTCCTCATTTCGCAACACCCGAAGATGCCTCAGCGGCCAACTTTAAGGTCCGCGCTGGTTAAACATCTCATCTCAAATGGTGCGGATGTACATCCTCTCAAGGCTGGAGCGGGCTCGCCCCTTATCCTAGCCTCCCAGTCACATCTCCCTGATATTATGAGACTCCTCGTTGCCCACGGTGCCGATGTTTCCCAGCCAGATGCAGAGGGAGATTTCCCGCTTCTGGCAGCAAATACGTGGCTGCGCAACGTTTAAGGACAACAACAAAATGCGTACTGCAGTCTCCTTTCTGCTCAGAAAGGGTGCGGATGCCTCCCAGGTGGAGCCTCGTCAGAAGAATGCTCTCCGCCTTCTATATGGGCATTCGGAGTTCGAGGGCAGAGCTAAAGTCCTCAAGCTGCTCCTAGACCTGGTTGCCGGCCTGGACAAGAAGAGCTTCCCAAAATCATGCACGTGGTGACAGCAGCCAAGAACCTGAAGGAGTACCACATACTGACTCAAAGAGTCGTCATGGAGCCTCAACTGGAACGCTTCGTTTCACCCCGCGCCTATTTGGACCGACTGATTCGTGGTGCCAAGAGTCTACAAGAAGAGGCAAGGTTGGCAAAGCTGGGAAGATGGGTACAAGAAAGGTCAAGTCTGGCAGGATGGCCTATACCAAGGAAAACCAATCCTACACGACGTGACCTTGCATCTGGCCTATGCGCCCGGGCCCAGCCCATGCAGAAGGCTTTGCGGTTCCTAATAGCCAACTATCCTGGTCTCAATCTCCTTACAGATGAGAGCTACCTACGGATTTTCATCCAGTATCCCAATACTGGACTCGCCAATGTGCTCCTGGACTCCGGGATCAAGTATTCGCAGAACTTGGATCATACTAACGAGTCCTACCTCTTTGACCTGGCCTCCTGTGTAACGCCATATACCAGGCCGACTCGGGTTCTCGCACAGCGCCTCATCGATCTCCGCGCCAACGTCAACTACATGACCCCCGTGTCAAAAGCCGTTGCAAACGGGAACACCAAGCTAGTCCGCACATTTGTCTACAACGGCGCAAAGATCCCACTCGCAAAGCGCCCGCTTCCAAAAGACCCCCTCGTACTAAAGCACCCAATCCGCCAAGGTGTACGGTCCGCTTCGACCCCGTTGTCGAGGCCATACGCCAGGAGAAGGTCAAACCCGGATGCGTCATGCTGGATCTTGTCCTTAAGCACGTCGTCCCCAGTACGGTCCACCCGGACAACCGCCTATTGTACCTGACGCTCGCCATGGCCAACAGCATCCGGCCGGCGCTGATCAAGCTGCTCATCGAGAGACTCGACATTGACGTCAACCAGCGAGACGTTTGGGAGACACGGTCTCCACTTGCACGTCTGCTTTACCAGTCGTATTTCTTGGGCACTAATCGTAAACACTGGAGTCCGGATGTGGCGCGGAACATCATAGACCTGCTGAAGGTTCTTGTTGAAGCCGGCGCTGATCTCACGGCCGAGGTCGAGCCGAAGGTCACGGCTTTGGATCGGCTGGAGGCTGTCTGCGATTTAGTCGGTGGGGAGTTCAAGAGGAGGATCACTTGGCTTGCTGAGGGGTGGGTGTCTACCATCAAGATCTCGGATTGTTAGTATACTGAGCCCTCGTAAATCTCCGTACACGACCAACGGTATATTCATTAAATCGGAATAAGCACACCGGAATAAGCAGTTTGATCTTTATTGACTATGCTTGACGCTTATTTGAGGGCGCTTATTCTAATATTTTTGACTATCGAACTGGTGATCTGGAATCTTGCCAACGTGCGCGTACGGAGACTTATGAGGGCTGAGTGTAGTAGGGACTTTCTTCGGCGGATAGGGACGGAGTCTGTTCGGTCGCGGTGTGATGGACCATGCCCTTGAGCTGCGCAATGGGGCTGTCGGTTTGATGAGAGGTTATTGGCAATGGAAAAGGCTCGGAAAGATTATGGCTGGACACTGGACCGAGTGAATATAAGGTCTCGGAGCCGGTTTGAGGTACATGGAGAACGTCGACAGGACTCTTGGCTCGCAGGTGGAAGGAGTTCGTGTATTTTCTTATTGCTAGAATTTGCTTCATGGTTATATGTATGTCTACCTGCTTGGATTACCCCATACTCTTTCTAAAATTGCAGCTGACCACTTTGTACATCGTGCCGGGACTCGAGGGCGAGTTTAATCTTGCCCCCTAGATAATAATCTGGTGCATGAGATTCACGGACTCGATGCCGCCCAAGGGGACTGGCTATAAGGGGGATCCATTAAGAAGGAATTGTCGATGAGCGGGGCATACATAGTTTCTTTCACTGGGTAAGTTACCTGGTCGCAAGTCGTCTTATAGACAACCCCATTATATCCCGTATTGCGACTTAATTTCGTTAGATCCGCCCTTACCTTAGCCACATCCGGCTGTGTGCTGAGATACCTAAGGTAGGCAAGTTACCGCCTCAGTCCGGCATCAATTCAAGGGGTCCAGCGGCAGCTCCTCACCTGCCGCGTGAAGCCACCGAAGATCGAGAAACATGAGCCTCGCCTGGAGGCTTTTCGGCGGAGTCGTAACTAGTATGATCGTTGGGAGGGTCCGCAATGGGACACACATAGTTAACGTCTCTTCCCTGTTTCGCACCTATGATTGTGCTCGGCAGACCGTATGTAGACTTGACAACTTCTTTGAACGGCACATGCAGAGCATCATGGGTACCAAGCACACCCATCCCTGGCTCACTGGCATGCACCGAGATCCGTATCAGAGTCATTCTACGCGATGGCCTTTCAAATAAGTTACAATGCCTCTTCGAGTCGCTCAGCACCGCCGTGCGCACCCGATGGTGGCCAGCAAAAGCACCGGGACTCGTGACCCGGCATCCCGGACCACTCTTCTGTCGAACAAGGGATAAGCACTAATGTATGCGCGACTGCAGCACTTCTAGGGTGGTCATGGTCCCGAGAATAAAGAACCTTGGCGTGAGCCGACCCCGTTTTGGTGCCGCGGCTCGCCGTAACTGTTTGTGCAAGAGACAACTATGGGATGAATGCGGGGGCTGCGCAGGCGAATGGAGGGAAGGAGCGGGAGGTTGCGAACGGTGAGACTCTATTCAACTTCACTATTCAACACTCATGTAATGTACTCTGAATCACTTCCGTGGGGTGTTCGTGGGAAGGCAGAAATCTCGACAAGTGGTGGCGCATACTTGGCATCCTGGAGCTGACACTGTGCATTACCTCGAAGGCCAAGATGGACGAAGCAGTCTACGATACCGAAGCGAGGGTATCTTCTCTTTATGGTTTCTCTACGGCCGATGCACCGGTTGGACCTTACATCATGGAGTACTTCATGTGTGTTCTTGCACTTCGATGGGAGTGGTGTGGATAGTGCTATTTCTCAGTAATGCTGAATCAACTGCATACACTCGGCTCTCAGCACAAGGTATTGATGAACTTATACCTCCTTCGCAAATGCAAACCTGACAAGCTCTCCGAAATTCGGAGTGCCCCAACCAGTCACAGCGTCCCATCCAACCTGAGCCGGGAAACCAGTTGTGTTGCAACCGTAGCTCGACCCAATCGTGATATCCGTCAACGCCTTGTACGCACCGCCATAAATCCAAGGGTTCAAGAAACCAAGCGCCGGCTTGCCAGCCGCAATCAGCGCATCGTTAACAAGCGCAATAACCGCAGCGAACGTTGGGCTGGAAGCGGAAGTGCCGCCGACCGTCCTCAAGATGCCAGCCCAAACAATGGCGTCGTTGTTACCCTGCGCGGCGACATCAGGGTAAGCGCGGCCAGACTTGTTGTAGACGCCATCGTAGGTGCCATTGAGGCTCGCGATGTAGGCGTTGACAGTGGATTGCTGGTAAGCGGGAGCGCCAAAGTAGTTGCTGAACCCTCCGCCCGAGGCAAATCTGGTGACAGCCGTTTCGGGGTTGAAGTTGGCGGTACCACCAACTGAAGTGACCCACGGGCACGAAGTGGGAAAGTTGGGCGTGAATCCATAGCTGTCAGTCTTGTTCAAATAACAAGTACCGTCCGTACCAACGCCTGCGTCCCCAGAGCTAACGAGCATGGAGACACCACGAGCACCCAGTTGAGCGAACATAGCACAAGCCCTTTTGGCGTAAGAGTATGGCACACTCTGCTCGTCATCTCCATAGGAAGAACTAATGACCTGCGGGAGACTTGGCTGGGCAACGACGTAGTTGAGCCATGTCAAGTACGGTTCGCTCGAATCCGTTGGCGTGCTGACGCTGGGCAGGAACGGTGGCATGCCGCCCGTTAGGTAGCTCGTCATGGGCGTGGGCCAGCTGATGCCCAGAACGAGTTCGGCGTCTAGGTTGCCTTCGATGTCGCGATCTTCTTCCATGAGAAGCGTGTCGTTGGGTCCCTGGTAGTTCTCGGCGTCGGCAATGTTGACGAATGGGAATTCGTAGGCTGCTGCGGCGGCTTCGGGACGGAAGGTCTCGAGGAAGGTTTTGATATCAGAGCGCTTGTTGGTCTCGTTCAGGTAGTTGCAGATGGCGATGTTGTTTGTGCCTTTCGGAGCCTTGACGGTGTAGTTGAGGGTGCCGTATAGTGTACGCAGACATGTGAGTGTGGTGAAGCTCACGTTACAAGCTGCAGCTACGGCTTCAGCGTGCGCGGACTGGTGGATTCGGTCAGTCATCATTCATCAGATGCAGGATACGGGCCACAGGCCACGCGAGGACATGGTGCGTACATTGTTGATGCCAGCTGGGTTCACTGGGTGCAGATGCTTGCCAGTGTGCTCCCACCAAGACATTGGCCAATGTTCTCCCCCGTCCGTCACAGGACCCCCCGACTTAACCTCTGGCTTGGCCCGGAAGAAGGAAGTAGTAGGCTGCACGACATCGATGTGCTCGTGCAGGTGCGCCGGGAGAGACCACTCCGGAGCCCGGTTAAGCGTCGATCCATCCTTGTGCACGAAAGTGGAATACTTGGTATGTAGGAGCTCTTCCGCCTTCTCGATTGGCACAACGACCGAGATCCAGTCCTTGGCGGGCGAGAGGCCGTGGTTAGAAATGCCATGCTCGTGAAGCCAGCTGCGGACGGCGTCGACTGTCTCGTCCGAAGGCGTGACCAGGTCATGTACCTCGCTCGCGGAGAGGTGGTTGCCGTATCGCTGGTGGTTTGGGTCAGAGATCTCGACGAGGTGCTGCTCAACCACGCCTTCGTTCTGCTGCTTGAGGCCGATCTGGAGATTCAAGAGCTGCGACTTGTCCGCTGCTCCAGACTCGGTCCATGCTTGAGGCACGACATGGCGTTCTTTCACCGCATAAGATGCGAATGATGCTGATGGCAAGGCACTGGCACCAAGGATGGCGCCAACGGCACTCAGTGAAGCTGATAGCTTGAAGAACGACATGGTGTGATCTCGGATGCCAAGAAGTAATGTTCAGATGATGGCCGTGAGAGGTCGTCCGGGTTTTGTGTCTGGTCGCTCGACCAGACACTAGCAAGGAAGTGATGACGTCGCATTCCATTGTTGTGTTGTGCCCCCTCGCATACAGGACCTGTGCAGAGTCATAAGACCGAACCATGGTGAGCGTATCGGAAGGCGGCCGGGCCACGACCGGATGAAGAAGGTGATCACGGTGAGGGGAAGGTGAAGGTGTCTCCTGGGCTTATCGCATCTCGGCCGCTCCCTACCGTCGTACCTGCGCTAGACACGCATACCTAGTATTACCTACCCCCCCTACGCACAGTGGTTACCCCTGATGATAGGAGATGAGATTCGTATCCCGATTAGATATGCGTTATTTAAGTAGGTAGGTGGTCCGTGCTAGGGCCTGGCAAAAGTGGTAGTCAACTTCTCTGGCATCTTCTCGCCATCAAGAGCGACACTGATGCTACCCCCACGTTAAATACAAAACAAAAACAAACAAGAGCGACACTGAGAAATGCATCTATGCGCAGATTTACGACCAGCCTATAACGGTTACGTCTGTGGCTGGGCATAAGCGAGCGAGAACGTGACTTTGTGGCACATACTTATGCAGGTGTCAGGCTAGCCCGGGACGCGGGACGCAGGTGATAGGGTCGCTTCTACCAGAGAGGTGGTGCTGCTTGTCTATGTTGCCATTAAGGCTTTCTCACCGGTTAAATCCGGAACGCCAGTCTTACTGCAGCGATGGCGCGGGATGCTATGGAGGATGGTATGTAGAAGGGATGTCCTGCTTTCTGTCTGTTGTCCAGTCGGGGCTGGCTTGGGACTTGCAGAGGACGGCTTTGATAATGGATGGTTCGTTGATAAGAAGGAGATGTTTGTCCACGGCGAGACCGCTTCAAATTGATCAATACGCTGTCATATAGGGATTTGACTTGCTCGATTTATTCGGCAGGTAAAGCCTAAGGTATGGTATTTCTTCCTTCGATCGTTGCTAGTCGTAGCATACTCCATACCGCGACAGAATTCCCCAAAAAAAATTTGAAGGTGATAGCGTCTGCCGGTCTTGATCCGGCGACCTTCAGGTTTCATGGTTATGAGCCTGACGAGCTTCCGACTGCTCCAAGACGCTCTTTGTTGGTTGACAAATTTTGCTGCTATTAAGTTACAGGAGACTTTCGGTGTCTGTCGCTCAACAGTTGGCGGGTCAATAAGTCTCGGCGAGTCACTGTTGCTGGGTGAACTACCAACCATACAATCGATAGTAAGGACACTGAGCATCTCGAGAACTTAAGTAGGAGTGCTAGACCAGCTCGCGGTGAAGAACTTCAAGTCATTGATTCTGATTGGAAATAACCACAACCCTTCCTTATAGGTCACACCACGCTGATATAATAGACAGCAACCCTATTCGCCGTAACGTGAGGGTAGCGGGTTGCAATACCCAAAGACATTCTCAGGGTCCCATTCCTTCTTCAATGTTACGAGACGAGGCAGCTTCTCACGACCAAACTTCTGCTCAGCTGTCTCGTCTCCGTGGGCATAGCTGACGTACACTGACAGATCCGTATACCCGGACGTAGCAACGAGATCGGCACGCAGTTTTTTCGCGAAGGCGTTGGCTGTCTCGCCGAACGGGTTGTCTAGGCCTGTCCATCGCATCTGGATCATGCTGCAGGTTCGACCATGGTCAACGCGCTTCAATGTTTCGCAGTATCGCTTGGCAGGATGTAGTAGAGTTGGGGAAATATCATTAACGTGGATGAATACTTACAAGTTCCCCCTGGCGTCCCTCCATGGGTATGCCGTGGAGTCATCCGGCACAGCCAATGGAGCATCGTTCGCGAATGTTTCCAGAATCAAGGCAGACGTACGACTATCTGGATACCTCTTCAAGAACGAGTCGAATTTGTTGAAGACCGACAGGTAAGTCTTGGGCGCGAACTGGCGGACGTTTACTGTATGGATGCTCGCAAGACCGTTGGTGGTACCGCAAGAGGCGTCAGTCACGCCCATGAGTACGACATCCGGGACCTTGGTGAAAGGGATCGTCTTGGCAGCGACAAAATGGCCGTATGGCGCAATGGTCAAATGCGCCTGGTTGTGTTCTCGTTTGTGCAGTGGGCGACGAGAACAAGTGGGTTCGAATCCTGCTATGGCCCCCTTCTGACCCGGCTTGTGCGAGTCGATAACCAGCACACGACAATGAAGAGGCCCCATTATCGCAGAGCCCGATAGCCAAGCAGCTTGTCTCCATAACACCCACTCCTGTGAGGTTTTTCCCCTTGTGGTTTCCCTCGCCAGTAGATAACAAACACTTATTTCACCCATCAATGCGACATATATCGAACGGCTACTGGAACGATGTGTACACCAGAGGACTGAGGTTCACTGGATCGCTTTGTCACTGGACAGGAGGTTTTTCTGACAGAATCGTGCTTAGGTATTGACTAAAACTATCTGGTCACTCCAGATTGGTACCGCTACAGCGAGGATAGGCTCGTGCGCGGATCTGAATGTATCTAGACTGACACCTCTATAACCTTGCGATGCAATGGTTCTGGGAGGCGTGGTTTGCCCTATGGAGGGACTGCATCCACGATAAATACAATCAATCAATCATTGGCAGCGACAATAAGGGGTTCGAGACCGAAGAATGGTGCGAGGTCCTCGCGGGCTTCTGCCTCGGAGCCCGCGTATATCAGTGTCGCTAAAATGGATGTCTTTGGCTTGGGATTATCAGCCATGGCGCGAAAGGGGTATAAGGGTATATGTCCACACCACTCACTTCGTTCGTCGTTGCATTCCAGAACATAGCGGTAGAGAAACCCAGCTGGGACGGCATGCTATCATTATACGTCTGCATCATGTCGAAGTAGTCTGATGCCTGGCCAGCGCCGTAGATCAGATCGGCATAGAAAACATTGCCTTCGTTTATTGGCTTGGTGAGACCGAACACCGCTGACGTGATGATGCCGAAGTTCGTACCAGCTCCGCGGATGGCCCAGAACAAGTCCGAGTTCGAGCTGTCAGAAACCTCGATCAGGTCCCCGCTGGCCGTGACCATTTTCGCAGAAACGAGAGAGTCGATTACCAAGCCGAGGGTACCTTGCAGATACTCTATGCCGGCGCCGATGCCGTATCCGATGCACCCAGCAGAGTTGCAAGCTCCTGATGCTACGACAATCGTCAACAGCAGACTCCGGTCGACTGGTGGTGATGACTGTGGAAAACCTACGTATCTGGTAGCCGGCCTCAAAGACTGGTGCCAGGACATAGCGGATCTTGGCGCCGCCACCAACAGTGACGGTCGCGCTCGTGTTGTCAACCGTGACAGCATTGAGACCACTCAGATCAATAGCGAGGCCGTTCTGCAACTTCTGCAACGCCGTACCGAAGTTATGACGCCCTCCTGTAGCAAGGAAGGGAATATTGGCAGCATTCGCGGCTTTGACCGAGACGCGAATTGGGCACAATCAGCAACGACTGCTCCCATAAGAGTGCTATGGGACGGCCGGTGTACTCACAATCGAGGCCACTTGCTCATCGATTGACAGGGACACAGCAACGCAATAGCTCGGCGCTCCCCAGGCGTTCCATCGCGCAGTCGCGTTCGTGAATGCGTCAGAGCCCGGGTATAGGAGATCGCAGCTGGCTTCCCGACAAGCTGCCTCGAAGGAGGATGAGCGCGCTCCGGTGGGCATGACGGGCCGGGCTTGTAGGGAGTGCACTCGAGTGGAATCGGAATCTGCTGTCTTGTCTGTGGTTGCCCCTTGTTTCGATGATAACTCTAGGAGGGTAGACGAGAAGCTGAGATAGAGCGAATCAATGGAAAGCTCATACCCAGGGGCTTGGCACTGGACATAATTACGAAGATTGTCTCTCTCGTGTCCATGTGCTGTCATTTGAAACGTGGCTCGAGGACCTTCTAGCATACAGGTGGCAGTGTCACACCGCCGGTAGTAGATGCTCACCCAGTGGCGACAACGACAACTAACTCGTGGCCGTCCTGCACCATCAACCTGGAGCTCACCAACTGCATCACTCCCAACCGAATTGTCCAATGTAAGCGTTGCGTTACATGTCGTCTACCCAGTCCGGGCGTACAGCGCAATGCATGTTGGCTTCCCATGCATAGCATCATCCCTCGCTTCACGCACACGAATCTCCCTGTCCGTGGGTGATGTCCCCAAGCACCAACGCCTACTATGGGGAACCATCACGCCTGAAATCCGTGAGACCGTCATGATAGTTGTATATAGTACCATCATGGAATGCAACCCCAGATCGCTTCTGGTGTTGGTCTCTGCGTGCGTCTCATCGATTCGTTCGTGCAAACACTGTCAACATGCCTGCAGTCGCCAACCCAAGTCAAGAGCCTGCCCACCGGGCAAGTCCGCATTTGATATTGCTGTCAGTCGAGGTTCGCATCATCATCTACGAGTACGCTGCACACAACTACAAAACCGAAGTGTCTTTCTCCTCCCCCTTCCCCGGCTACGTCTATCACCGTCAATGCGCTCCCGCGCGTCCGGCACTGCTCAGTACATGCCGACGAATTTAGGAAGAAGCTTCCCCAATCCTTCAATCCGCCGTGCATTTCAGATTTACGCAAGACTCCGGGAGAATTTTGAAGGTGCAAGCATGCGGGCCGATCGCACCCTCTGCGATCCGGCGTCTGCACCTGGATATGGGAGCCTCTTCTTGCAAGCCCGCGCTACATTTCCTGGACGGCTTGCTCTGTGAGGGCCACGACCTGCGGGTGATTCAGATACACTGGAGAAATGATTACATACCAATGGTGCGGAACGACGCATTTGGTAGCCTGCTTATGGACTTTCTGCTTCGCCTCGACGGGTTGAAGTCGTTAATGCTGTCTGGGGACTACGGCAAGGAGTTCTTCCAATGGGCTGAGACATGTCTACTGGTAACCGTGGTCGCGGCCTGACATGGGATGCAGTTTCTGCGACGGTAGCAGGGCTTGGAAGATCATGTTGTGTGGTAACATTACCAAAAAAACCCACTACTACCTGTTGGCTGGCAGCTCTTACATTCATCGTCCAATTCAAGCAAACAAAGGCTCGTTTCGTGCCAAACACCTCCAGAGTAGCGACTTATACATGTGTCATATAATTCCCGTTACCTCCACGTACATAGTTGACTTCTCCAAGCACCAACACCTCCTACACCCCAACATCAGTCCCAAACCCCGACCCCAACGACACCCATCCCTCCCAACGGCACACTCACCACCCCCTACCCAGAAACTACACTCCGCGCCACCCCCTCCCCCCTCCCATAAACTCAGCATAAATCGGCGTCCGGCTCTGCGCCGGAACCAAAGGAGCCGGGACCGCAAGCCCTTCCCTACTATCTCCAGGCTCTCCACCCACAATCTCGCGGACGGCTAAAGAGTCCGAGTCCGCCGATCCTCCACGCCGCTTGTTGGTGAAGTAGAACATGAGCACCGAGTACAGGACCAGCAGCGCGACCGGGGCTATTATGCACGCGAGTGCGATTTCGGTCGTGGTGTTCGTGAAGGTGCCTCCGCTGAATATCGTGGACATGGGTTCTTGTGTCGAATTGGTGGTTTGACGTTGATGGGGTGAGCCGCACAGGCAGGAACTCAAAAGGCTGAGGGTGGTCGAGTTTCCGATGGGGGGTTTGTCTCGATGTCATGCCGTCGTGGTTATAGACCGTGTGGGCGCTCTGTGGCAGTACCCTGGGGAAAGGGTCTGTGATGGGCAAGTCGGTAGGTAGGTGGCGGGCTTGGTGGAATGGGTTTGAATAGATAGGTGGGTGGGTAGCTTGGTGGTGCGAAGAGCACGGTAACTGACGGTTACACATGAAAGTGAGAGATCGTGAGGTAGAGAACATCATACATATAGACTAGCTCATGGCATCATTCACTTCAGGGAGGCGAGCGGAGATGATCTTGTTGACAGCGGTATTCACCTGCGGCTCGACGACAGAAGTTTCGGCGGGGACACGGGTCGAGGGGAATGAATCCGATATCTGAACTCATCTAGGAGATTGGCGGTGAATCGCTCATACGTGACCTACACTGGCTGGTTCGTCTGAGATCCATTCACCACAAGCGTTCGAAGCTCAGAAAGCTTGATGTTTTGAACACCTCCTCGAATAACATATTATCATTAACCATGCTTCAGTGTAACCAAGCGAACTTGTTTACACGCATCCTCGTGGCCGTGTACTACAAGCTCAGCCCAGCCGTCGCAAACTCCAGAGGATATCTCACCCCTGCCCCAGAGCTCCGCTTGGGAGAGAAGGTCCCGTTAAATCCGACATAGTCGCCCAAGCTCGGAGGCAGGTCCTTCACCGCGGTGCCCCAGATGCTCTCGTTCCGCCCCAGCGTGAGGACCAGCTCTTTTCCCTCGGTGAAGAAGCTGTGGTCGATCCAGTTCTTGGTGTACGGCTCCCCGTCCAGAGTCGCGCTCTGGATGTAGATCGCCTGGTACGTGGGGTCGTAGTTGACGTTCCGGACCGTCGCCGTCTTGCCCGTGACGGGGCTCGTGATGTTGACACTCTCGAAGTACGGGGGTGTGATGAGGTACACGTCCTGTCCGGGGTTGGGGAAGAGGCCCATCATTGAGAATGCCACGAAGGACCCCATCGCGCCGCTGTCGTCGTTGCCGGGGAGCCCGTCTGGCGTTGGCGAGAAGTATCGGGGGATGTAGAAATGGCTGCGCAGAGCCGACAATGCGGGTCGTCCAGCGTAGTGGTATTGGAATACTGTTAGGAATGCTGGCTCGTTCCCGATGTAAGTGATGTTCGTATCGTGCAAGTAGTCGAGGCGGCGAGTGAACTGGGCCGGACCGCCGTAAAGGCTGATGAGGTCTCCCTGGTTGTGGGGAACGAAGAAGCCGTACTCCCAGATGCTGCTCTCGAAGGTCTCATGCGCTGTATTTTGGAGCGAGCATGACGTACCAGAGTTGTCGATGTTGCTGCACCAAAGGGGGTCCTGGAAATCCCAGGTCTGGTTCACGAACCGCGGCTGGAAAAAGCCGACGTACCCAGTGTCAACCCCGGTGTCAAGGCTGGATGTCTGATCTGGCTTATACAGATTCTTCCAGTTTTCGCTGGTTTCAAGGTATTTCTCCATATCAGCTGTCTTGTTCAACTGATTGGCCATCTGAGAAATGGTGAAGTCATTGTAACTGTACTCGAGAGTCCGGGAAATACTACGAGTCATTGTACCAAATCCCTTGTAGTCAAAATCTTGCACAGGGATGTATCCGAGGGCTTTCCAGCTGTCGAGGCCCCCACGGCCTTCGCTTGACCAGTCGAAGGGCTCAACTTCCGCATCTTTCACGACTGCTTGATATCCGGTGTCCCACTACCAGGAAGTCAGTGTCCTGACCGTAGGAGTATGACCCCAGTGGAAAGATACTCACATCGATACCATCCACTAGACCTTTTTGGAACCCATCAGAAAGGATCACATCAGCATTTGAGCCGCCCTAATATCGTCAGTGCTGAATGATCTCGAAAGCCTCCGAGACCTTACTTGAGTGTAGCCCTTGGAGAAGGTCATACGGCAATCTGGCAGCCAGCCCTCGTGTCTATACGTCTCAATCATTGACCGAATCATCTGCGACACAGAATCTGGATCAAGGATAGTCAAGAATGGGATTTGCGAGCGGAAGCTGTCCCACAGACTGCACAGCTGTTAGTATGTAACTCCAACACCAATGTCATGTTAACGTACCAGTAGAACGAGTCGAAGTACGGCTCCCCGGTGTTCCAGAGGGGGTTCTCGCCAGTGTAGTTCTGCGGGTTGACCATAGTCCGGTAGATGCCGCTGTAAAAGTTGGTCACCAGCGTCGGGTCAACACCTGCACCAGTGTTTATGACAATCGGGCTGATCTTCTCTTTCCAGGCATCGGAAGCAGCTTGCTCGACTTCGTTAAAGTTGTAGTCAGGGATCTCAGCCTCGGCATTGGAGCACGCTTGATCGGAGCTGATGAAGCTGATACCAACACGCGCGAGCACAGGCGTGTCGGCAGACTCGAACCTGACGAACGCGCCTCCTGGTAGTGGGTAACCGTTGATTGACCTGGAAATGGTCAAGCTCTTAACATCGGCACTAGCCCTACTGTTAGAGAAAATGCCGTTGTCGAGGATCGCAGGACCTGAGAAGTCGGTACAGAAGTAGGGGACGTATTGTCCCTGGCTGAAGCTCGAAACGAATCGAGCACTTCCGGTGATTCTGCCAGTTTCGGCATCGACAGAGACCGTTCCGTTATCCTGGCGGGAATCGGACAAGTCGGACAGATCTTGCAGCAGAAGAGGATGAGAAACGTTCCCATCGGACGCTTTTGGAAACGTAAAGCGAAAAAGTGCAGTGTGTTGCGATGCGGTCATCTCAGCCTCGATGCCTGAGTCCAGAGTGATGCCGAAGAAGCCCGGACGAGCCGTGACGCTATTGTTATCGAATGATCCATAATTGACGCGAGTTTTCTTGGGGAAATCGCATCGGTCGATATCGTCACCGGGGCAGCTGGCATAGGGGAATAGTGGGAAGTTCCCCAGAGATGGAGATCCGCCAGTACCGGAGTCGTGCAATACCGAAAAGCCGGACACTGGGCTGCCATCAAGTGTGAAGCCACCTTGGTTGCTCGATGAGTTGGTGTCGGCAACGGCCTTGGCCATCCCGTAAGGTAGCGTCGCCCCGGGGAAGACGTTGCCGCCATTTGAGCTTCCGATCAGCTGGTCGACGTATTGGAGGGGGTCGAACGCCGCATCGTCCCCGAAGACCGTCGCCGCGGTGAAGAGAACGATAGAGACGAGACGAGAGCTGAGTGAACACATCGCGACCAGCCTCCTTGCAACCGCGAGCTGGGGAAGTGATGACCAGACGAACAAGTAATACTTATAAGACCTATATCATGCCTGCTGATGAATAGCACACCTCGGGTCCCGATAAGAGATGCTTGATGGATGAAGCAAGATATGTAGACAGACACAGTGGCAGTAGAGGAAGTCTGTTCGGATCCAGGGCCTGCCGGTCATGATATTCTGCGGTCAAGTCGTACCGACTATCGACCCCTCGGAGAAGGAGAGACAGGTCTCAGTCTGAGCCGAGTGACCTCCTCCGCGTGTTCGCGGCCGTGGACGAACCTTCCATTCTTGGCGAACGCGGGGTGATGTCTTATTCCACCACATCATGCTGCATATGCAAGTTGGCGCGATAAGTCATTACAGCAGGGAGCAGATGCAGAGAAGGCCATGCCACCGTTACATTCGGCAAAATTCTTATATTGCTCCATGCATCCAAGTTCTCGTCACCTGAGATGGGACGACGGGCATCGGATCTGTAGCTGGACATGTTATCCTTCCCGACGAGGTATAAGCAGGACGAGACATCTGATTTACTCTGTCGTGTGCACATTGCTCGTGGAGAGGGTATCGTATTCTGTCGATCTTGGTAGCACAGACGAGCAACCTCCAGATCTGACCCCGCGATAGAGGCGTGCTCTGCCCAGCTATAAAGCAGCTAACCTTAGTGTTGATAAACCCTCGGCCGCTTTTGGGCAGCGAGGGGGTATGATCAGCGGTCGCACTGCATCGACGAGATTCGAGATAGCGAAAAGGATTGAACCCTTGGAAGGGTTCTGATTCGCCCGTCGATGGACATGTGCTTGTACCTGCGTATGTCTTCAGTGTGACCAGCAAAGTCGTTGAAGTCGGTCGGCGATACTGGCAGGTCCCATGGCATGGTTCGTTCGTCAAGCATGTTCCTACGACCGGTGGTGCAAGCAGCATGAGCCCCTACCGGTACCTTACCGTGTGCCTTGTAACATGCGGGCTGGTCCGTCAAATAAGCTTGTTCTGTGTCTGTGTAATTGAAACTGCAGTGTCCTAAGACAGGGGACAGGTTCCAGACCTCCGTCTGATGCTGGATCACTTGTTGGTTCGCGAATTTGAAGGACAACTGAACGGGTGCGACATGTTGTGCCCTGAGTATGTATGCCCAAAGCTTAGACTCGTAGCACCTCCGGCGAGACAACCACCTGCGCCCACCTGCGCCCAGCTGGCGGCGGTGGTAACCGCTAGCCCACCTAAACTTAGCGGCGGTGACCCTGTAATGCACCGCAACGGGCACTGTAAGTTCAAGGTTGTTACGTTACTCGACGGGAGCTCAAAGGTGACAATGAAAATGAACCCAAATTGGTTGCATAGCTTCAGACTTATTTCGTGTTCAAGCAGCAGCGCTTCGTTGGAAAAAGTGAGCTGTATACCCAATGTCCTATTGGCTAGAACCCCCCCCAGACAGAGGGTTGTAGCAAGCATGTCGTTTAGTCTTCATTTGAACGACTGTGACACAGTCTGTCCCCGTCTGACCCTTGATGCACCAATTGATGAACCACTAGACCTAACAACGCTTGCACGAACGCGACCCTTAGAAATAGGTAGCTAATGGCAGACCGAAATCTTTCTGCTGGTCTCATGGCGATTGCCGGCAGAAGCACGAGGATTTGATGGGGATATCTGCCCCCGCAACCGCCAGGTCAAGCTGCGGCTTTACAGCTTCTGCTTCTTCGACGCGACCCAGCTTCAACAGACACTCGTGGTAACCATGTAAAGACCACACATTGTTGCGATGCTGCAGCGCTCTCGGAAGCTTGTCACTCATTCCCAGGTCTTCGGCATAGATGTCAACCGCCTCATCATAGCGACCCTGCTCCGTGAGCAGAGCACCGAGAGCATGGGCAGGCGGCTGCATCCAGCCCCAGGGCTCATCATAGGGAAGAGCCCGGCTCAGCTCGCTAGCCCTCCGCAAGCGCGCAAAGGCGGGCTCGTAGTTTCCGCGGCGGTACTCCAGCTCACCGTCAAGCATCGCCTCGGCCACTTGCAGGATATCGAGGCACTTGTTGTTAAACAGCGTGCGAGAAGACGGAACGGCTTTGACGGTATCGGCAAACAGCTCGCGCTGCTCTGCGGCCTCGTGGATTCTGCCGGTTGCCGCGAAAGCAACGCCCTTGGCGTAGTGAGCCATCGCCGTCGTCACGCAGTAAAGCTTGCGATCGTCATGGAAGGGTAGGTCGATGATGTCCTGCCAGCGACCGAATCTGATCATGGCGTGCACGCGCATCGCCAGAAAACCTTCCAGCCAGTCAGCCATGGGCGGGGACTCGACACGCAGTAACTGCTCCGGCAACGCTTTTTCGAGTCGGGACACTGTGTCGAGGGTCGCTCGAGACTGCGCGGCGAACATGGCTGCATAGATGCGAAAGTGATAGTCATGAGCTCGGTAGAGCGTGTAGAACTTGAGCGGCTCCTCACGTGAGAAGAAGATGTCGTCGGCGACGATGGCCTTTTGGTTTGACTCAATCGCGTTCTGGTAGTCGCCGACTAGGACGTCGATGTGTGTCGGCATGTGGTTGAGATGACCTGCGTGTGGTACCAGATCACGCAGAGTGTTGGCGGCATCGATAGCCGCTTCAGGAGTTGGCGACATCTCCATGAGATGAATGTAAAGGTGTAATAGCCCTGGGTGATCAGATCCCCCAACTTGGGCCATCGACCGTTCCAGTATTGCCTGTGCCTCAAGTGTATGAGCACCAGATGCTGGCTGCCCAGTCTGTAAATCCCAAAGCTGCCACGGGGTACGGTTCATCAAGGCGTCCACGTACAGCGCCGCGACGTCCAGATCATCGGAGAAGTCCTTGTACACCCATCCCATGGCCTCGGCATAGCTTTGGTTCCATATCGAACAATCCTTATCCGCATGCTCGTGCGGGTACCGGTATCTCAAAGCCTCGACGAGAGCTTTCTCGACTGGCGATGCATCGGCCGCGCAAGACCGTGCCTGCTCAACCGCATGATGCGTGCGCTGGACTGTGGCCTCAAGCTCAGCCGCGTCAAAGAAGTCCCATGGTTTATTGTAGTTGGGTCCGAGAGCATACGCCAGGCCCCAGTAGGCCATGCAGCAATTACTGTCATTATCGATTGCTCGTTGGAAGCATTTCGCAGCCTCCTCGTGGTTGAATCCGTAACTCCAGATGAGGCCACGGTTGAACCATTCCAGGGAAGTCTCGGTACTCGCGCTCACCCTCCTGCGGTATGAACCGAGATCATAATAGTCTTTGGCTGATGAAGCCATCTTTGTTGACATCTGTGCAATCGACTGCGTGTTGTATCAGTCGTTGAGTTGGTATGTACCCCAAACTCGGTGGCGATGAGAGTTGCCATCTAGCTGGAAGATCGGGTATATGGAGGTTATCGACGAAACGAATTCGCATCAGTCATGTGCTTGCCGTGCATTCTTATATCCAAATTGATGACTAATCCCCACCCCGAACAGTGGAGGTCTCACGCTGTTCGTCCGTCATCGCCGTCTTCTAGCAAATCAATTGCTAGGTAATTTGCTCCTGTCTTCAACGGAATGATGCGCACTCACTTCATGCTCTCTTTCGATATCTTTGAATCGAGCTCAATATGGAGCCATCTCCTTTGTCGGTAATACGAACCTGCATCACCATGCTTGTCGAAGCTGCTAAGAATCCGATAGTGTGACGCCTGCCGCACGAAAAAGTTGAAAGTATGATCTCGCAATATTTTAGACCTACCAGGAATCGGTTCTTACGCATCACAGTGCTCAAGGGACCGCCCAGCGTGCTCGGCCTGCTTTCAGGCACGGCGAATGTGTCGATACAGCGGGAGAGTGGTGCGATCGCCGCTCACTAGGGCGTAAGGTGTCTTTGAGTAACTGCGTAGTGGCACGGCTTCTCACACGTCATCAGATACCTCACGAGCGTAGAGAAACGGATGCAGAGCTTGGAGACCCTGATAGCTCAAAGGCTTCCAGATCTGGATATCGAGGAGGCGTTGAAATTGCCCGACTTGCATCGTTCAGGGGAACCATCGCAAGCTGCACGCTCCCCATCGCTTTCTCGGTCCACAATCTCCACCCCAGGGACTGACGAAGTCCTATTAAGTCCTGGGAATACCATCTCTGAGGCTGTACCAGACGAAGCTGATGGCTTCGATTGGCAAGAGGATGCGAATGAACTGGCTGATGGGATGGCCGCTCTGTCAGTCGAGCCAAACGGAACCGGCTATCTGGGTCAGGCGACACCAAGACGCCAGAGAGATTGACGCTGACTTGATGTTAGGTTCGACTGCCGGAGTATTCTTCTTGCGTTCGCTCTTGTTCTGGCTTGGGAACCCCGGCGCCACAGTTGTTGACCGTGACGTCTCGGGAGTAAGTCACCCAAGAGACTTCGACCAGGCAAGCTCGTCATCCAGACTGTCGCAATCTCTGGCCTCGCATCAAGTCCAGGCTAAGTTGCTGGATACGTACTTCTCAGTTTATCACGTCACATATCCCTTCATCCATGAAGCTACCTTCCGTGCTCAATTTCACGAGATAATTCCCCGCCCGCAGCAGCGATCTTGGCAAATGCTACTAAATACAGTACTGGCCCTGGGCGCATGGTGCCTGAACAGCGAAACAACGTATCTCGACGATGACCTCTACCACCAAGCGCGGGCATTCGGAGAAGACGAGTCAATGTTCGAAAGCGCCAACATCACATGTGTCCAGGCTCTTGTGTTACTCAGTAACCTAGGCCAAAAGCGCAATAAACCTAACACCGGCTCAAACCTCCTAGGACTCGCTGTTCGCATGGCTCTAAGCCTCGGACTTCATCGCGAGTTTCCCAGCTGGGGTATCAGCCTGTTCCAGCGAGAGATGCGCCGGAGAGTATGGTGGGGTCTGTACCTGTTCGATAGTGGTGCAGCAACAACCTTCGGAAGGCCAATTCTCCTGCCAGGGCGTGAAGCTATGGACGTCCATCATGTGCTCAATGTTGACGATGAGGTCAGTACATTGTTTCCATGAGCAAAGTGAGTTTGATACTTAATATGCCCCAGTTTCTAACCCCAAGAACCGATGTTCTCCCCGGCGAGTCGTCTGTGCCAACGATCTACTCCAGCATGAAGACTCAGTGCGACTTCCATGTCCATTCGAACCACATCTCAAATCGTTTACTGTCCGCAGCAGGAGTTTCGATGGACGAAGCGTTGTCCATGAACAAGGCGCTAGACTCATGGGCAGAAACGGTACCGCCATATTTCCAGCTTCCAGAGGAGGTGGCTTCAGAGGATCACTGGTATCTCTTCGCCCGGTCGCGCCTGTGGTGGCGTTTCTGGAATCTGAAAATCATTATCTTTCGTCAAATTCTCCTAGGGCGGGCGATTGACCAAGGAAGGGGAGTCCCATCAACGACAGCAGATACTTTAGATCGCAAAGGTCGACAAGCTGGGGTCAATGCCGCTCAATCCACCATTGAATCGATCAATCTCTATCTAGAGAATGGTGTCGGAAACAGACTTGTTAGCTGGTACTCAGTGTAAGTCAGCCCAACCCCCTTCCGTTCACACCATCTGTACTCAACCCTAGTAGGTACTTCTTGTTCCATGCGTCTCTAGTCGTAGCTCTCGCCATCCGTGGGGACACTGAATCACCAGAGCTGTCTAAGTGGCATGAAGACATCGGAATGGTACGGAATATCCTGCGAAATGTCCTCGCAGAAAATACTCTTGCGGCACGATGTGCAGATATACTCGACCATATCCTGCCACACCATCCCCAGGATTTTACATTCTCGGACATTGGCCAAATCGACTTTGACACTATGGACTTCTCCTTATGGCCAGTGGATCAGACGGATATCCTCAGCTCCCTTGGTTGGCCGGACGCTGGCCACGGTATATGATGCCTCTCGCCTCCCAGGGGGCGCATCTCCGACAACACTCATGCCAGTCTGGTATCTTACACCGAACCTTACGAGCTTAATCCTGTACGGAATCTTGGAGACGTGCCGTGTCGAATGCGAAAGTGGCCAATGGTTTGCGAAAGCCAGATCCGCATCGGCGAAAGAACATAAACCCAACTTGAAGTAGGAGAAGACGTCTATAACGACCTTCAGTATATCATGCATGGGAAATGATCAACACGGACTTGCCATAGACACTAGGACGACATCCTCGTTCCCTTAAACAGACAGCAACGCCGCGGATGTGCCGATTTGTCTGAGCCTGGCACCAGCTAACGCAATGACGCTGGGCCTACTCTAGGGGCAATGGATCGAAGTGACCCCTGGACAGTCCCTTGCCCCGTTGCGAATCATTTAATCATTGCCATCCTGGTCAGCAGTGAGCATCTGTGCTAAACATCTGTTCTGTAACACTGCTTGTCACTGGGGGCGTTAAGATCGACAGAGCCGCCGAGAACTTTCGCAAGCAACGATGCTGGGCTAGGGCGTATCCCTGGGCAAGTGGCAAGCAAACATATTCGCCGGAGAAGACATTTCAGCCGTAAACACGGCCCGGCACCGCACGAGTCATAGAGCGGTCGATCAGCGAACGGAGGGAAGGCAATTCGGGGGTTTGGCCGACCAAGTGGAAAACCCTCAATTGCAAACTCCGCGATGATCACATGTGTCAGTTGGTATAGTTCGCTAAAAATACGCCGCTTGGATCTGGAAGCCCATGCAGCGTTGCAGTTCAGGGGTTCTTAAGCCTAGCGACGGCGTGCGAGAGTACCTGATCCGCCAGTCTGCAATAACTATACAACCAATAGAACAGTACTAGCCATCGTCCCTTGCCTCGGCCTCAGACGAACCAGATAGGCACCTCCTTTGTCGAGCTCGAGATCGTCGCAGCAAACAGGAGGTCCGAGTATTGATGCGTAGATGAAGAAGGTTTGAAAGTAACATGTATAACTCTCACATATACTCGTTCACTGAGAATTTCATGTGGTATCACCAGATTGAACACTTCTTGCTTTGCGGTCCTCATCGTCGATCATGAACGTCACCTCCATTCCTCTTGCTCTGGCTCTTTCCATGAGACCGGTGAAGGGACTACACTGGAACTTACAAACCTATCATGTGTCGCTCATGATTGCGACTCTCATCGCTGTTTGTCTCACCACGAGAAGGCTTTGGACAGGCCCGGCAGCAGACGAACCGACCAAGCGGATCCCTCCCGGTCCTCAAGGTCTTCCCATCATCGGTATGTTGGGACTCAGTGCCAGTCCCTACATGTGCCATGCTAATGCGAATAACTGGCAGGTTCTTTTGCCTTCTTGACGCACTTCCCCGAGCGCACCCTCGATAGATGGGCCAAAAAATACGGGGACCTCTACTCTGTCTGGCTCGGCAACCAGCTGTTCCTCATCATCTCGAGTCCAAGCGTCGCCAGGGACATCATGGTCACGAACGGTGCTGTCACATCGTCCCGCAAAGAGATGTTCATCAAGAGTCAGACTGTGTTCGCTGGCCGTGGCATCACTGCAACACCGTATGACGATCGATGGTGAGCTGAGCCCCTACATTCGCACGCAGCTTTGGCTATATTGCAGTACTCACAAATCTCCAGGAGGAAGCATCGCCGCATCGCTGCTCAGTGGCTGAGCCAGAAGGCGGTTGACAGCTATACCAGCGTGCTCGATTTCGAGGCAACAGACGTGGTCAGGAGTCTACTCGACGCCAGCAACGGCGGGCGGCGTCTCGTCAACCCGCAGCCACATGCCGGTCGTTGCTCATTGAACAACATGCTGTCGATTATGTTCGCCAGACGGACTGATTGCATCGGACATCCCCTTGTGGCCGAGGCTCTCCGGTTGAGCTGCGAGTTCATGTATGCTGCCTTTGCTAACTGCTTTACAGCTCTTCTCGAGAAGCACTTAACGCAGGTCCGTCAATGACTGACAGCAACCGTATGGGAACTGCTCCGGCCCAATGACCAACCTGATTGACTTCATCCCTTTGCTCCAACGACTACCGATGCCCATACGCTCTCGCGGTCGCCGGCTGCACAGGGACCTTGTTAACTCATACGGAGTCATGATCAAGGATATCGAACGCCGCATGCAGCGAGGCGAGAACGTAGCAGACTGCTTATCACGGACTATGCTCTCGGTCCGAGGAGAAGAGGGGCTCGATGATCTGGATATGACGATGGGTGCTTCGGCATTCATGATTGGCGGTGTCGAGACCGTAGGTCGATGTTGTCTTGCGCGAAGATTGGAGTCAAAGAGCTGACACCATGAACAGACCGCCTCGATGATCCAATGGTTCTCCGCCCTTATCCCTTCGCACCCGGACGTGCAGAAGCGAGCACAAGAAGAGCTGGACCGAGTGATCGGGCGGGACCGCCTTCCCACAGTCGAAGACGAAATCCACTTACCATACTGCCACGCCATTGTCAAGGAGATTGAGCGATGCCACAATCCATTCTGGCTCGGCACACCGCATGTGGCCTCCGAAGGTTTCACGTATAGGGGATACGACATCCCCAAGGACACCGTCCTGGTGCTGAATACATGGACGATGCATCACAATCAAGAGCGCTATTCGGACCCCATGAACTTCAACGTACGCATTCTCACTCCCCATGCTCATTAGCACACATACTGACATCAATATGCAGCCCGATCGCTACCTCAAGGACCAGCTCAGCTCAGCGCAAAGCTCCAACCTCGCCGACCCCAACCAGCGAGACCACTGGATGTTCGGGGCCGGACGACGCATCTGCCCCGGGATGATCGTCGCCGAGCGCGAGATCTGGCTGGCGATCTCGCGCATGCTGTGGGCTTTCGATTTGGAGGCTGCTGAGGGCCACCCCATCGATCTCAGTGAGTATGATGGTCTTTTGGGGCGGTCGCCTGTTCCGTTCCGGATTGCGCTTAGGCCGCGACATGGTAAAGTGAGGGCGGTTCTGGACCTTGCGGTTGGTGGCAATGAGTGAGTACGGATGAGGATGGGATGGGTGGGAATGTACGATTGATTTGCTGTCTGGTGCATCTAGCTTTTTCGACGTCTGGGTGGGAGGGTAGTGCATGAAATCGCACATGTATACAATGTCTCAGCAACCTACAACTACTTCGACGCTTCTAGCACTGTCGTTCGCCCGAGAGGTTCGTGAGTAATACAGTGTGCAAGATCAAAGCAACAAAGGCTGCTCGAATTCGACCAAAGCAATGACCACCAGGATTCAGAAGATGCCGATTGGCTCAGTGGGATCTATCTTCTTATTTTTGGTTCAAGACATTTGAAAAGGGACGAGAAACGTATGCAATTATATTGTTTATATCTGTCAGCGCGGTTATATTTTGGCTCGTGTTTTCCCTTAAGACAGGCCGGGAAGGTATTCCATCCTTCATGCCGAACGGGTATGTACACAAGCAAGGTTTCTGGGCTTGCGGACACATAAGCTCGCCTTGGATTAGCAACAAAGCCTTTTGTTGTCGAGCTCACGGATTTCTTCCTTTTGCTTCCGGTTTAGGCGAAAGCAGACGACTCTAACAAATGGGAACCCGGTTGCCGAGCGCTTCAATGCCCAGCAAATTGACAATGAGACAGTTATACTGTATCACAGGAGCCTCGCTTCACTCTTGTGTAATGGTTTTCGAGTCTCGATAACTATTTGCCGCAATGCCTCCAAAAAAGAAGGGCAGAAATGCCAACCTCAGCGCCGAGGCTCGATATCTCCAGGAGTATTTTGATCGGGATAACACGAAAAGGTACTCCGCCGAGGCGACTTTGGGCGAAGGTCTCGCTGGGGTAGGCGTTCGCTGTAGGGCCTCAGACGGTAGTGGTAACTTGCAATATCGATTTGTTGTGAAGTATCCCATCACCGAGTCCGTACTCCCAATTTCCTCGCTTCCTAACCTGACCAGTCGAGATCTTCTATACAACACGGCTCCAAGATCTGATGATAGAGGTTTATTTCAATTGCTGAAAGAAGTCATTACTGATTACCATTTGTATCACAGGGGAATGGAGGCCGGTCTCGTGACGGAAGCGCAATGGCTTAACGTAAGGACTTTATTCCTCCCCTGCCTTGACGAGACTGGCCAAGATAGCTGACTGAACAGACGACAGACACTCTACTTTTGCGAGCATATGGTGATGCCGATATTCCTTGATAACAACCCACTCTTGCCCCAGTTCAATGGCTATGCGACAGGCATTACAGATCCAATGGTCATTATGGAGTACATGGAGAACGGCACCTTAGCACAGCTCGTGGAGAGAAGGCCGGACTTGCCTAACCGAGTGCTCTGATCTCTCTTCCTCTGCCGTAAGTAGATTACCAGTGTGGCGGTCTGTTCCATGTAAAAAGTCTCACAATTCAGCAGTCGCACGAATGTGTTGTGCCATGGCTTGGCCACCTGCTGCGGTCGATGAGAACACAGGGGATTGGATACAGGAGGTAGCCAGGGCGGACGAACCCATGAATCTCGCACACAGAGATATGCATTTGAGAAACTGTAAGGACAATCCACCTGGGATCGATCGAATTAGGACCAGAACAAAGTGTCAATACTGATGAGTATATCCCCAATAGTGATGTTCGGAACCATCCACACCAACCATGCGGAGCACACCATGGTCCCAGTTCTCAAGTTGATCGACATCGACCAGGCGAGGCCTGTGGAGGCAGGCGCACACAACGTAGAAGATGCCAAGAAGTACGACGACGAGCTGAAGTTGGACCAATAGTGAGTTCCTCATCCAACAACCAGCCCTTCCTACGTCGCTTCCGGTGGATGGCTGACCCTTGTCAAAAGCAACTTCTTCCCAGGGGGAGACACCACGCCAAGGAACGGAGGAATGGACCTCAATATTCTCAGCATAGGTGTAGTAAGTTGTTCCACCTCCCACCGCGAAGTCTCTCAAGTTACCTCACTAACACGTCTCGAACCAGGTCATGGCTCGGTTGATTGTTCGCAAGCATTTCATGAGCATCCCAAAAGTCAGAGAAAATATTCAAAAGGCTGATCAAATCCCCGCCGACACTGACGCCGACCTCTTGACCCTGATGAAGAGGTGTCTGGCCGTCGACCCCGTCAACCGACCGCGACTGCAGAATCTCCTGTTTCTGCTGCTGAATAATGTTGCGGCGAAGAACGCTGGTACCTACAAGGGCAAGCCGAACGAGACGCGGGAATCGGGCATAGGCATCCAGATGTTTGTCCAGCAGAACATACTCGACGCGAACATCATCGTTTAAATTAGCATATATATATATATATATATATATGTAGAAACCCATGAGTGCTACTCCGGCGGACCGCATACTTTGTCGGATCCTCAAACTACGACGCTGCGGGTTTTCTTTGGGGTCGTGCTGCTCGCGGGTCGCGGGTAGGCTTGTGTCTAGGAAAACCATCAATGGTTTCTAGCTGGCGGAGGTATGGCGGGTGAAAGACGCGCGTGGGCAACTATTGCATTTGCGTGCGGGTTGATCGCACATAGTTGATTCCAAAGCGGTTGCTTTCACGTTACCATTAGCAGTGCCGTCGCTCATTACCTATCCGACACCGCCATGTGACGAGCCGTCTAACCTATGAGGCCAAAAGGTTCTATAGGGTTTATGTTCTGAGGTAAGTCAACACAAAGGACGATAGAGGCTTCTGTCACTAGAAGACACTCAGATGCTGGGGCTTGGTCTGATCCAGGGGATCACTGAATAATCGAGTCGTCAGGAGATTTCTCCCACCTTAAGGTTGGTTAAGATGCTTAGATTGATCACTGAGATAGAGACTGTCTATCTGTCTAGCTAAGAAATTTCTATCCTTATATATCCAATCTCTCCCTCACTGATGAGGTGGATATGCTGGATATGCTCCTGATCCATCATATCCATCACGTGATGCTTCTGATTCCGTGATCCGTCCCCTTCGTATGGTCCGTGCGTTCCTACGGCTTCTTCCTATTCCCGTTCTGTCCTGTTGGGCCTGTCAATGGGCCTCGTCCTTTGTCCTTCTTGTTGGTTCGTAGCACGCCACTGCCTTCGCCCAATCCCCTGTATATGAGGTCTGGTCAATCGCTCGCTGCATGCCGGCAGTACGGACCTTGCACAGGTGCTCTTGCCCAGCCTTCCAACCCTGCGCCTGACAAATTCTTGGAGCAGTAGAAGACCCATCATGCTCTGACACTGTGTAGTGAAGGAGCCACGACAGAGTTTGAAGACTGCGATAGATTTTCAGGGGTCTCGATGTGTTTCCTCTGGTTAAGCTTTCGACCGCAAGGGAAGAGCCAGAGCCAAAGGCGTAAAATAACAAGAAAAAGCAGGGTACCCGTGTCGTAGGCAAAGTCTAATACCTAGAACAAAACGGCGGCAAATCATCTTCGCCCGCAAAAACCTTAACTGGAGCCTTGGAGCGTGCAAAGCTCATAATCAGGGAATTTGGAGGGAATGGCACATCTCCTCTCGACTCGTGTTGAATGGCGCGCAAGCCACCGTGGCGTTAAGAGAGGTGGCAGTGCACCAACAAGGCCAATAGGGCATTTTTAGGCCACTTAGCCCACAGCAGGATTTTCACACAGACACAGCAACAAGGCTGATTACACCAGAATATATGTTTTCACCCATCTAAAAGCCCGCATGCTCTGTTTGACAACTCGACTTTTCGCGATAGTCAATGTCTACTAGAATGCGTTGCGACAAAACAAAGGGACATTCGGCTGTGCACCAAGTTAGCACTGCATCCCCTTAAGTTTATAGGTACCGGCTAGTTCAACCAGTGAAGTAATGCCGAAGCTTGCAGGAAAGCATGCCAGCTAGTCATCAACATCGTCATAGACAACCTTGTGTCTTTTGGTAGCTTTCCCAGATGCTGACAAATCACAAGTCTTGTTGTAATCTATCAGTGGTCTGGGTGGTGCTTCATTAAAAGGTCGGATGGAAAGGATTCCATCCGAGATGTATCTAAATACCTAAATTACAGTGGTGAGGTAGGTACCTGGGGCAACAAAGGGTTGCCAGGCAGCCTTCATCAGGTAACCTCCAAAATATCTGGTGGGGTTCCAGAATACTCCATATGGGTCCATGCACTGGATCCACAACCTTACTGGCATCTCTGCTTTTGCTCATTACCGCATACTGGCATATCTAGCCCGCCCTGCCCGCCTGCTGGGGAATGCCTACAAGATTGGGGGGCGCTCTGGGCATGTCAGGTACGACGCCGCCATGTCTCGGAGGAAAGTAGTGGCTTTCTACCCCAAATTTCTTTAATCTCCGCAGCTTGGCTTGTGTCACCATCCGCCACTTAAGCAATTAGCCTGTGGATCACCAAGATCACCGATCACATTCTAGACCACGCGTTCCAGATGGAAGTAGCGTTGGCGTTGGGATGTTGGGGCTAGGGGTCGATCCCAACTTGAAGGCTAAGGTACGTCACGCCGCCCTAGCCAGTGCCAGTCTGCCAGTCTGCCAGTCTCAGCTTCCAAGATTCCAACTTTTCGGGAATGCAAAGTCTAGAAGAGCATGTGCAAAACGCTCGCTCCTACCTTATGCACCTAGCTATGTAAACATTGCCTGTCCTCGCCCCGTCTCCCCCTCCCCCTCCCAACGAAACCCGAGGGGAAACGTTACAATTACCTCAACCGAGAGTATAGGCAGCATGGCATCACCTGCTGCATTGCTGCAGCGAGCCGTAAGTCAATGCGCTCGACCTCGACCGTCAACTATCCGGGGACCGGGAACCGGGGACAGTGACTGACATTGCTGTAGGCACAAGGCTCTGGTAGCAATAGGGGCACCGGGTCAAACTCCGTCTCGGGTATCATCTCAACCCTGGTGCCTGTCGTCATCATCGCCGCCATATCGATCGCGCTCTTCATCCTTCTGCGCAAGAAGTTCGGGAAAATATACTACCCGAGAAGCGAACAGACGATCTTGAAGGAGAGGTGAGACCACCTGCAAATCCCACAATCGCAACGCCACCTGACATGATCCCAGTGACAAGCGAACGCCTCACAAGGATGTAGGCATATTCAGCTGGGTGAGCGATCTCCGCTCGCTGCCAGACGACTTCGTTCTCCAACGAAACTCCCTCGACGGCTACCTCTTCCTGCGCTTCTTCAAGGTCCTCATCATCATCGCTGGAGCGGGCTGCCTCATCACATGGCCCATCTTGTTCCCCGTGAATGCCACTGGCGGTGGTGGCCAGAGCCAGCTTGATGTCATCTCCTTCAGCAACGTCAACAATCCCAACAGGTACTACGCACATACCTTTGTCGCCTGGATCTACCTCGGCTTCATCACCCTGGTTGTTGCTCGCGAGCGCATGTACTTGATTGGCCTTCGCCAGGCCTACTTCCTGTCAGCCGCCCGATCCAAGCGACTGCCTTCTCGCACCGTCCTATTCATGGGAATTCCCAAGGACCAGAGATCTGAGAGTTCCATCAGACAGGCCTTGGGTCCAGATGTGCAGAATGTTTGGATCCCGACCGACTGCAAGGATTTGGAAGAAATCGTCAAGGACCGGACCAAGGCTCACGGAAAGCTAGAGGGCGCCCAGGTCAAGCTGTCCAAGTTATCGAACAAGAACCGACTGAAGGCCGAGAATGAAGCCGAGAAGAAAGGAAACGCAGAGGAGAATCAGAGACAGGATCCTCTTCACTGGGTCGACAAAAAAAAGCGACCGACGCACAAACTCAAGTTCCTGATCGGTAAGAAGGTCGACACCATCGAATGGGGCCAGCAAGAACTCCCAAAGCTCAACGAGGAAATTCGACGAGAGCAGTCAAAGCACACGCAAGGAAATGCCGAGGTTGTGGGGGCGGCCTTTGTCGAGTTCTCAAGCCAGGGCGCAGCACAGCGTGCGTACCAGCAGGCGTTGCATGGGAGCAAGAAGAAGGCGTGGAAACCCCGCTACATCGACGTGCAGCCCGACGAGATTATCTGGAAGAACCTCAAGGAGAGTTACCTGACCCGCAAGATCAAGCTGACCGTCGCTGCCATCCTTGTGACGTTGACGATCTTGTTCTGGACACCCATCACGGCGTTCGTCGGTGCTCTGACGAACATCAACTACCTGACCCAGCAGGTGCCATTCCTCAGCTTCATAACCAAGATTCCAAGTGTGATACTGGGTGTCGTCACTGGTCTCCTACCCACGATCATCCTATCCGTCTGTGTCATTCTCTTCCCGATCCTCTGTCGACTCCTGGCCAAGATTGCCGGCGAGCCAACCCTGTCGGCCGTTGAACTCAAGACCCAGAACTGGTACATGGCCTTCCAGGTTGTCCAGGTCTTTCTCATCACCACATTCGCGTCGGGCGCTTCGGCTGTTGCTGCACAGATCGTGAGCACTCCATCGTCTGCGCCGGGGTTACTAGCCAAGAACCTTCCTAAGGCATCCAACTTCTACCTCAGCTACTTCATTCTCTACGGTCTCGCGCAAGCTGCCGCTCAGCTTCTGAATATCGTGCCACTGCTATTGTTTTTGGTACTTGGGAAGTTCCTCGACTCAACCCCGAGGAAAATGTATAACCGCTGGGTCAGCTTGGCGGGTATTGGTTGGGGCTCAGAGTATCCCAAATGGACCAACTTGGGAGTCATCGCCATCTCGTACTCATGCATTGCACCGCTCATTATGGGGTTCGCCCTCATCGGATTCTCACTGCTCTACTTCGCCTTCAGGTACAAGTGGCTGTTCATTCTGGGCAACAAGATTGACATGAAGGGTGAAGCCTACCTGCGCGCCCTGCGGCATTTGATGATAGGCGTGTACCTATCCAGCATCTGTATGATCGGACTCTTCGCCATTGGTACCAGCGGGAACACTGCCGGGACAGGCCCCCTGGTATTGATGATCATCTTCCTCGTCGCTGTGATTGTCTTCCACGTCCTGAGCAACAAGGCGCTCGACCCCTTGGAGCAGGGTCTTCCCCTGAGCCATTTCAGTGGGAAGGCCCAGCAGCATGACCAGGTTGGCGGACCTCACCATGGATCGCAGGACGGCATGGTCCAGAACGGTCACGGCTCTTCGCAGGTGCCCAACGAGAAGTACGTCGGCCACGATCTCGAAGCCAACCCCAGCGGCAGTCGCAGTCATCCGTCCGGGGACGTGGGCTCCGAGGAGAAGACCGGCAACAAGCTGACGCAGAAGGTGCGCCCTTACATCGACCGCAAGTTCTACGAACCGAACCGCCAAATGAACTTTGAGCTCCCCGAGGTCAACTACGAGCACAGTGAGGCGTATCACAACCCAGCCCTGGTCGCCAAGGCGCCGTTCGTCTGGCTCGCGCGCGACGGCTGCGGCGTGAGCAAGAAGATGGTTAGCGACAATCGGGCGGCCGGCATCGCCAGCACGGACGAGTTCGCCTGGTTCGACGAGAAGAACAAGTTGCACTGGGACCACGATAAGGTCGAGGAGGTCACCACCATGCTGGAAGAGAAGGAGGTTCTTACTGATGGGCGTAAGGAGTCCTTGGCGGTTTCGCAGAGGTGAAGGCATGTATGAGCTTGAAAGCACGTGTAGGATGACTGAACTGGGTAGTGCGCATGTAATGCGACACGATTGCAGGGTGTTTTGGGCGCTCCTTCGAGTACGATTACCCCCTATTTTGTAATGGTGTCTAGTAATTTCTTTCTTTTCGACATCTTGGAACTGCGAGATTGCCCGGAGTGCTTTGACTTTGTGATCGAACACGGGTGGTTTAGCCCCAATCAATGCAACAATGGTCGCCCTCTCCATCTACTTGTTAACTATACTAACACCAACCGCAGGCAATGTTTGGCCTCACGACGGAATGCTACGCGTCTCTGCCAACCGAGGTCGGTCTGTAGTCTCGAACTCTGGGATCACGCGGATCTGGAGCTTCGGACCGTGGGGCAGCCTGGTGCATGTGCCACGATCGGCTGGCCGGACATGCCCTCCTTGATAGACCTGTTGCAAAGCGCGGAAGCTGGCCTCGCGAAGGTTGATTGGGCCGGGTGTGGGCGAGGCCTCGGTGAGGACTTGGGTACGTCGCAGATGGTTAGTATGCGCGCGCGTGCGCTAACAACAGTCTACAGCTTCGCCGGCGGCGGCAGGGACGGTTCCATGGTCAACGGGGACATACCGATCTAAAGGTGCTAGTATCTAGTTGTCTATAGACGACCAGTAACTTGACATGGCACAAACCGTATGAATTCTATGTACGAGTGTCTGGGGAAAGGCGCTGTCGGCTAACATATTCCTAATCAGAGTGAGACTGACACGGGTGACTTAGGCTGAGTGTTCGCTAGCTCTCCCCACCAGAGCACCTACATGGGTTTGGCAGCTGAAGGCCTTTCTTCCAATGATACTATGAAGAGTGCCACTCAGTGGTACTTAATTACTATGTGATGTTGGATACGAAGAGTTGTCATAGGCAAGGGGTGAGCTGGCGAGGCAAAGGGGACGTGCCACATTTGTCAAATCTCAGAATGGTCTATATTGGAAGGAAGGAAGATAGCTGATAGGGGTTCCATCCTATTTGAATCACCAGAGAAGTAAGTTCTATTAGGTATTAGGTGATGCTATAGGATGACGAATATACAGCCTCATACATTGATTGATTGATTGATTGATTGTATTTAACGTGAGGGATTGCTCCTCAGTAATGCAAACCACGCCTCCCAGAGCCTCTGCATCGCAGGGTTATGGAGGTATCAAGATAATAAGTACAGTCAGCCCCGCTCACGAGCCCATCCCTATTGTTGCAGCTGTATGACTTTAGGGTCATCCATCTGATCCTTTAAGAACAGCTATCTATCAGGGACAGATTGATAAAACAAACTTGCTTTTCTTAACAAATCTTGCCCATTCCGCGCTCCTCTCCCCCAAGTATTGTAAACAGGCTGTCCTAGGCGAGTACCTGGGCAGCAGTCAGTTTTTCCTAAGCCTCTTACAAAAGAAAAGATGTTGTGGTGTTTTCTTCTTACTGTAGTTACAGTGGTCATTCGAGTCTGTATACCCAAAACGTTCATGATATCTAGCAAAGTCGCCATGTCCAGATCTGGCTGTTAGAAATCTGTGTAGAGTGCTCTTTTAAAGATATAAAGTCCCTTTTAATTATTGTATGCGAGTATACTTCTTGATACCTAGGTTCTGATTGGTCTTTCTATCATTGATCGAATTCTTTCTTGTTCTTCTTTTTGATATCTCTTTTTATCCAAGAGATTGTGGGAAGGTTCGTCGCGTCCGTTTCTAGCATGGCACCCTCTTTTGCTAGTGTGTCAGCAGCTTCGTTGCTATCGATATCTCTGTGTCCAGGAATCCACTTGACGGTCACTCCAGGAGTGTGTGCTGTGGCGAGTCCTTGGAATTGTAGAAAAATGTTCTGTGATGTCTCGGGTGGAGTCCTATTGAGCCCATCTACCACTGACGTGTTGTCTACAGCTCATACATAATATGCTTATAAGTTAACAAGCGCTAAGCACGTATTTTGATCACAGTACTACAGCCCACAAGCCTCACAAAAACAACTATTTTTCTTGGTGCCCCGCTGTTAGGGCGTAACCTTGATATTTGCACTAAAGCAGGCACTTCTCTCAGTAACTGACTATTTCTGCCAAGGCACAAGAGAATTTTTCTCACAAGCCGGATGGCACCCTTCCACGACGGGCCCCCAAACACGCCCGTGGCCGTCCCAAAGACGACCACCAGTGGCGTGCTCAAATCCCCGGCCCCTAGAAAGACATACAGCCCGGCAACTCCAAGCAGGCTCCGCCAGGCGCTGCTTGACGACATCAGCAGCAGCCTGTCACAGGTCTCTGAGGCTGACTTCACCGTTATTTCCCCTCTGAAAGGAAAATTCCGAAACATTAATGACAACAGCACCACTGGAATGAAACAACCTCAATTGAACGAAATCTCGACAGACCAAGCCATTATACGCGATATAGAGAATAAAACCTCCTCTTCAGAGTGCCAGGACCAAATTGCCAAAATATTGGCTAAAGACAAGCACTTTTATGAAGCCAGGATAACAATGTTTCAAGAGTGTGCTGCAGTGGTTGATAAGACACTTGAGAAAGCTGGAACCGAACTATACTCTCATGCCAAGGAGTTCAGCGCTTTCTTCTCTAAATGTCTGAACGAGTGGCTGGAAACCCGAGATCCGCCCAAAAGGAAGATCATCCCTGGGGGGATAGGGATGGTAAAGCCCACCATGACCTTTGTCCAAGCTGTCTCCTTTAGCCAATGACAGCATCCATGGACAGTCAACACTACCATAAAGAAAATACAGCCTGGCACCCGTATCACTGCCAACCAACTGAAGAAGAAACAGGATGATCTCCGGGTCTTTGTCCGCATGGATAATAGCCACCTAGAGCCTTACGGAATAAAGTCTACACTGAACAGAAGACTTAAGCTCTACCCTTAAGAGCTTAGAGAAGTGACCCGGTGCCCCTCTGGATTTACTTTACACCAAAGGGACAAGCCAACTCAGGCTAAGCTCCTGGCCTTCTAAGAAGAAATTACCAATATTCTCAAGGCAGAAAAGATCGAGACCCATACAGTCTGGCATCATTATAAGGTTAATGGATGCCCAAGAAAGGTCATCAGTGCGGAAGGATTGATAATCGACATTACCGACATTGCTGTTACTGATGAAGTTAAAGCCCAAATAAGTGACAGACCTTTAAGGTGCATACTCTCAAGGAACACAGCTGATTCTGATCTGGAGACCACATGGGTGATCTCTCTGTCCCGTGCAGCAAAGAAACTATTCATGCTCTTTGCTCACTTAATGACCTCAAGGCACATTCAATACTCCACCAAGGTTCACCAGTGTGCGAGCTGCTTCAGATACCATGGTAGGAACTACCGATGTGAAAAGCAAGTATATGTACGTTGTGCCAGTACAGTACACCAAGGGGAGTGCGAAAAACCAATCCCAAAGTGTGTCAATTACAAAGGACCTCATGCTGCCAACTTCGACAAATGCCCTGCACGCCCCAAGGTTGTGAAAGGCATCATCCACAAGCACACATGGGAGCAAATCCAGGAAATAAGGCTGGCTGGAGAAAGAGCCAGATCCAAGGCCTTCAATAAAACAGGCAGAAACCAAGCTGGGTCAACACCCAACAACAATAACGAAGACATCACAATGCAAATTGACACAACAGATACAACTCATCCCAGAGATGCCGATACCATTGTTGTCAGTCAATATTAGGTACATCAAACGGAACACATCGACACGGGCATCTAGTCATCCATTCTGTGAATACAACAGGAGGACAAAAGAGTGCAGGCCCTACAGAGTTAGCCATCAACCTGGCTGACTACAAAGGAGAACAAGCAGACATCATTCTGATGCAAGAGCCCTGGGTTGGCATACCACCAGGCAGGAGAATGGGAGTAAAGACATATCCCAATTATGATATATACTCCCCAGTGGATTCCTGGGACAGCGACAGTACACGGCCCAGATCTCTCATCTATGTAAGAAAATACCTTTAAGCGGATCAATTTTGGCCCTATGCTACACGAGACATCACCTGGGTCAAGGTATAAGGCATTATATTTGCCAGTGTCTACCGGCCATGTGACAACCCACAGGAAGTGGATGATATTCTGGAAGTATGGATTCCACCTTTTGGCTGCGTTATAGCTGGAGATTTCAATGCTGGCGACACATCCTGGGACTCGAGCAATCCAGGATATCATAGTGGTGTCATACTTGCACAGACTATGACAGACCACGGACTGGATCTGATTTCTGAACCAGATGTCCCAACACATGATGACAGAAATGTACTAGATCTGGTGTTCTCAGATGTCCCCATGGCCGAAGCCTCAGTGAATGATGCACTCCAGTGCACCTCAAATCATGAGACATTACAAATAGTCATTCTAATTCAGGGAGATCTGGACCGAATCCCTAAGGCCAATCATTGGATAGTACCGGACGATAAACTACAAGAGCTGGCAGATAATGTCTAAACCAGGATTCATGAACTCCCCTGGCTGGGTGTATCCCCTGGCCAGGTAGATGCCTTTATACAAAGCTTGATCAACATGATCCAAGGCTGTATCAGAACAGTGGGCAAGAAGCCCCGTCAATCTAGGCCCACTGCTTGGTGGAATGATGACTACAAAGCAGCTGTTTAGACATACAGGGCCCTTTCTAAACAGACTACAAGCCAAGAAGGGCGGAATTCAGCCCGACGGGAATTTCGCCGCGTGGTTCAGAAAGCTAGGAGAGAGTACTAGCAGACTTTAATTGATTCAGCAACTGAGCCAAAGGACCTATACAGAATCGTCTCTTGGCACAAGCTATCAGCAGGATTGCGTTCCCCTCCAATCATCATAAGAGACCAAATATTCGAGTCATAAGAGAGCAAGGCAAATGCATTACGCTCAGCCACGCTTGAACGAAATACCTCAGATAACGATATCATCGACCCCTGGTCCGTTCAGATCACACAACCCAAGCCATACATCCCCCTTGAATACCATGTCGGACTGGAAGAGGCTGAAGGGTGCACTTTAGGGACCAAGAGCAACTCCCCGGGAATAGATACCCTCACAGTACGGATTCTGAAAGCTTGCTGGCCATTCATTGGGGAACATATCAGAGCCCTTTTCCAGACCTGTCTACAGATTGGACACCACCCTAACCATTCAAAGTAGCTGAGGTAGTGATGATCCCAAAACCAGGAAAGAAAGACTACTCTAATCCCAGGGCCTACAGACAAATATCACTATTGTCGTGTCTTGGCAAAGGCCCAGAACGACTCATCGCAAAAAGAATTACTTGGTTTGTTATCAAACTTGGAATTCTAGCTCCACAACATTTTGGAGCTCTACCAAGCGCTCTGCCACTGACCTGGTAGCTGCACTCATACACGATATTGAGCAGGCCCTCGACCAAGGCCTCGTTGTAACAGTAGTCACGTCAGATGTGAAAGGGGCCTTTGATACTGCCCTAATGGGACGGCTGGTGGTTCGCATGAGAGAATAGGGCTGGCCGGGCTTTCTCATAAGATGGGTCCAGTCATTCATGTCCGAGCGGTCCGCAAGGGTTTGGTTTGAAGGTATTGTGACCGATATTAAAGCTCTCACTTGTGGGCTACCACAAGGCTCACCAGCCTCTC